GCTTGGCAACGCGGAGATTGAATGCGAAGATAGCGAGATTACTTTCAGTAACGGGATGCCACGCTTCGGTGCCGACCAAGCCAGCACCATCTATCAACTTGAAGACAGCCGCAGCCGCGTTGAGCGAAAGGCGCTTCCGCACAGGCCTCGCGCGCCGAGCCACTCGGAAGCTCGAAACCGGGGATACGCACCAAGCCATGCACCATACGAGTCGCCTTTCCCGAGCTTTTACTGATGATGAAGCTTCTTACCCATATTTATTTCTTGGTTACGAATATAACGACGATACGATAAGATGAGAGACTCTGGGATTTTCCTTTTTCTTTTCACCAAAATTGACTTGCTCCACTGCGAGCCTTTTCAATACATTGATGGTATTGATTTTACCTTTTCACACTACCAGCTCACTCGTCTGGCTTTACAAGTACACATTGGTATTTTTTTTGTTCACATTGCTTCTGCTATTGGGCAGTCATGGATCTACTTCTCAAAGATTTAATTCTGGATTACTAGATCCCTATGCATCCGATGGTGGTTGATGCTTGTTACCGTCTTGATGACGGCACCAGAAATATGATACCCCTAAGAAGCGTTGCTGTGGGAGAAGGTGTCTTCTGTCTTTGTCCAACCTCTCCGTCCATTCGTCCTTTTTGTGTTGACCTGTGCTTGTGTCCCTCTCGACTTTCGGCATGCTACCAGTTGGCCATGTGCAACCTGGCAGGAAATATATGTCTGGACAGGGAAGTGTGTCACTTGAACAGGCGTGGTTGTCCAGCTGGACAGCCAACTACCACACAGTTTGATGAAACACCCCTTTCATTTATATACTACCTGGTCATCGGCGGCATATTGTCCATGCTGGCGGACGAAGAGTTCAGAGGGCATCGCACTGTCACAGTCATCTAACACGGCAATGGATGGAGGGCATAATCCCATTCAATACCAGTAGCATCACCGAGTTAGACTGCATGGGCAACAGGGGTTCGCGCCCCTCAAGATGTAAATGTTTCCCATGGCATACCATCCATTACTTGCGCTTTTTCACATATTTTAGAACGATTATCATGTTTTCTTTTTCTCTTCTTCATTTCTTTGACATTATCTGTCTCTACACCATGACTCCCTCCAGGTGACTTATCACCTGATTTACACTTTTATCCTGTCCTTCCGTGAAGGCATTTGGTGTACCTAGCGTTCACCGACGTGAGAGCTATGGGAGTTTTAGGGGGAATCCGGACTTGGCATCAGTTCATTCACTGAATCTTAGATCATCTAATTGACGGATCACCTCTTGGTAGCATAGCTGATGGCAATTTTTCAAAAGACAAAGAGCGGGATCTATTAGAGCCCTTTAGAACCAGGGCAGATTATAATAAATGACTTGGCGGGGTGCTTTACCCCCATTTTCTCCCCATCCTATCTTCTTGATTCACCAGCATGAACTTGTGATATTGCGTTTGAAAGTTGAAACCGTGAATGGTATGCACCAATGCACCACGACCAAATGGGAAGTGCGGTGAAGTGATTGGCAGGCGGACCCACTAACGTTGTAAGCGCCAGTTGCTGGGCCAATGCCCGGTTTGTTGACTTGGGAGCCTGACCATTTTCCTGCACTTGAGGTAGAAGCACTTACTTATGGGAACAGCGTTGAACAAGTTAATGGAATGAAACAAGAGATAGAAAAGGAAGACGGGTAGATAATGATGTATGAATTAAATGCATGCGGCGTGACAGGCTTGCCTTTCATCTTGGTACGATGTGTATTGGGCGGTGACGTCGGCAGCCGCATCGACAAGGAACACGCAGCAAGCCCAACCCCTCGGTTTCCCTAGAAACGGCACATGGGAGCACCATTTCACAAGCAGAATAAGCGCCCAACCAGCCTGGTAGTGGACTCATCCATTCCCTCTGCACCGTTATCACAATCACCACATTTGACACATTCAACCAAGAACAGTCTGGGGAAGTTCAACCCCTCAGTTGTTACACCGCTTGGGTTTCTAGTCATTCACCATTCCAACCGGAATTTGGTTCTCGATTTTTCTTCAGCTGGGCTGGTGAAGCCTGACTAGCCTGCCTACCTATCCGAGTGCTCGGAATTTGACTCCAGTCATATCCGCATTCCAGGACTGAGCCCTCAACAAGCATCATGGCTCCCACTCCCACTCAAAACCTTGGTTCCGTCGGCGATCCCTTCACCGAGACACACAGACTATTCGCACGCGATGCGAAAGACCCGTCCAAAGGTGTTCTCGACCCTCACGATATAAACAACGCCGGATTCTTCGTCCTCTTCGCCCTCATCGGTGTTGGCTTTGTCATCACAGGCATCTGGTTCTTCTTCTGGGCGAAGAATGGAGGCTTCCACTTCAAGGAAAATGACTGGGACGACTACAAGACTACCGTGCTCAGGCGCCGTGGCCCCAACGGCACTGTGCTCTCGGGGGCAACGGAGAGCACAGATCTAGGCGGCGGCAGCGTGTACAAGGATGTTGCAGACCACTACGATGGGAGAACTACGGAGTACGATGGAAGAACTGTTATCACAGACGATACGAGGACCGTTATCACGGAAAGCACGGGCATGACCGGAATCACCGCAGGAGCAAGTGACATCGCGGCCCGCGAGAAGAGGAAGAAGAAGAAGGAGCAGCGCGACCAGGAGCGTGAGCGCCGCCGCAAGGAACGAGGCGAGAAGTCCAGCAGCCGTCGACATGTCGGAGACGAAGGTGTCGAGGACGCCGAAGCCGAGGCCAAGGCCAAGGCGGAGCTCCGCAACTACCGCCACGAGAAGCCGGCCCGCGTCGGTGGCCTGAACAAGGTGCCAGAAGGCTCGGAATGGGACGGCTCAACCAACCCGGCTGATTCTACGGTTTCTTCCAGTCTCATGTCCGGTCGCGAGAGCACCCCAACCAGCACACCCACCAAGGAGAAGCGGGGTATCCGCAAGGTCTACTCTACGGCGGACCGCAACGACCGCAACGAGCAGCAGCGTGCTCGGGCTGAGGCGCGACGTGAGCGAGATGAGAACCGGGTAGCCAGACGTGATTTCAGTTTCCAGCGCTCCGTCGTCGGCACTGAGAGCCAGGCGGCTGAGAGTCTGCTCGAGTCGAACTCGAACAGTGACCTCGGTACCAAGAGCTACCACCACCCCATGCCTGAGCTGAGACAGCAGCAGCGGGAGAGGGAGAGGGAGGAAAGGAGGGCGAGGCGAGGGGGCTACCGCCGTGGTCGTGGCGAGGATGAGGACCTGTAAATCAGCGGTTTGATTTCCCTGCTCCGTGCCTCTCGGGCACTTTACGCTGGCGAGGATGATATAGTCTTATTGGGTGTTGTTTTATATAGCCTGTTTTGAGATTTACGGATTCGGGAGGATGTCCTTTTTCGGTCGGTCTTGTGTCTCTTTTTCTACTGGTTGTTCACATGATTTTTTTCTTTTTGGGTCGATGTCACATTACCTGCCTGGGGTTGTAGGCATAGACGAAATAGTTAGATTCACTTACTCTCATTATGATAGGAAATGAAAATAAAGAAATGAGAATGTTATTTACCCAGGTGCGCATTGATGACGCTGAGTGACGCTGTAACTTGCATATTGCATGAGACACAGCCATTGTCTTAAATGTCCAGGGGAGCATTAATGCTTTAACCCCTCCGACAGAAGGATAGAACCTAATAGTAAGTAGGTAGTTGGATAGGTATCACTACCACATATTGTGAGGGTGGTTTGGTTTAATTTTAGTATGTATACATAGGTTGATGGTGGCAGACCTGCAAGACCCCAAAGTGCCGCTGCGCCATGCATGTGGCGAACGGAGTTTTGTATGAGCCTAGAGGTCAAGAAGTTCTGGGCGAACCGACAAGCGCCCGGACTAGAAAGATGGCGGCTCGGAGATGCCAGCGGCATAGGGAGGCAGATTTAATCACCAATGCGCAGACATCGACAGCTGAGTGTCACCTCTTGGATGGCCTACCCTTGGGGGCAAATACGTCACTCACCCTTCGCCATCGTTCCCTCGAGATCGAGTGATCCATTGCATTGGACCCCTGGTACACACAGTACGCGCGCCATTCATGCCAGTCTGTTAGTGCAACACGCGGCCGTGCACCGTAGCTGCTAACAGGACCGGATCGCTCAACAGGTTGCAGGCCCACCCTCGGACCCCACCGAGACGCCAGTGGGCGACGACTTCAGTGGGCGCAGACCCATCGCTGCTCCCTAGGCCCACTGTCGATTAGGTGGTCGCTCCCGCTGCCCTGGGCTGGGCTCAACTGGCGCTGGGGCCGGGCGCCTGGGCTCCAGTGCTTGCACCTTATGTTGGGGGACGCACTCGAATCGCCCAGCCCACTTTCCAGCAATCCGCAAGCAGCCTTCGCTTCTCCAATCCGGATCCGCCGCCCAAGTCCATCCAGCCTGCATCGGTCTACTCATTCGTTCCATCTCATCTTTGCATCAAATCAATCGCCACGCCTCTCCTTTGTTTTGCAGCCACGACCATCCGCTCCCGAACCGCCGCGTCTCTCTGTCTTGTCGCACTCTCCTGCGCTTTCTCGTCTTCGAGCCCGTTTTCCCTTCTGCTCAACCCGGCGCCTGGCAGTATCGAACCTCTGACCCGCCACCGACGACTTGGGCCGCCGTGGTGACACAATCCCACCCGCTTCCACGATCGATCGCCTCGCTTTGTTGCGCAGCTGAAGCCCGCGGCCTTTTTGGCGTCTCTCGAATCCGCATCGCGTACGCTGGATCAGTCTCCATTTGATTCCTGGAACTGGTGAAGCCGAGACCCAGCCGCCGTCATTCTGGACCGGCCCAACCCTACCCCTGCACGATAACGACGACGATTGAGGTAGTTGGATCGCCTGCTCGAAGACTCGACCATTCTCCCTCGGCGGTGATGCTACATATTGGCCCATCCTAAGACGCATTAATATATTCGTCGTCCGACACTTTCCTGTGTCCACACCGCCCTGGCGACCGGTTGTCGTCGCTTCAGATCATCATGGGGTCATCGGCCTCCTCCGCCTTCACAGGCGTAATCATCGGCCTGGTATCGTCATTTGGTTCCATCATATTAATAGCACTCATCATTCTGGTGTTTTGGGTTTCGGGATGTGCTGGGTCTGGCCGCATCTTGCTCGATCGGTTAGGCCGCCCGGGCGAGTACGACGATGAACAGGCATTCGCGAGGGAAGAGGCGGAAGCGCTCGAGACGATGGACGAGATGGCCAGAACAGAATACTTGAGAGCAAAAGGTAAGACCTATCCTTGTCGGTCAATGGGAGGGAACCTCGTGGCTCCGTTGATATGTCGATGCTGGCCTCCAAGTTGATCAACTGCTAACCTACGAAATAGCTTTCGTCACCGCCAACCCGCCGGAATCAGCGCAGACCGACATCTCGCTATCACAGTATCTGGCGATCCAGGAAAAGGGCGTTTCGGCGTGGGAATTTGAACCCGAACTCGAGATCGCCAATTGTTTTGTCGAAGGCCGGACGGAGATTGAGTTCTTCGATTCCGAGTGCACCGTTCTTACCAACCTCCCCGTGCCCAAGCAGAACGACGTCTACTACTGGGAGGCCAAGATCTACGATAAGCCCGAAAGCACGCTACTCAGCATAGGGATGGCAACAAAGCCTTATCCCCTGTTCCGGCTCCCTGGTAAGAGAGTTCCTCCTTCACCATTCTTATCTCCGTTGTGCAACAGCTAACGTGGTGCCCCAGGATTGCACAAATATTCCGTCGCCTATCAGTCTACCGGCCACCGCCGATACAATCAACCCTTCAGCAAGACGAACTACGGTCCTCAATACGTTCATGGCGATGTAATAGGCGTGGGCTACCGCCCAAGGACCGGAGCCATCTTCTTCACTCGGAATGGTAAGAAGTTGGAGGAGGTGGTTCACGGACTCAAGGCCCAGAACTTCTTTCCCGCGATCGGTGCCAACGGCCCTGCCACTATCCATGTAAACTTTGGTCAAGCCGGGTTCGTCTTCATCGAAGCCAATGTCAAGAAATGGGGTCTGGCACCGGTGACGGGCAGCTTAGCACCACCGCCCCCATACGGCTCAGAGCAGGGTAGCATTCTGCTGGAAACTGGAAACAAGGACGGATTCACAGGCAACCAAGCAAGGCCGCATAGCCAATCTTTTGCCACTCCCCCATACGTCGTCCGCCAAGGGGAGCATCTTGCTCCCCAACACGGCCGATCAAGGAGCGGCAACTTCAGAATCCTGCCTCCCACAAGCCCGGGTCCTCAGAGAAGCCCCACGGATATCTCACTCGCCCATCTCGTCCCAAACGAAGACAATGGCGAAAGCAGCCATGCAGCACCGCATCAAGAGCACCTCAATGGGAACCCGTTGCATTTGCATCTTGAGGATGCCACCAATCCGCCACCAGGCTACAGAAGTCCTCAAGGCTCCGACTCGGACGGCAACCGACGCCGGAGCATTGACAGTGACGAGGAGAACACACCATTGATCACGGTCATCAACCGGAATCGGGGCGAGTCTGCCGCCACAATTGTTCCCTTCAACCGAAATGCCATGACTTCTTCACCTCCTGTTCCCAGTTACACCGATGCCATTCGACAAGGTGCCGGCTCTCGTGGACCAGAGAGAAGCCCCAGTCCAGTTTCAACAGCATCAGATGATGATGGAGAGGATGATTATTCCGACGGCTCGTGAAATGTACACACTTTCACGAGCTTGCAATAATCTCAAAAGCGGTCGTTGACGAGCCTACCCTCCTCGATTATATCAGATTTCGACGAATAGGAGGCCAAATTGACCACTTCACTCGGGCACTGCTGGTCGTCGAGCCCTCTGATTTCCACATTTTCACACATATATCTACATGCCGCAACGTCCTATGATTACACAATTGCTGTACGAATTTTCCTATTTCCTCTATTCCTCTCGCAACGGCGCCCCGGAGCTATACACTACAGCATCAGCAACTTATTGATTTCATACACCAACGATCCCCCATTCGTTACTCTCCACTATCCTACCATCGCTTGATTCCCCCCTTTCTCTCGATTCTTTCCATAACATATTGAGCTGCATTTTAGAGACTTTGTTTCTGGGTTTCCTCTCTACGGCTTACCCCTGGTGTAATGCTGCTGGCACATGGAGTGAAAGGAGCTGTGGTTTTCTCGTCTTTGTTTATTTTTTTTCCCTCTTTCGCCCTTTTCCTTGTCGTCTTTCTTTTTCAGTTTTGGGACGAAAATGCCAGAGACCTGGCCTCGTTTATTGGGAGCCGATGAAGAGCGAATCGGCAGGCGGCACGGTGTAGCTAGCGATACCATCGAGATTCTTACGAATTTACTATTCTCCGCATTTCACATGCAGCCCTACTTGCTCACATGATTGAATGCCAGCAATGTCAGAATTAACATAGCGAGCAGGCCACTCTCCCACAGCGCACGCGGATTCGACGACGAGAACCTCTCATCAATCCAATCATCGGGTTCGGTATATTGAAGCTGACCGACTCTCGCTCCCTTGCGTACCGATTACCCTCCTTCCAAAAGTACATACATGCCGCCAGCGCACCTCAGCGCCGCCATCAACGGTACCAGGGTCGATTTCCAAGTCCGGGGTTCACATCTCCTCTCGTCCATGGCCATGTAACCGCCCAAGACTGACATCCCCTCTCTTGGCAAAACTCCCCTGGGCCCTCCCCTCCCACTCCACCCTCACCATACACCTTGGAGACTCGCCAAGACCTGCTCCGACTGCTCCGGCTCGGCGCCAATCGCTGAGGAAAGTGAACACTGACCAGGCCGCGAAACCAGACAACGCATGACAGGGCGGTCCTGCCTTTCTCTCCCTCTCCCTGGAAAAGAGAAACGGCATGAACGGGCTCATCAAAGTAGCAGCAATAGCAACTTCGCTTTGCCGCACCTCCAGCTTCAGCTCTTGTGTTTCAGGTTTCTCACCTCTTGTGTGTGGGGAACCCAACCCCCCCTTCTTCCCAAACAGCTGCATTGCATCATGTACAGCGAAGCTCGTGTTTGCCCAGCCAGGCGCCGAGGAGCTAGGGCAGAGAGCACCAGGGCAGGGGGGATCTCACACACACACGGCTCGAGTGCTTTGGGGGGAACAGTTTGCTCCAAGCGTCATGTGGATTAGGCAACCGGGTAACGAAAGACATTGCACACGCAAATCATAGGCGTTTTCAATCCTCAGTCCAACAGCTAAATCCGATCAAAATAGTAAATTAAAAGTATAAAATAATTCTTTGAGGTCCAAATATTAAACTATTGTCTTTAATGAGGGTATATTTTATATTTATTACTAGGTTATTAGACTATAAAGGTGAAGGGTTTGGTGAAACGGGAGATCAAAGTACCATTTGGTGTGCAATGTCTTATGTCACCCACTTGTTCGGTTCCCCCTCGGTCGTGGACGCTGGCTGGTATCTGGCAAGTTTTGGTCGAACAAGTGCCAAAAGACAGATGGAGGCGGGATCTAGATGCAGATTTAGGAATCTCTTGGCTTAGTATATAAACATTAGGCAGACAGAGCATATTAATATTTTCATGTTTACATGGCAAGGGCAGTTTCATCAAAGTTGAGCAAGAGAATTGTTCCTTATCCATTAAACCTGGTGGTTCCAATATCTGCTGGGTCATGAATTTCCGTATTTCCACAGACAACATCTTTCCAATTCGTGGCAATTCGCCATTGTTAATCATAGCTGGCCACATGTTCTGATCCAGTCTAATTATCATAACCATTACAGGAATATTGCGTGTTCGATCCGAGCAAAATATTGCTCGTCCCAGTGCTATTTGAACAAAGACAAAACATAAAATCAAAAACATAAATCCCAATTACCCTTCCATACCATATTTGTAAACGCCATTGAATTAACGCCTTTGCTTTTTGTATTCCGCATTGTGCTTGAAAATCATTGCACAAGTTCACAGTCGCTATGCAGTTGGTTCTCGCCCGAGAATTTATATCCGTAAGGAGTGTGTCTATACCAGTAAAGGTTTGTCGTAACTTCGTGAAAAGGAGTGTCTAGTTGTTCCAGTTGGGTATCATTTGTCTATAAAGGAGTGTCGTGCCGTGGGTGCCGTCGTAAAGGAGCGTGGTTTATCATGTAATACATATTAGGTCGGTAGTTTGATATTAATTGTCGATATTAAGGAATGTCGGCGAGATCAACTCGCATGTTGCAAAGGAGTGGCGCGGGAGCAGAGCCAGCTGGCTCATAGCATTCCCTGGTTGGTTTGGTAGCGAGCGTGGAAGGAGTGTTGTATACATTGCGTCTGTGTCGATTAAAGGCGTCAAAAGCGATCGAATAGAAGTAAAAAAAGGGAGTAAAGTAAACAAGAAACATCCGGAAAAAGGGTCAAAGCGGTGTCCGTTATTCGCCATGTCGTTCGGGTTCGGACTTGAAGGGGGGTTCTGACGAGCGTGCGAGATAGGATTGTGCCAGAGGTGAGGGTGAGTGAGGACCGGAGGAGGCTGAGGCGGTGTGACGGTGCCGAGCATAAGGCATGCTGTTGGAGAGGACAGGAGACTCTGGCAGAGGGAGCATGGCAAATCTCTCGGGAGACAAGAACGGAGAGGGCGCCAACGGGAGCGAGCTCGCGTAGGTTGCAGCCGATTCATCAACGACGTACGTTGGAGCCGACATGCTTGAGTTCCTGGAGGGCGGTCAATCCGATTGTGTTCCCGCGATTCTGAATTGCCGACGTGCTCTAGATCCACACGGGCTGGATAGGAGAGACGAACCCGGCGCCATAGCTCGGCTGAACATCGCTGAAAATAGGAGACTGTCCAGCAGCCATACTACTCAGGCCAAAAGCCTGGTACTCTTCACTGTCGCTGTAGGCGATAGATCCTTCAAACGTGGATGATGCAGGGCTGTAGGCACCAGCATACATGGGAGATGGCGCACTCAGGTACTGATGGCTTGCATATGGAGACGGAATGGACATCGACACCGCAGGGCTGTGGGTTGGAGGGACCGAAGTGTTGAGCATCGGCATTTCCTCAGTGCTGTAGCTCAGGGCCGGGCTGGCATAGAGACTGTAGGGGCTAGTCTCGTACTGAGGCACATCGTTGTACACTGGGAAGTTGGGAGGGTTGAACTGAGGGAACGAACGAGTCCTCTCAGGTTGAACCCAGCCCATGCGCGAGCGGAACTCTCCAACAACGTCGATGGGAAACTCCATGAGCTTCAAGGCAGCGCCCTCGTCGGCTCCACTGGAAACACAGATGGACATCAACCTCCGAGCGATCTCCTCGATGGGCATGAGCGAAAGGCTTCCGAAGTAGGCAGAGCCAATCTCGGGGAACATGCGCTCCATCAAGACAGCAACCGAATACAGGTGAGCGATGGCAACCAGAGAATTGGCAGAGCACGAGTAGTTCTGAAGATATGCAACGGGCATCCAGAACAGCCAATCCCTCAAAGAGCGGAGGCGCTCAAACTGCTGGTGAATCGGAAGGCTGTGGCTTATCTTGCGGGAGCCTTTGAGGAAGCTTGCCAAGTTCTGAATCTGAGTCGTGTCCAATTCCTGGTTCTTCAGGTGAGCCTCAACCTTCTGGATCTGCTCCAGGGTCCGCTGGAATGCCTCGAGGTCCTCCTTGCCTGGCTGGCTGGGATTGTTGTCTGCGCCAGGGGAAGAGGGAGCAGTGGGAAACGTGCTGCTCTCGGCGATGAAGTCCACAAACTGAGACTCGTGCTTCCAAGATTCCATTGCATCCATGACCTATCACTGTGTTAGAGAGGAAATAACAAACAGTTGCACAGTGAATGACTTACAGTCGAAGTGCCCTGCATGAGTTGAATCCATCCAGACCTACGTTGTGTGTTAGAACATACTGCCGAATGTGAAGCCATCTGCAACCAACTTACCAATCGGTAGCCTGCCAAGATAGTACCAGAGATGCTGCAAGCACTGCGTCAGAGGTTTCACGAGAGAAGGAGCTGATAGCCTCCTGAAGACCATTCAAAGCCTTGCCGCGATGAATAAATGCCTCTCCGCCGACAACGGGGCAGTCGGTGAGGAAGGCAATATGCATGGCAGAGAATGCAAGGAGGGCGTGCATCACATAGGGTGTGGTAGCACCAATTCGCAACAAACTATGCAATGTTAGATATACAGGGCCTGTGCGACGGGTAGATGCATACACTTACGTCGGGATGTGACGAGTCCACAGAGTGAAGTTGTTCGCGTCCATTGCAGCCAAGGTGTCGTACAAGGAAGCCACATGGTGAATCAGACGCAAGTCTTGATCATTGTAGTGGCTAGGCACAATCGCAGGATACACATCCAAAGCTGGGAAGGGAAAGATACCAGTCCGCTTCCAGTCAGCAATGGAGGCCTCAATCTCCGGAGTCCACATCAAGTCAGGCTTCTCAGGAGTGGCGGAGCGTTTGGTATCAGTGACCTGGACGTCGTTGTACGGGCAGCGAATCTTGTGCTTGGTGCAATTACGGCTACATCTATTGTCAGCATGCTCGTTCAAGGTCGAGTTTCCTGTAAGGCCACACATACCATTGGGGGAAGTTCTCATCACAGCGAATATGTCTGCGCTTGCTGCTAGCTGTTAGTACAGAGCCGAAAACAATCACAGGGTCAAGTGATTGACGTCTTGCCGCGACATACCATGTATCACAGCCCTTACGAGACTTGGTGTGGCTATAGCGCTGTTAGCCGTTGCTTCTCCTTTGAGGTCAGAGTTTGACTTTAAACGCACCTGCGACGAGGAGGACCGCCACCTGGACCAGCCATTGTATCGGATGAAGGAAGAAAAAGTTAAAGCGAAGGACCTAGATTCATGTTAGTCTGGGTAGCACGACGCTAGGGACATGCACCAAGGCGGGTTATAAAGTCAATTCGCGTGTGACAACACGTTCTACAACATACTTTAATAGAATCAGCACGAAAGAAATCGTGCAGATCGACAGCGAGCGAGTTTGTTGATTAGAGGTGTTGTTTTGTTGTTTTCACGAGACCAGGATTACGAATCCAGCTTGACGATGGTACAGTAACCGAGATCGTCTTGCTGAGCTGGTGGACCTTTCACTGTTCCGAAGCTGGAGAGCTTGTCAAAATGACACGGTGAGATGGAATAGCAGCCGTTGATGGATCGAAGCTTCACCGCCGTTGCGTGAGGAGAGCTATAGCTGTGGCTGGCTTGATGGAGGTGGTGGAGGCGAAGCGAGCGCGGTTGGTTCGAGAGTGGCTGATACTGAGAGATCCAGCTGCTTTCCGTCTCGAAAGTGTCCTCTGAACTCTCTCTCTTTCGGAAACACTTTTCCCTTTTCCCTTATCTTCCCAAAGATTTTTGGTAGCGATCGTGTGTGGTGTCTTGGAATGTCTTCTGTACTTGGTGTATAGGCCTTTCAAGCGGTGGTGAGCTATCTCTGTTTGCGTTGACGGGTAGCTGGTGGAGCTGCCGTTGAGCTGGGCGACGCTGGTGTCGAGCTTCAGGTTCAAGAGTTCGTGTTTTTGATATGTCTGATGATACCTGGGAGCGATAGCGTTTGGAGGAGCAGAGAAGCCGGAGCGCGAGCAAGGTGACCGAGAGCAGAAAAAAACCAAGAACCGATAAAGCGAGTGACAGGAGTCAACGAGGACTTCCTAGGGGGTAGAGGGGGTAGAGGAGAAGAAGCGAACGTAGGAGAGGAGGCTTGTCTTTGATGCGAGGATTCAATACAGATGTGTTAAGCTGGAGGGGAAGTAAAGGATGGACAAATGGGCCCGGGGGATGGGACCATTATAAAGAAGATGGCATAGGCGGATGGGATGGGGGCAGGGCCAAAGGCGGCAGCGACGGCAGGCGGAGAGGGCCCTGGGCTCAAGCTGGCTTAGGCGTTGCTTTAGGTAGGTGTAGGTACCTTAGCAGGCTGGGGCCATGCCGTGGGGCGGGTCAGCGTCATTGTCACCACCGTGCAGCCCAGCAGGAAAACCCACTGTTGTCACTCGTGGGCCCTTTCCCTCCGCTGCCCCCCCCGGGAGTGCGGCAGCAAGGCAAAGAGAGTTATGCACCAAACACAGCTGGGCAAGCGGCAGTACCTTGGGATCCGTGAGACCCCATGTATCCTCAGACCCAGGCAGCGTGCCGGGGCTACCAGCGCCTGCGTGGGGCCCGATGTAGCGACGCAGAGGACCCGAGCGTGGGCACTAAGAAATACCCTTTTGGCGCCGTTCTCTCTGAGCAACCCTCACCCCCATCCCATCCCACCGAGCCCATCACCGAACAGAGGCACTGCACTGGCCAACGCCTGTGATGTTACCTGCCATCGAGGCATGGTTTACACCCCCAAGGGTGCTGACGTCGGTCGCGCGCTGGTTTGTTGTGAGAGAGAGCACGCGCGTGCCTCGAGCATCGCGTGTCCACGCACGGCTGGCGTCAAAGAGGAGAATCGAGGCTCGTCTCAATGCGACACGTACATCAACCTTGATGGCCAAAATCAGAATCGTCCCTTTCCGCTCTGGCCCAGATAGGATTCCCTTCTGGCTCACCCACAGCCCGCCTGACTCTGCAGGCAGGAGACACAGCAGGCGGCAGGGATGTTGTGCTCTGCCACCCTTCCTGGCCATAGTGCCCTTAGCTCGTTCAGAATTGGGAGGGTGTCGACGGGGGCACAACTCTGGGGCATGACGCACATTTGGGGCGGCCCATGGGTAAAAATAGAATCCGGTCTTCGCTGAGATCCTCCCATTGGCTCAAGGCGGCCAGCACCATCAAGATCAGGTGTGTGGTTGTGAGTGACCATCCACGGTACATGCTGCCACCCACTGCTACTACTGCTGTCCCGGTTGGCCGCCGAGGCACATACCCATGGATCATATCATATCATACATGTACGGCACAGGTTGCGAGAGGGAGAGGAAAGGGTACACACGCCCATCTTACCACTTCCCTCCTCCCACGTAGAGGTGTGTTTGTGTGTGTGGCGGCTGCAAGTCTGCGTGCGTGTGTCAGTATGAGAAAATGTGTGTGTGCCTCTGTGTCTATCCCATTCCCTGATTTCTGATTCTGGTTTCCCATCCCCCAAAGCCGCCCTTAAGCCGCCCTGATTAGTGATTAGTGCACAGCATCACCGCCAGGCAGGACCCCGTCTCCCCATAAAAACAAAAGATCCCAATCATTCCAGCTCAGACGAAGACTCCAGCAGAAGCTCGCATCAGGACGTGCTCGGGCATGTCAGCAGCCTCAATTCCTAGTGATTATACGGGCTTACTTAGACATCTCCCTCTCCAGCGAGAGGAGACGAAAGGCCCGACCCCGGGGCGGAACGGAGTTGGTGGCGGATGGCCGATTGAGAAGGATACGACCGAGAGCAAAACGCCAGCTCTGGATAGGTATCGCTTGATACGCAACTCGCTGCCAGCTAATGCGAAGGGGGGGGAGTGATACTGGCAGTGCAAAATCCATGCTCGCGCCTCTTTCCGCTTTAACTTTGATCCAGTACTAATTCCTGCATTGTTCTCGCATGCCAGTGATAATCATAGCCCTCGCCACGGCACTCGACTGGCTGATCACAAGGCCTAGCTTCACGGCAACAATCAGGTGATGACAACACACAGCTTTTTGGCTTTGACTTTAGGGTTCTAAAAATGTCCGCTGGAGGGGGGGAGGCGAGCACTGGAAACTGGCTTGGGTGTGCAGCCCAACCACGGAGCCAAAAATCACCAGCCAGAGCTGCACTACACTCCAATACATCCATAGTACATACACGGATGGCCAAGGCCACTTGCATTCAGGGCTGCCAAACGATGTAGTCATGCCCGTCCTGGGGCCAAGAAAGCCAAGCCTGGCCACCCACAAGCACAGGCACAAGCGCATGCACGCCGCCAGAGGGAATTTCGAGGGCTTTTTTTTTTCTCTCCTCCTGACGCTGGTCGGCTCAGGCTCGGGAACGATTAGGTAGGTCGGAGAACTGCCGTTGGACTGTGCTGCATTGGCGACCCTCCCTCATCGCCAAGAAGCTGCTGTCATAGGTGACTAAAACCAACCATTGAGCATCCTAACTGCCCAACATCAGACCACTTAGAGATAGATCGCTTACAGCACGGCGAACCAGACGTTATTAATCACGGCCTGCTATTGTTCGCTTAACCCTTCTCGCACCTTCTCGAGGCCAACTCCCTCGGCATCAAGGCTCAGCTGAGTAGGACGGAATCCGACGAGTAGGAAATAATAGAACAGTTGGGTCAATGCGAGAGGTCCGTCGCAGAGGCAAGAATGCACCTGGCCGGTACCGCCTCACTCCAGCATGAAGGAGTGGGAGCACAAGTACATACCGCTGTAGGTAGCATCAGCCGGTCAATATTCAACCCAGTCCAGAATGTGCATGCAGCTGAATGTCACCGCCAGCAGAGAACATGTTTCATGCGACCTGGTGCATGCACATCCACCTCCGCTGGCGGTTTGTGAAGGCAAGCGGAGCGAGCGTGCATGCAGCAGCGCTGGAGGGACGTGCGTCTGGATCGAGTTGGGGAGCGTTGCTTGCTCCGGCAGCAGCCCCGGCCACTGCTCCATAGTGCTACCCTTCACTACCACCCTCTATCCAGCACCCATCTCCGCTGCCTCCAGCCATCCTGTTGCAGAGACGGATTTCATTGGGGGCTCGACTCGAGACGAGTCACCTTCTTGGGCGGCCTGCCTGCCAAGAACCTACCATGACGCTGGGAACTTTGCATCCAACCCTCCCAGCGTGGAGTTCGTTCTCATGGCAGGGTGCTAGCAGACGGCAGCAACAGGGCCCTTCCTTGGTGGATCGGCACCGCATGGTCGGTGAAGCAGACGGACATGTAAACTGTTTGTGTCTTACAGAGCAACCACCTGCCCAGGACCTGCCTGCTTGGGACCCGTCGTCCCGGTCTCGGAATGCCTTACCAATCCTCAGATTTAAGATTATGGTTTGCTTCATCAACGACATCCCACCTCGAATGTGGGATGGTGGTTGTTTCTGCGACTGCCGGAGCTGCATCTTGGTGGGTTCTCTCAGCCCGGGGCAAGCACGGTTGTGGTGTTTCGGATGCCATGTTCTGGAAGCCTCCTTCCCCCTCCAATTGAATCGGTGGGAATCTAATAGATTCTACGAGCGACCCTTTCATTTCATCTCTCTCTCAAGTAACACAGCACAAACCTGCACACATCGAAAGGGGGGGCAAACAAGCAATGATTCATCCACCTAGTTGATACAGCCACCCTCAAGAGTTCACTGAAAATAACATCATGTCTGTGCCATCCGGCGCCACTCCAGAGAGCACGTCTACAGTGGTCCAACATAAGCAAGCTGCTACGTGGTAGCTGAGGTGGTCCAGCCCAACGGCCATCGTGAGCAGAGCTGCCATTCGTCAACCAAAGACCAATCCAATTCAATCCTTCGGGACCATGCGACATCCGACAAAGATCCCCCCCAACAGACAGGCATTCCATGCGCGCCAGCGAACTGACTTCTGCTTGTTTCACGCCTCGACCCGCTGCCTGCATGACTCGTCTCATCAGGGTCTTTCCCACTGCGCCTCCAGGGTTTGCTTGGGGTCGGTCCTCTCCTCTACTCTACTCTCCCAGGCCATTTCCCGCTCAAAATGCCGCTGGGAGGCCTCGAGTTAGTGTCTCTTACAAAACTGACCAGCCAGAACCCAACCCAGCCCATGTGGTTTACTGGTGTCTTGGCTCGCCTAGCTGCGGACCCTTTCTCCACTGGAGACCGAGGCAGAGAAGAAAAAGGCCATGAATAATAGCAACATGCTGAATTTCCTGCGTGGGCAACAATCACGGGAAAATGTGCGAGCCCTCCAAGATCTAAACTTCACCAAGGACCCTTTTGGTCCACCCTCATCGCACAACTAATGAATAAGTCACGGCCCTAGTAAGCTACCCTAGTTGGCATGATGTGCGAGGGGACTACCAGACAAGAAGTCCGTCAAGTCATTCCTCTAAGCTCCGATGGACTAGTCGTAGGTTTTTCCCATGGAAAAAAACCATTGCTGTCGAGGTAATACTAACAGAACGGGGAAAGGCCATGGCTTTTTTTAGGGTGCAGATGGCAGTGCAATTCATCGAAACCGAGCATCTCCATTTGCTCATTCGTTTATTAGAGCCCATTTGCAAAGCCTAGGGTGCAGATCTGATAGACCAGGGGGCCCCGACTTAGCGCCCTCATGCTCAATAAACCTCGTGTCCGCAGATTCGACCTTCAAAAGGCCTGCCCCATACCCTAGCCCTGGCATGCATCCTCCCTTACCTCATCCAGCGTTGCCGGTAACCTATTATCCGCGGCCTGATATCATACTGGGCCGCTGTGGTCTGTACAACGTGGTACTATTCGAACTATTGGTACTATGGATGGCCTTTCGCCCAAAGAGGTAGGTATTGTATTGGGTGTTCTTCATGGCCCGTGGATAGGGCTCACTCCAGAGTTTAATCCGACTAGAATGTGCTACTGAGCATGAGGTCACCACTCCGGTACTTGATCCCGATCCACAAGCTGCTGATCTATGGCAAGGGAATCTGTGGCCGTCGGCTCCTCCCCAACGCCATTCAGCTGGCCACAATATGAGATTGAGGACCAAAAGGAGACAGAGGCCATGCACCAATCCAATTGCTTCTACGAGGTATGTGACACGGCAGTCCGTATGCGGGATCCTTCTACACTACCGCAATGTACCTACATGCCATATTGATTAATCCACCGCGGGACGTTGTCTCGAGGGCCCTGGGAGGGAGACAGAGGCTGAGTGAGGAGGACCCTGAGCAAGCCCATCGCCCCCCTGACCCGGGGGATAGAGCACTAAGGCGTTTCCAGCCTAAACCGATTTCTATCTTTGGCGGTTTCCGCGGGCAGTCTAAGGGCATGACGAGCCGCCCTACAAGGACGTCGGCGAACCGAATGAAATCGAGGAGCTCCGCTCCGCCCACATGCAAGCCTCCCGTTCAGGATTGGCGCCATGCCTCGAATCAGTCAAGGACCAAGGTCAAAGCAGTGTGGCTGTGCTGCAACGAACAGCGAAGAGGCTAACTAGGGGACGTGCGATACAACGTTTCATCGACAGTTGCTCGGGTGCTACCAGGTGCTAGGCCAAACCAAAACCCCCCAGACAGCGAGATGAAAAAAATCAGGGTCAGCGAGGCGCAAGCAAATCGGTCCTTGCCCCGAGTGATTCAGCTAAAAGCAGACCGGCTCTAAGTCAACTCTAGACAAATCTTTCGAGACGCCTCGTGCATCTCGGACCCTTGTGGCACGTTTGCATAACCGTGCCGACCAAAACGTGTTACTCAGTGGCACTAGGGGCGCGGGACGGGGTCCGCAGGTCATTCTAGCAGATGTCGGGTGAGATCTCTCTCTGGGGCCTCTTGTTGCTACGACGATACCCTTTCGAAATAGCTACACGCAGTGGTGTGTGCGTGTGGCTTGATGATGGCTGGCTCGAACCCCCCTCCCTCTCATCACAGGGCTGGGGGCTGAAAGTTGTACGATTCCAGGCTGTATCACGCGAGGAGGGTGGTTTGTACCAGATCTCTTGCTACCGTCGAGTCATTCTGTGTGCCATCGAAACCTTGGTTTTGTGATACCCAGGGCCACGTCCAATGCATGGTGATCATGTTTGCTGGCCGACCGGTTCCCTTGTAGACCAAGGCCTGCCTGCCTACGTACCTGCTTGCTTTGGTATCTTGGACCGCAGGCCAGGGCGATCGTCGAATCACAGCCAGAAGAAGCCATGCCCCCGCAATCGGCAATCATGCTGCGAACAACCTGCCTGGGGGTCATTACAAGGTATTAATTTCACACTCACGAGAAGACATGGTAATGGCGGGCTCTATCAGCCTCACCGCTCCAGGGGTTGCCCATTCACACGAGACGTGCGCGTCTGCTGTGCGAGGTGGAATCGGCTGTGGGAAATGTCCGAGTGACCGGCCTTGGAAACGCCAGCCCTTTTCTCGCTGGTGGAAAGGCCGGTTGGCCTCGCTCAGGCACGCTCTCCCAATCTCCCCACGGCCACACCACCACCAGCCCATCCAGATTGCTCCTAGGATGGGTTGGGGACCTGTCTGGAGGCTAATTAACTAGGTAGGTCTCACCCGGAAGCCGATGCATCATCAAATATTGCCTGCCCAGACGGCAGCTGGCGATCCAGAAGCCGTGGTTGGCGCGCCTGTAGCCTGTAGTCTGTGGCTAAACTTCCACTTTTTCTCAGGCCGTCCGCCAGCACCGCACCGGCGCTCGCCTTGGTTGCTTTTGGTGGTGGTGGTGGTGGTAGTGGCGTAGTTGCACCAACCTTTTGGCCTGCTGTAACGGGCGATCCACTCAGCCGTGGCTCCGAGGATCTGCCCTCTTTTACACCGCAAAATGACCGGCACCAGATCGAAACTCTGACCTCACGCACGATCCAGACCAGCCAGAGCAGAGGCAGCCCGCAGCGTGGGGAGCGCGGCTTGCGGTGCGAGTCCAAAACATAGGAGGGTCAATACAGAGGCCGGAGTGGGTTATTCCCTGTGACTGTTGCTGCCGTTGCTGCTGCATCACCGTCTTTTGCCTGCATTTTTGCTTTTTTTTTTCTCCCGCTTCAGCTCCATTTTCAACACCCGTCATGCCAAATCCATCGTAACATTGACCAAATCCGGCCAGGGCAGGAGAGGGAAAAAAAACAATGAGATGTGACTGAACCTAACCAACCACCCACAAGCGGACAATGGATGTGTGTGGGCGCACACACCTGCACCTCGCAGTGGCCCCGACCGACGACCAAGAGATGGCTTCGACCTGATTGGCGCCATCAAGCCAGGCCGACTCCCTTGCGTGCATGATATCGCAGCCACTGCTATAAATAGACGGTTAGACTTTGCCGAAAAGCCTACTTCTGTCCTGCCATTGGCCCAGGCGGACATGCAGCTCCCCAATAGAGTCGACGTCGCCCAAGGCCAAGAGCCCGAGTGCGCTACCAGAGTGGCGGACAAAATCAACAAGAACCTACGGGATACTTGCACATACATCAAGGGACAGTCGGTCAAGGCCAGTTCGACTACGGTTCTCGATCCAATGCGACCAATGCGACTCTACTATGTACTTCTTCTGTCACTCTCCAGCCGGTTCGGCGACCCAGCCCAATCAGGCCAGGCACGGGCCAAATAACCCTCGCTCTAGCATCTCCTTACTCATCCAGCTGGAACGATTACATAGCAGGTGTAATTGTTCCCCAAGGCTCCATCGCGGCACCAAGGGCGGGTGCGTCCCTACGTCAGGCAAAGCCCTTGATGATCCAGCCCAGGCACCCCTTGTGCACTTATGAAAGGACCATCACCATCGTGGTGACATGCTCACCCACTGCGAATTAGATAGGCAGGATGGGGTACCACTTCCGCCGAGAGCGCCCCGCTGATGGCGCGGGACCGGCCATGGCAACGAGGGAAGCGGAAGAGGCCTTCTAAGAACGAATTGTGGAGATCGAACGATGGTGACAGACCTTTGCTCCTCAATTTCAAGGGCTGGCTGCCATTTCCCCCAACCATAGGGGCAATCCGGGTCGAACTTTTGGGTGGGCCGGCCGTGCACAGGAGAAGTGACAGAGGCCAAGACGACGGCGACACGCCCAGCCAAACCTTTCTCCGTAGCAGAGTTGGCCGCGCCAGCTCATCACATTTTGGAGCCAGCCCTGGCGAGGGTGTGTGTGGGCTGCGAGAACGAGCGAGCGAGCCAATTGTCATGCACTCACGCACACCTAGGACCCGACTGCTTGGCAGTCCGAGGCCGAAACGTGCCGACCTGAGAAGATTTCGAAACCAAAGATCCAATCAGCTCGGTCCTCCCACCATGCCTCCTCACGCTGCCCTCATGAAAAGGGAGAAGATAGTCCATTGGGATGGGACGTTACTGTCCTGATCGGAAGATGGTCCACTGTTTGCATGGCCATACTGCAGTTATGCTCAATGGGCCAGCATGAACAGAAAACTCTGGCAACAAACCGAGGCTAAGGTAATTTGTTCTCCCTCGTACCTGTTTCAGCATCATAACCGCATATGCTTCAGGAAGATTAGAGGCGCCCAGTGATGCAATCAAGCAGCCATTATCCCTCCCGGACCCCGCGGCTTGAAACTCCGTCCAGAAACAAGGGGGTTCGTGGACGCCCAAGATGAAGGCATAACATAACCCACGACAAGTGAAATTAACAAAGTTCCCCTAGAGATTCTCAAGAATCAAAAAGAGCGAAGGGCTAAACAGACGTCATTTCACATTGGTCAGCCCATACTCAATTCATATAGAGTACGTAGGCAAAAAAAGCAAAGAGTTCCAGACCGTGACATTCCACTTGCCCCATCTCCGCCTTGTCGGCAGTCGGTACGCTCGGCTGGCCTGTTTTCCTTGGCGCCATACTGAGTTTCTGGGCAGTGGGCGATTCCTCCGCGAGTGGTTTTCTGCTATTCTGAGGTTTTGTTGAGGGGGTTTTGTCGGCCATATGTGTATACACGTGTATACACTCCCTTCTACCAAAAGTTCATTGTATGGCACAAAACCGTCCTGGCGCCGTGGGCTGCCTCTGGGAAGTAAGCTTTTTTCAGGTTTGGTAGTAATTACACCCCCTATGAACATTTGGCTTTCTACCTGCATATCTTCCATCTCAGATATTGGACGCTGCTTAGAGTTTGGGTACGTCCGGGATGACAGATTCTGCCTAGCCTCTGGTTCATCCAAGACGAGTGTGCCTCCTTCGAGTCTGGTGTCAACGTGTTCTATTGTACGTGAGGGGACCTTGGAAGGTTTTCCCTTACGCTTTGCCTCTTTTCCGCGTTGAGCCTCATCTTCGTTGAAAGCTTGATTAGCCAGGGCACCGTCGAGATGGCTCTGGATGTTTAATCTCTACTAACTGATCGAATCGTAGCACAGTCTAAATGGCACTGTGGAGTTTTCGTCTACCGGAAGGATTTTTTGTTGGAAGACCAGTCTAGTCCATGCATCTCTAGAGTCTTGATACTAGGAGAACTAATAGGATCGAGTTGTTTCCCCCTAGTTGTAGAGATGCCAAGCTTTTACGGCCGCGCCAGGGCCATTAGAGAAAACTCTGCGGTCAGTTAGACATGTCTCCAAGTATCCTTCGCCACTGGCTCTGAAACTATCGTGGGATGTCGTGTGAGGGTTTAGGGAAGGGCCGTAGTCACTCTGTAGATACCTCTGCTTGTAGATGACATGGTGTCCAGTTCACCTCGTTGGTTCCTAACCGACGTGCGCGGCATCGAAGATGTTGCACGTCTATGTGATATCATCAGACGAGCGAAGCTTCAATATCACATAAGGTGAGCGAGCATACGTAATTGAAGATACCTGTCAGAACATGTCAAGTATCACGATCGCCTAGTGCGGGAGGAGTAGGTCAAGAATCTGAACACTTGTCCATGAGAGAACCTTTGGTACCTAGGCTACACTTCACAGTCTCAAGTCGAAAGGCGACTCATCCACGCTGCAAAAAGGACCGAGTGAGATTTCAGTATTACATAAGGCGGCAATATGTAATTACACATAGCAGAACATGTCGAGGATCGTGATCGCCCCGTGTGGCAGAAGCAGGTGACGAATCTAAACCTCTGTTCATAGGAGAACATTTGGTAGGCTACATACACACTTCGCAAAATCAAATAATAAGGCAATATAATCCACGCTGGAAAAAAGCCCAGGCGAGCAATCCCCTCCGACACATCACCACATTATTCGTTTATTGATCAATTTGGCTGACTCTTTTCGGTGTAGGTGTTGCAACCGTGTGTGCGAGGACGAAGATTCCGGGTTCAGGGTAGGTAAAAGCAGGTGGAGAAACCATGGGATCATCACCAACGTCCATCGAGGCACATCACGACAAACGCGAATTTCTTTTGCCCTTTTTCATCCGCCCCCCACGCACCAGAATGCATTCGCGATGAGATGAGCGAGTAGCGATGGATGCAAGCAAACCTGCAAAATAGAAACATCCTCCAAAAAAATTGGGGGTGAGCGCTAGGTTTTATAGGACATGGTTGCAACGGCAATCGCCCGTGTCCGGACATACGGATTACCTGGAGGCCAAGTTCGAACCGTAGACCCCTCGAGGGGGACGGCGTCCGTACTGCAGGATGAGCAGATGTCTCATTCCGTCTAAGTCGCCCGCAGGGACTAACGACGGTACGATTAACCGCTACACCACCCGACTATAGGCAGCTCTGAATGTTGGAAGGCGTTGCCAAATATTCCTCTAAGTAGTGTTGGCATGTGCTTCCGGTTCGCCCAGGCGGTGTAGGCGGGCTCGTCGCATCTTGGGGGGGCCAGCAGGTGACGGCCAGCGAGCTTCAGCGGCTGGGTGAGGTCGGTGGTGAGGGCGCGCCAGGCGGCAACAGGGAGCCTCCGCTGGCGGTCACCTTTGAAGCAGCCCTCGCTCAGTGAGGCTCGTCTGTATGGGAGAGAACCCGAGCTTCCACGCATCGCATGGAGGAGTGAGGCATATTTCCAACCGTGCACTCGCCCAAACATCAACGTTCTCGACAGAACCTTGCGAGAGCACCATTTTGGATCAACACCCGCCCGCCCGCACACAAGAAAACTCTGATGGATGTGCGACCGCACAAATGGGAATTTGCAGTATGCACCCGGGGTTCTCCTTCCCGCATCAGCGTTTCCCTGTCGTGCCTGGTAGCGATGAACGCCTCAACATCTTTGCACCCGAGTGGCATTCCTCCGCGCAAACGATCCAAAGTCGATCAGAGGTGCCTCTCCACGGACCTTGCATGATCAACAGCCCATGGCCGACATCGCTGGCATCGAAAAGATCGTCCTGAGCCATGCATTAGCCGGGCATGATATCCAAGCAACGCGCGTGGCACGACCGTCAACAACACTCGTCGAGACTTGTCGGGGCTAGATGGTCAACTTCATACGAGGATCATGGTAAACGGATTGTCGCCGGAGGCTTCTAGGCCCGGCCACGGATGGATCTCGTCCAAAAACGTGCAAAACGGTTTTCCATTGCGTGCGATTCAACGGCCACGCAGGCGCAACAGGAGGCAGAAAGAATGGAAAGAAGTCTAAGTTACGCAACGCCTCCAAGTGGATCGATGGACAGCTTACGGACTAATTCTGGTCAGCCACCGATTGACTAAGCTTGAAGGGAAGGCAGCAGGGATTGTGGTGGAGACGAATGAATGCCCCTTTGGGCGACAGAGCATCAACACGATGATGCAGTGGCAGCCGATACTTTGTTCTTAATGTGCAAGCAGTCTACCAGACTTCTCCTCTATCGGCAGCCGAGAGACTCGTCTTCGGTATGGAAGGATTTGTGATGCCGAACTCCTCTTTGAGGCTACACAGAACCGGGATTGGGGGTCCGAATTTTTCACCGTTGAGGTATGGCTTCTTCTGTAACTTTGTGAACACTACGCCGGGTATGGTTGGTTCGACTAGAATCAAATCCGGGACTTCTCCAGGCAAAGTATGCCGGTAGGCTCCCGTTTGCTCTGCTTCGAACTGCAGTTATGAGATATCTGGGCGACATCTGGATCCCCAGCCCATGCCTACGCAAATCCGCCGCTAGCCACATTCCTCGCACATCTGATAATGGACCCAAGAAATCCCCGTCCGTCTCCTTTTGAGCTGTCGAGTGATTTCGTTTAAAGAAGGTATATCAATTTCTTGCGTGTTTGCCCAAGGGTCAGAGGTCTGACAAGAAATTTGGTGATTTTGCGTAAATCTTATTCGTAGGGCAACTATCCATCTTCACCACCAGCTATGTCTACATATTACACCTCCTTTAATAAATGAGCCGATTTAGTAATATCAAAGGCTAAACAGCTTTTTAATAGCACATTGAAGGGTTTTGTGGGCTGCATCGGTGTGACATAATAAATTTTTTTTTGGTGTACGGCTGCGGGTCCAGGGTAGCCTCCTTGTCTTAGCATCAAGCGGGACATGGGAAATGGGACTGACAAAGTGCCAGGCGAATAGTGTGAGCATTAGGCAGCAAAGACGGTATCCCGATTGGATGCACTGATTCGTCAATTGGCATAAGCTTGGGGTTGATGCAGGGGCCGTGTCTCATTCTGTATGTCATCTGGGGCCGATGTCAATCATTGATCGACCGGGAATCTACGTCTGCAAGTAAGTCCAGGCTTGCGAATCAACGTGGTGGCGGTGCCGGAGAAGATCCCTCGAGATCGGCAATGGGCATAGACAGAGCACCTATATTCACATCGCAGGCTATAGCACCGATTTCCCATGCTAGTAGTCTGCATCCACGCCATCTATACAGCATTGCGTTTTTATTTGCTTTCCTCGCCATCTAAAACTTTCATCCATCGGCCTCTCACAGGCTCTATATCATCTGGGTAAGAATGCCCGCTTACATCGGGGTGTCATAAGTAGTCGTCCAACCAAAGATCGCTTCTGTACGTGCTGACAACTAATCCCCTCTCTGCTGCTGCCAACCAAAAAGTAGCCACACGATGTTTGGGTGTCGAGCCAAGCGTTATCATCATTTGCAACGGTACCCGCCCTGATACTATTTCATGTCCTTCGTTGGTTCCTCAATGTGATGTTTCCACTATGTCCCATGCAAGTACTTGCTTAACCAGTCATTGATTAACTCCAGAAACAATGATGCCCCTTGAAAATGGAACAAGAACACCAATATTGCCTCTTTTTTCCTGTGTGCGCGCGTATAACCCATTATATCAAACCCACCCACGGTCAGATGTGAACTAGATGGTGTAGTTTTGTCTCAGACTCTGCTGGTCATTTGGCTGCATTCGATTAATGAAGTCCTCGAATCCCGGTATAATCTGCTTGTAAATATTGAGAATCTGATTTCGATGGCTGTTAGCAAGATGTACGTGTTCGAGGGGGGTTGTTTGGGGAAGAAGGGTTCCAAATTAATTGACATACGTTTTGGAAAACATCATGTAACTCTTGCTTGATCGGGTTGCTGAGGCTCATATCTTGGTACCGGGCAATGGCGACAAAGTAGTCTAGAAGAACCTTCTCAATCGATTGAGGATTCTGCGCCACAATCATTGAAAATCCCTTGAAAGCAGTGCCCTTCTCTTCGGAGGCATCAAATTCAAGCATGGCATTGAGGAAATCATCGGCAAATTCGGGAAGACGTGCCGCCAACTGATCGGCGTTATCGATACCAAGGCGTCCAAGGGCGACGGCTGCATTTTCCTGGAGGCCCTTAGGCACCCGGGGATTGCCAAGGATCTCGATAAATCGAGTGGTCAGTTGAGAGATCCAAGGTGACATCTCTTTCCGGTGCTGTAGTGCGATTTCTCCGGCCGACCAACAGGCATTGTTGACCACACCAAATCCGCTGTCCATGTCCTCATCCAGAACACTATCAAGATCCAGTTGCTTCAATAGAAGAGGTAGCATGTTGGGAAGGTATTGGCGAAGTTGTGGGAAAACATATTTTGCACAGTCTCCCAGCAGGGCATAGGCCGACTGCCTTACTTCGTCCGTCGGGTCTTCCATGCAGAAACTGAGAAGCTCGAAGAATGACTGCTGTGATGTCTCGACGAGCTCCTGCGACTTAGCTCCTTCGAGAGCTTGGATGATGGCACTCAATAAATCTAAACTGGTGATCAGGAAGTCTTTCTCTGGTGTGTCGAGGGCTGGGTTAGCGGCTGAGGCCAGTGTTTGCTCAAGGTTAACATGAATGATGTTGACACATCGAAGGAAGATGGTTGGCGCATACGGCGAGAAGGAGTCGCCAAGAGCCAGTGCGACGTACGAGAGGCACTCAAGGAGGGGGAATAGCTCCCGGGACTGGTCTGAGACCTTGTTGTATCGGTCTATCAAGGCCGGCATGAGTTCGCTTGTCAGATCTGGCCTGGCTAGGAGCGGGCCGAGACGTTCGGCCAGTGTGTGGACACAGTCATAGAGAATATACATGTTGCGGTCTTTGTACTTGGCAAAACAACGGACGAATTGCTGGACAATTGGGCCACAGTATGGTTCCAGATGGCTGCCTGCCTTCTCTTCCAAGTTCGCAAAGCTGGATGCGGCGGCCTCTTGGACTTTCTTGTTCTTGTCGAGCATGTGACGCAAGATGCCATCCATCATAGGAACGAAGAATTGTTCCTTTTGAGATTGCTCGCTCAGGTTCGCTGCCCATGACGAGTATCGGCCAAGTGTCCAACAAGTGATCTGTCTGACAACTGGCTCTTGGTCTTCCAGGAGAGAGATGAGATAAGGGACGAGTTCGGGCAAGTGAGGGACAACGACATCCATACAGCCCTCAGCTACGGCACCAAGCGCGAGAACGGCAGCCTCACGCTGGGGCCACTCGCTGTGCTTGAGGTTCTGGGATAGGTAGGGGAAAATAGCTTCAAACACGGGATTCCTGAAGTCACGAGCGAAGACGTCAAGTGCAGCTGCCGAGCACTTGCGAACAGTCCACTTCTCATCGGGGTTTTCGTCACCATCATCGAATCCCTCAATCTCGCCTTCTTCAAGATCGTCATCCATGCTAGGCACCTTTTGGTAAGAGCTGTCTGTCTTCTCTGCCTCGGCGGCGGAGCCATCGCCGTTGGCAGCATTTCGGCTCTTCTTTCCTTGGGCAAATGCTGGCTTAATGTCTTCTTCGCGGTCCTCCTCCTCCTCATCGTCTGACGCGCCGCCTAGGAGGGCAATATCTTCGCCGGTGTAGACCATGCATTCCAGCAGGACAGGGATGATCTTGTTGAGGTGAGGACGCAGCGCCTTCCAGAGATCATCGTGCTCGCCAACCGCCAGCCAAAACTCGGAGGCCTCACAGGCAAGCTCCTCGTCGTCGCCGGTTTGCTGACTGACAATATAGTCCACAAGTCCGCTGAGATGAGGGACCAGCTTGTCCGGGCGGGTCTCAACAAGGTTCACGAAACCCCGGCAGACTTGCCGGCGGACATCGGTATTGTTATCGCTTGAGAGTACGAAAAGATGCTGCAGAAGATCGTCGACGGAGTTCATCACAGCTTGTGAGCGGCGAGGTACGAACACGTTGATAGCTGTCAAGGCGCCGGCTCGAACCCGAGGCAGTGGGTTCTTCGTAGCCGTGATAAGCTGAGGTAGAACGTAGTTGAGAGGACGCTGGCCGTTGACCTCTCGGTTCAACATGCCGAAGTTATCTTCGCAGATCTTTACCATGGCGGACATGGCACCCTCTTGCGCTTCATTAGAGACCTGGCCAGAAGTGTTTCCGATCAGGTCGAGCAGCTGGGGGAGCAGCTCTGGCCAACCCAGCAAGCCACCTCTTCGAATGATTTCGGTGGCGATATTACCGGAAAAGTTGCGAATCTGTGAGTTTTTGTCCTGTAGACACATGGGTATTGCCAGCTTGACAAGCTGCAAGCTGGACTGCGGGATGTCTTTCCAATCCGATCGCACATTGTTCTTGATCATCATGGCAGCGGCGGACCGCACAAGGTGGTATTCTTGCTCATTGTACTGGAGGCCCTCGGGGGGCTGAGAGCTGGAGAAGAGGAAGGCGAGGTAGTTGTTGATGTCGGGAGAGGCCTTGGCCTGCTGGAGCATCTGTTTTGAGTGGAAGCGAAAGTTGTCAGCCAATGAACTGGAACTCTTGGGGTTGGTGGGGTTGCCGAGATGAACTCACCAACTCGGCTTGCTTCTGAAGGTTCTTGTTGAAGCCGCTGAGAGAGTCCTTTAGGCAGGCAGCAAGCTGCTGCAAGGAGTCGTGAGAAGGTTGCCAAGACATGGCTGTCATGGGCTCGGAGAAGTCGTCGGTCGCACAATGGAACGGACTGTGGTGGGTGTCGGCGGTCTTGCTGGCGCGCGCGCAGAAGAGAGAAGCCGTTCGATTGGGTCAATCACATGGAGAGGAGCTTTGCGACTCCTGCGTCTCGACGTGGGCCGGCCTGTAGAGCTTCGGCAGGGGAAGACAGAAAACAAGCTTGGGCGCCGACCTTGAAGATGGAGGTTGCTTAGGGTCGAGAGGGAGAGCGAAAGAGTAGGTTGGGTGCCCCTCAGCAGCAGGGGTTCCGCCGTTCGTGGGGCTACCGTCTATATCAGCGCTACACTTCACAGGGCTCGACGCAAGACCCAAAAGTCAACTTTTGCTGGCGGGACTGGCGGTGGCTGCGGGGAATCATCGGCCAGGTAAAGGGAACAAACTCACCAACTGCAAAGGCTGCAATGAAGATGGGAAGAAGAGTTAGTACGCTGGGGATGATTGGATTCGATTGGGGGACTCCCATACCTCGCAGACAAAGGTTATGTGGGAGGGCAGGATGGGTGGCTGCAAGGGCCCAGTGCTTAGACGGTCAGTAAGGAATCTGGGCTGGCTGTCCAAGCAGGAAAATTATGGTGGTCGCACTTGGGTGGTTGCTGGTCTGCCCACATGGTCCAACGAAAAAATTGTGCTGTCATTAGACTGGTGGGTTGCTCAGTACTTGCGAGGTACCTATCCACCCGGTGCCGCCAGAAGCTGGAGCGGGAGGGGCACCAGTATCAGCAGCCACTAGCTGGTGACCTCGAGCCCACACACCAAAGATAGGTGAAGGCCGGCTACTACCAGGCAACTTACTAAGTGAGGGTAGTATGGTAGTCTGGTAGTCTGGTAGTATCAAAGTATCCGGCCAAGCCAGCCCAAGACTGGTTTTGACTCTGCGTAACCCAGAGAGGACGACTTTGCACGGGGTCGCACTCAGGCGCTACGGCACTAAGGCATGTAGGCGGCGGGCACGGGCAGCGATAATGATAACCCGCCTTCCCCCCACCATGGTCACTCCTTCTGAGGAAGGCGCACTGCACTGTCGTGGATGGCCTACCTGGCTACATCGGGTTACTCTTGGTGGGCTAGAGCCGAGAATAAGTACCAAGGCAGGTCTCAGCGCAAAACACTGGCTCTGTTTCCTGCCTGCTAACTGCCGGAAACAAGAGCGAAGCAATGGGTCGCCCTGTAGCCACCCGAGATGCCTGGGTCACGCCATAGATTAAGGGTTCTGACGGGAGGGTTGGCCGGGAGATTTTTCAAGCTACTCGTGCCATGTTGCTCTACAACTCGGTGTGATGCCACCCTAGCCCAATCTTTTGCAAGAAACAACCTTGAACCTTTTTGGATCACGGATCCTGCACACAGTTGGCTGGCCGAGAAGCCCGTAAAATACACTGTCTGAGTGGGAGAATTGGCGGGCATCTCTGCAACCCTTGTTCCACAGCAGAGCAGATTCCCATGAGAGCCACTGGTCGGTAACTTACATGCGTTCCCTGCTCCAGCCCGCAGGGATGATTAAACCTACAGGAAACCAGACCAATACGGAATGCACACATCCGGAAAATGGGAGCCTGTTGCGTATAATATGGTGCTGGGTCAATATGTGCACTTTTAGAGTGCCTGCATGCACGCACCCGCGACAGCCAATTTCTTCTGGGCGCCTGGCACACCGCACCTTATCTCTAATAACCAATACGTAGGTAAACATGACTCTCGATCCATGTTCTGAAACCTAGCTGCCTGAAATGCTTTGCCGTGGCTCAAACCCAATTCACGATTTAGAATCCGAGTTTGCGGTGTGAAATACTTCGATGGTAAACTGAACCCCGATTGGGTGGGTGGTATGACCAATAATATACTCTGTTACAGCTACTACTATGTACTGCTACTGCTACAGAGTATCAACTCGGCTTTCCGCAGGCTGGGCATTGGCAAAATAACGGGGGAGAGCACGAATCAGCGATCAGGCATCATCACTGGCAGTCCAAGGTCGTACAATGGCCCAAGCTCCCGTAGCATCTATAGCAATATCAACTATAGATTTGAAATTTTCTAGCATTGATTTGCTGAGGGCAGCCGTGTAATATCACGTCCGACGCTGTAGATACATGGATCCATGGCTGCTATGCCCATTCCCCCGTTGATGGTAGACCAACGATTCAACGATATAGGAGCTGCGTTGTCCGCATAAATCATCTTGACCTCAGTCAACGCGGTGCTGCCAGCCTATGGGGCTTGCAAGGCTGTTATGACCGGCGTGGTTGGTCGATATACGAAGGAGGGACTTTCTATTCCCTTCTAAATGGGGAGATCCGTCCAACTCCTTCCGAATAACGGTATCGAAATCTGGAATATGCCGACTTTGGCACCCTTGACTTGACAATATGGGAAACCCCGCTAGTGTCACAGCGAAGTAGTCCTCACTGAATAGGCAAAATCAAGAAGACGAAATCCCATTCCTGTCCCCTGCCCCGACGCCTGCAGCCTGGATCTTGGCAAGGGTGACATCTACGATGTTCTTGAAGCCCTCCATCTCCTCCTCCACCGTGCCTCCCATCCCCGCATTGGCAAAGCTCACCGAGTTGGTCACGTACGTCGGCAGGCCTGTCCTCCGTGCGAGGAGCTTGGCCAGACGGGTTGTGAATTCCAAGGTAGACTCATTCGAGAAGAGGATGGTGGATAAGGGCTGATTTGCATCGTATCTCTGTAACCCGTGTCAGTACCTAGAACATGCATGGCTGGGTTGATTCTTACATTGGGCAACGCATAGACGAAGGAGCCCATGGCGGCCGTGGAAGCAGCATCGTCCTGAGATGCCGTAGCGAGTGAGAGAACAATGGCTTTGGCGCGCGTCGACAGGCGTAGATGGATGCGCGTGTCGAGTGATCGTGGCAGCGGGATAGAGAATTGCTGAGCCTCGCTTTGGTTGACGGCCATGATGGGCTGTTGGGATCTCAATCGGAACCTAATGGAAGGTATTTCCGGCAAGTCATACACGTATAACACGACCTCACTTTCTCATGTGAAGGCAGGCGTGGGTAAATCAAATGGACTGGCGGTGTTTGGAGTGGCTAAGATCACATGATGTAGCCCAAATGAAGCTCGATTGCCTACCCAGTACTGGCAATGTTCTCTCAGTGGAGTTGGGCTAACCTGAATTCTTTGGAGCATCGGCTCCGCCCGAGAACCGCTGCTTCATGTTGCAGTGAAGCGGGACGATTATTGCCCTATCAATTGCAGATGCGTTTATCAACAACGAACTCAACAAATTGCCGCTCGCGGGGGCAGGAGGATCTTTCTTATCTTGCTACATTCATCAATTGAAAGTGTAGCAAATAATTATTATCCCGGGGTGCTTCCTCTCCTCGCTGATTATTTTGCTTCTCGCCGTAAGATTTTTTGCCGGGTCTCTACTCATCTCCCCTCCTTCCGGCGTGGGAGAGAGATCCACGGGTGGCATCTTTGCCCTGAACATATCCCGCCCCTTCAGGCAAAAATCGACCAGACCCCTCTTACATGGCCGCCGCCCACGATGACAATGCTTGGGGCACGGGCCTGGTTGACGAGGAGTCTCAAGACCCCGAGGAGCTCCGCGTCATCTACGCTGCCCTAGACTCGTTCTCGTAAGTAGCGTGCAGGTTGGAGATGGTGAACCAATGATTTGAGGAACGGGAAGTTCGATTAGCATTTGATTATGTTCTGACCTCGTTTCCCTTTTCATCTTTGCCAGGTATAGTTGTCCAATTGCTAAACCCCTCACAGTCAATATGCCAAGGTCGCACATTTCAATGTCACACACCTTCGCCGCCAGTCCTTCTATGCTCTCCCGGAGGCTCATTGGAAGATGCTCGCAGCACCTCCGTTCAACTTCCTAGAGACACTGGAGAAGACGGATGACGCCATAGACTCCAACGCGGCTCTCGCCCGCGCAATCGTCAACGCCAGCCTGCAAAACTTTGGACTCTCCAGCATACCCCCGGAATGGACCGGTACCGCCAAGCACAGCGATATCGACAAGGCCAGGAGCACGATCCGCCAGTTCTACCGCGACTGGTCCCTCGACGGAGCCTCTGAGAGAGAGGCCAGCTACGGCCCTGTCCTGAAAGCCCTGGGTGAAGAGAGGGCCAACCGATCCACTGGCGGCGACGGCCCCCTTCGCGTCCTCGTCCCAGGGGCGGGCCTGGGCAGGTTGGTGTTCGACCTCTGCGCCGGCGGATTCGAGGCGGAGGGGAACGAGATCTCCTACCACCAGCTGCTGGCGTCGCAGTACGTGCTCAACAACTGCCGCTCCGCCGGCGAGCACACCATCTTCCCCTGGGTACACACCTTCTCCAACCACCTGACCCGCTCGAACCACCTGCGCAGCTATCCCGTCCCGGACATCCACCCGGGCACCGTCCTGAAGAGCCTGCCCGCGGTCGGCGGCATGTCCATGTGCGCCGCCGACTTCCTCTGCGGGTACAGCAAGGAGGAGTGCGTCGAGAGCTTCGACGCCGTCGCCAGCGTCTTCTTCCTCGACACGGCGCCGAATCTGGTCCGCTACCTCGAGGTCATCTGGAACTGCCTCAAGCCGGGGGGAGTGCTCATCAATATCGGCCCGCTGCTGTGGCACTTCGAGAACAACGCCCCCGGCAACCACGGCCGTGATGACGACGGAGACGGCGAGCATGACTACAACAATTCATCCGGCATTGCCGATCCAGGCAGTTTCGAGCTCTCGGAAGATGAGGTCATAGCTCTGCTCGGTAAGTTGGGGTTCAAGGTTGAGTGGAAGCAGTCTGGGCTCGAGACACCATATATCCAGGATCGGGAGAGCATGCTGCAGACCACGTACAAATCGAGCATCTGGGTCGCCCGGAAGCCCGTCAAAGAAATGAAGTAAAATGTAAATACCATTGATCTGGATTGAGAATAATTGAAAAAAAAAAAGACAATAAATAGACGAAGATCCCACAATACTGTTTTGTGACTCCAACGCTTACTTGATACACCCAGGAACTTCTAATCCGAGAAAGAACCACTACGCCCCTTCCTAAACGCGTCGACTCTATAGCTTCGACTCTCCCGCCGATCCCAGCTGGCCCCTGGCCCAGACGGCACTGCCGTCCAAAGCAATAGCCTCCCCATTCACGTACGCGCCAGCCCGGCTGGTGAGGTACACAACCACACCCGCGATATCCTCCGGCCTGCCCAGCCGACCCAGCGGGTTCTGCTTCCCCAGCTTGTCCACACCGCCAGAGAGCTCCAGCAGCCCGTTGGCCATCTTGCTCGGGAAGAACCCGGGGCATATCGAGTTGACCGTGACGTGCCGCGGGCCCAGCTCGACGGCCAGGTTCCGCCCCAGATGGATCACCGCCGCCTTGCTGGCCGAGTAGCCGTACGTCCCCTGCGCGCCCAGCGTGCCGATGCCGATGCCCGCCACGCTCCCCATGATGAGCACGCGCGACGGGTCGGCCGCCGAGCCCGCCTTCTCGAGCAGGGGGGCGAACAGCCGGATGGTGTTGAAGACGGCCTTGACGTTGAGGTCCATGACCTTGGCGAACGCCGAGTCCGGGTGCGTGTCGAAGCCTTCACCCCACGAGGCGCCCGCGTTGGCGAACAGGATGTCCACGCGGTCCGTGTGCTTGCGCACCTGGGCTACGAGGTCCTCCACGCCAGCGAGGGTGGCGCTGTCCGCGGGCGCGGGGATGGCCACGGCGCCGGGGGACAGGTTGGGCAGGGCGTTGAGCGCCTTGCAGGCCTCCTCGCAGGCGGCGGCCTTGCGGGAGGTGATGAAGACCTTGGAGGCGCCGGCCTGGAGGATGCTGTTGGGGTGGTGGTTAGCTAGAGGCGAAGAAGAGAGGGGAGAGAGACTCACGCTGAAGCTGCCGTTAGACCTAGGCCGCGCGAACCTCCGGTTATGACGGCGACCTTGCCCTTGAGGGAGAAGAGGGAAGGGAAATCGGTGAGTTGTACATCGGCCATGACTGCAAGGTGTAGAAGAGCAATTGGAATGACTGTATTATGTGGCGGATTCGGGGGACGATGTGAATCGTGTTCAGTGAGAATCTACAATTGGAACCACGAATTGAAGAATTACAAAGAAGGATGATGGAAAATAGAGCTTCGCCAGGGAGCCATTCGAGATTATAACCCCAGATCGCATCTGGCGTCAATCGGTCTCGGTTGCTCCCTCGGTTGTATTGACCTTGCTTCAGGCCTATTTGTGTGGGGAGTGAAGCTGGGGCCGAGGCACCGATCCCGCGCTCTGCTAGGCCTGGCTTAGCCTGTGGCGAGCGCTCGACTGGACGTGGGGCTGTCGCTAGGGGCCAACCTTAGGTACTACTTATATTTATTAATACATGCCAATGGCGTCTTATTGCTTCACGTTTGGTTCAAGAAAGTAATAAATGTGTATTTGCCCAAGTAATGCTGGAACAAACTGGCGCTAGGATGCAAGATGCTGCCTGCAGTTACGACATGCTTCCATATCCCATCCCAGTTGCAAGAAAAGCAAACATTTAATCCATATATCCATTCTTCATTAATTCGTGACAAATAATAGTTCGTGTCAGATCATTTCTTCTCTCGTCATTTCCAATCCCGGGAAATACTGTATCATTCTGGCGGGAATCTTTGAGTTCGTGAAATCTGTTCCAGATGAGGTGACGAAACCAAGAAGACCAAAGCAAGCAAAAGATGGGGAAAGCGCAGCGTGGAAACAAACAAAAAACTGTTTCTGTGAGATCTTTGGTTGGCGGGAACCGATATTCTTCCAAGACAGAACCGTTAACGCCACGGTATCCAAACTCGACCAATTTAATGTGGCTCTTGTTGGTTTCGATGATGGCTTGTACCCTAGTACACCGCGATGGTGCGATGCCTATTAGTGGGAAACGTATATGAAAAGTTGTACTTTTGCAGTACAACTTGAAGTTGATAAAAACGTGATGCAGTTCAGCGATTTGCACGCCTTCACTGCGCCGAGCCTGCTGTGCTCAGAGAGCCTGTGCCCTTCATATGCCCAGGGCTTATTTACTTTCGATGATGGTGGTTCTTCCTCTCCCAGCATCTCGAGTATGCCTTCTTGACAATGCTGAAGTCATCGGGGTGAATTCTTCCGATGAATAGCACCAAAGCATTGTGCTCAATCGTGGATGGCTTTGAGTAATTTACTCTAGACTCTTTCGCAAGAGTTTCCATTGGCTCAGTCATCTGTGCCCTCACGGGTTTGAAACCGAGCGCGGGCTCATTGTTTAGCGTCTTCGCCTTTCTCCGTTCATCGTGGATGATGCCGTGCCTGTCGGGTTTTACACCCTTCTTAGTGCATGCCTTGCTTTCGTAGGTAAGAATAGGTCTGTCAATGGAGTCAGTCTGCTGTTGTAAAATCCATGTTTCGAGATCTCAAGTGTTCCACGTACACGCATGTGCAATGTCCTTGGTCATTGGCTATGACGATAAATCGCCGGAATCCAGTATGGACAAGCTCTCCAAGGTGTGATACGGTCTCCTCGCGGCCTGATAGGCTGGGTATCTTTTTGCCTTTAGGCTCGCTCCAAAAGACTTTGAAAATCTATACATGACGATTAGTCGCAACGTTCAACATATTCAACGTGCAGAATTAAGTTCGAGGCTTACCTCTCCGGCGCGGAATTTGCTGGAAGGTTGAACAGCATATCCTATACAAACTTGTCAAAATATGATTGACGAGGTCGGGGTTGATGGGTAGACTGACGGTTATCCAGGTACTCTGACTGGTAGGTATTTGATTGCTCGGCGACGGCCGTATCCGCATCACTCTCCATGTGAGTGCCGTATCCGTACGACTGCCATTGTTGTTGCCGTTGCATATAGGCTGGGTCTGTTGTAGCGGTGTTCCCGGTTTCTTCTGGCGCGCCATCATTCCACTCTAAACAAACGTCAGTTGCGGTATTTTAATTTTGGGGTGAAACCCCCGTCATAACCTACCAGTATTCCCAGAAGCTTCTCCATATTGATATGCTCCGGTTTGGTAGCCGGTGGCCTGATAGCCGGCGTTTTGGTAGTCGGCAGTAGTTGTGTAGTCGGCGGTCGCGTAGCTGCTTGTCTGTGGATAATCATGACTTTGGTAATCGCCATAAGTATCTGCCGGGGGATCTCCAGATGCGTACGATGATCCTTGTGCGCCGTCGGTCTGTCCATACTCCTGTCCATAAGCCGCGTGTCCGTAGCCGGTCTGTCCATAGGCAGGTTGGTCATCTTCAAACGTCAATTAGCTGGCTGCAATTCGACCGGCATGAGCAAGTGGGAGTTGGAAGTCAAAATATCACATACCAACAGTGTTATATGCTTGGTAGGCCTGGTTTGCGGATTGATCGTCGTCATGCGCTCGGGATTTTCCTTTATGCGACTTGCCCTTTCCTTTGCTTTTGCTCTTGGGTTCGGTGGTGTACTCTTCCCCTTCTCCTGGAAGGTGGAACGAGTTAGTATTAACCAAACCCAGACAATGATTGAGTCTTGTTCACAAATTAAGCGCAGGGCCGGCGCCAGTTGCGCGCGGAGGTTTGTTGCGCATGGCGAGAAAAAGAGAAGCGCCAACTTACCGATGCTTTCATCCTGGTGGCCAAGCTGGACGTTCGCCAAGCCCTGGGCCACCTGTGACACGGCATCTTCGTTCTCGGTTCGAGGAGTCTCATCATGGTACTGGGTCTGGGGGTCGCCTGCAAAGGAAAGAATAAGCCATCTGGAAGACAGGCGACGACGATATCGGATCAATGGGTCCCTGATGGGCAACCTACCTTTCTCATTCCAACGCGTGCGAATATAGGTCTGATCGTGTTGACTCCACTGCCAATCCGTCCATTCAGTCCATCGATGTGAGTGCTTACCCATGGCGGCGACAGCGCGCGATGAGCAGAGAGTAGGCAGGTGGTGAAGGGCAAAGCTCAGCCGAGGGCGCAGGGCAAGGCAACATCCAAGGAAAGTAGAATGGGAATAGGTCGAAAGTGGTCAGACGGAAAGATGGGGGAAAGAATGGAGAAGCCACAAAGTCTATAGCAGCAAAGCGTCAATTACCGGGGAGGGTCGAGGTGTGGGTTCCCGTGTTCTTTGTATGCAGGACAATTAGGAAGCTGAGAAGCTGCTTGTGATGCGGCTCTACGGGTGCGGGGCACGGGCGAGACGGGCAGTCCAGAGGTAGGATTCGGTCCCAGGCTGGCAATGGCGCGCGAAGAGACAGTACGGCTCGGGAGCTCGAAGGATGTACTGTGACCCGGCGCGAGGTCAATTGGAGCAGGACGGGACAGACGATCTGGCTGCTGGGAGGGCGCTGGTGGAGTGGTGTTGGGCTAGACCCCTCACCTGACGCTTTCGCGAACATGCCGTGCAGCGCTCGCCCAAACGGCTGCAGAGTAGTCGCTCGCGTCAGGGTACCCTCTCGATGTTGCAGCGGACCCAATCATGAGCTAGGCGGGTGCCGACGAGGGGTCGAGGTTGTGATTGGAGTGGGTGGGCGACTGGAGTCTCTGCAGGTATGAGGGTAGGGGTGTGGATGTGATGTGGATGTGGATGTGGGTGAGCACGAGTGTGTGAGCGCCTGTGTGTGGTGTGTGCAGTCTGGAGGCATGCAATATCTGTGTGCCAGGTTGCAGCAGGAGCAGCAGCTCAGGATGCATGTGGAGATAAGGACCTGAGGGTTTGTTTCCCCACGAGAAAACATCGAGTAGGGTTGGAGAGAAGGTGACCATTGCTACCACCTGCGGGCTAGCAGGTAGTGCGGATGCCACCTCCCATCCACGAGGGTCGTTGGAACTGATGTCACTGTCCGTCGAGTGCTGTGCGACTTGGCCTCGGGACATAAATCAGGATCGATGCTGGTACGCCGCCAGACTGGTATAGGCAGCAGCTGTGTCTGGATGTCAGATGTCAGTCGCCAGGTTTTGGACTGCGGGCCGTCTTTCTTGGCTCCGTCGCCTGGCCGCAGACGATGGTCCGCCTCCAACGCAACGCCAGAGGGGTACGGAGAAGCTGCTAGTCGCTAAGCTCGGGTGTTTTGCTTTGCTCTCGCTAATCGTCCGCACGGCCTGCCAGGCATGGAGGCGTCCTGCGTTCTGCCTGATCAGACCAAATGTCGGAGAGGTACTTGCTTGCTCCACGCAAGGTAAGACATTGAAAAGCAAACATGGACGCCTCGGCAGCAAATGATGAGTCGATGGCTAGGATGGATGGCGTTGGCGTAGCCAAAACTAGTCAAGTATGCTTGCAGTCAAGTCGTGTCGGAGTATCAAGCACATCTCCAGCCAACCCAATCGAGGTATGCTTGAAACCCGGCTTGCATGACACCGTCGCACAAGACTGCGGCCTCATTTGAGATTCGTCCACAACGGCCCACGCTTGCTGCCCAGGTCCATCGTCGGCCCCCTGAGAGTCCGCCCATTGGAACCCGTCGGCATGCTGGTTTAGCCTCTTGAGGCAGACTAGCCACAGCCAGCTTGTCGTTTCCATGCTCGTCCACGTTGTGCGCTGCCGTGGCAGAAGGATATTTGAACAGCCGACATGCACACTGCAGACCAGGAGGAGCCACATCACCTCCCTCCTCCAGCCGACTAGGGGATGCAACAGGAGCAAGGGTGGCCATCCTACAGGGGGGCCAATGGCAAAAGTCGATTGACCCTCCCCGGAGCTATCTACAACGTCGTCGCCTGCTGAGGACCCCCAGGTGTGCGCCGTGCCGTAGCAATGCTATAGGCAGGTGCTGCACTTAACGACCAGAAGAGCTCTTGCTGAGGCTCTATCGTGGGCTAGGGCTGACCATATCGCGGCTCATCAGGGCTTTTCTGACCCAGGAAGCCATGTCGTGTCGGACAGGGAGGTCGTTGCTTGAATAGGGGGTTTCCGTGACGTCCAAAGTAATTCCAATTAGGCCACACGCCATCGAAATAGTCACTCTAGGCACGCTCAGGGTCGCACCTTGCCCGCTCCGGTATGCGGGCCCGTACCCAGTACCTCCGCAATCAACTCTGCACACCAGAAGCTCAACGAAAGTACCAGCCCCTCAACAGTATTTGCAAATGGATCGGCAGGTGGGCTCCAGGTGCTCAGGTAGAGTCCGGCTCATAGGCCACTGGAGCAGCTGCTTCGCGAGCAAGTGCTGGACCCGCCACCTCGCAGCTCGTGTTCAGGGTACAGCTGAGTAGCCTGTACTTCTGGGGCTACCTAGCTTCCTGGCTAGTGATTATTAGAATGAGATTTACCCGTCGCTCCCGTCCCCCGTGAGTGCTCGTAATAGGTGACAGGTACCCAGTACCAGCCAGGTAGCAGCTGCCTCTTAGTAAATTGAGGCGGCTCAGTGCCTGTTCATTGATTCATCCCTTCGCGTGTTTCCCAGTCGAGTCGCCCTGCTTCTTTTATCTACCTGAATAACCCCATCGCACACAAGCCAGAGGGCACCAACCACCTCGAGACCATCATATTTGTACGGTCAGCTCCCAGCTCCTCGCTGCTCCTGCATCCGGACCCGTCCTTCGATGACGCGCCAGCCTCTGACGCCGAGCCAAGAAGCACCTCCAGCAATTCTTAGCGTGGTCCGTAAGCGATGGTTTCTAGGCCAATTTTCTCGAATGAAGCCACCACACCGTCGCACTGAGCCGTGAATTCTAGCTACATGGAGGCCGGGGCGCTGGGAGCTTCGGGCACTTCGACCATCGCGCTCGTACGCTCTGCCGATGCTCTAGGCAATGAGCGCCGACTGCTCGAGTTTTGTGGGCAGTTTCCATGCCACAGCACCGTGTCCATGACCCCAGGGCGGGCAGCGCAGGGTGAGCTACCAGGCCGCGTCCATTCCGCAAGACCAGACCATCTCGCCACACACGCTCCGCAAGGGGCGGCGGCCATCTCTCGCGCCCCAGCTCTGCCCACTGCTGGGCCCCCTTCTCGCTTCTTGTTCAACGATATCTCCAAAGCAGCCCGCCAGCCTCCGGTTCCTTCAGATCTAATCCGGCTAGTCTACGAGGCTCCGAACGATCGACCCTCCGTAGTGGGGCTTCCTCTCCCCGTTCATGACCCTCCGAGTTACCATGTCCCAAACCAGACCGGACCAGGTGTGGACCCCGAGCTTGCCAATGCCCCCGACAACACGTTGAAGTTGTTCTCTACTTCGACTCAACTTCCTCCTATGAAGATTGCCCAACCGCCCATGACCCTTCCTCTGGCAGACCCTTCCTTCGCCGGCAGCTCGTACGGTCTCGGCGAGTCGACTGGCAGCTTGAACCCTCGTGTGTCCATAGGGGGCCCTCCTATGATAGGGTTGAACCAGCCATCGTGGGCACGCATGGACGTGGATAGCTCGCACACGGGCTCATACGGATATTCAGGGACTTTCCAACAGCAAGACTCTTCATCCTCTTCAGACGGTTTGTCTCTGGAAGACGACCCGTTGATGGCTGAGAACTTGCATCGGTTCCCTCCCCGGATGCCAACTGCTCCACCGTTCGCCAGTAGATCTTCTGCCCGGAAGAAGATCCAATCCTGGATCTCGGCTCACAAAATGGTAGGCATTCAAGAGCCAGGCCCTACCGACTCTCTAGATAACGCATCCTCTGAAGACGGGTCGGAGGCCTTTTCAGAAGCATCGGACGGGTCGTACGCAAGCTCCCATATGGATTTCGAGGAGCAATGGCGTCTCCTGAATCAGAAGAGGAAACGGGTGTGGGATCTCAGAGCTATCATTGCCGAGAAAAAAAGAATCTTAAAACCACTACGCCAACAAGCTTCAAATGCTGGTAACGCATTTATGAATGCCACACGTCATCTCATGGTCAACAAAACAGCTCTCCATAATGAGACCGACTCCCATCTGAACACATTATTCGCAGAGATGCAGCGGCTTCACTCAGAGTCACAGGATCTCGAAACCAGCTGCGAGGAACTCGAGGATGAAGTTGGCCAGGAAGAAAAGCAGCTGCAACGGATTGAATTTCGGTTTTTTAGCCTTCTGGCCGGCGACGACGGTGAAATGAGTGATGGTTCTTCGTCTGGACACGACGACTCACACATCAATGATCTTCCAGATGAGTTGCTCGGCATTTCTCCGGATAGGCCCTTGGAAGACTGGCATCCTCTCTTCCATCAGCTTACCTTTGCTGCAGCAAGCCTGCGGAGCGCGGAGGAAGAGGTCACCACTCTGCAATCTATCAGCAAACTTTGCGAGGAAAAGTGGATTGAGAGGAGTCATGGACAAAAATTGGCGAGAGAAATGGCCGATTTTCTCGTCGAATACCCTACTTTGGTCAAGACCAAGAAGGCGGAGCTTAATCAGTGTCGCCAAGAGGTTGATCGACTTCGTGCCATGTGCGAGGAGCGGCAAGCAATGGCCAAACATCTCCCAGTTCGCCTTGACCTTGCCCTGAATACCGACGCGGACCCCGAAGACATAGCCCTTCCCGATAACGACACAATACTGCAGGAATATAGGGCAATGCCTCCCCCAAGGTTCTCAGAGATTCTATCTCAACCCGACCATTTACTTACCTCGCCGGAGCCGCTCACCGCAGAAGCAGCAAAAAAGGTTGTGGATCGTTTACCAGAGAGCAATCCCGACAAAATGAGGATGGTTCGTCATGCTACGAAGGAGTTGGAAATTGAGAGTTTGTCTCTATTTGGAGATGAAGAAGACGACAAGAACAATAACATCAACAGATGGCTACTGCATAATCTTAGGTCGTCGCCTCTGGATGCCTCCCTGCTTCACTCTATCTTTGTGACTACACAAGAGCTGCGTATCCTAGATCCGCACCGATGGCAACGCGATGTTCTCTACTACTGGTGGAGAGACAAGATCCCACGGATCACTAATTTTACCGAGACTTCAGCTAGGAGAAGTATAAGCCGAGCAGTATCGGAAGGGGCCAATGAGACACAGATCAGCTACATACAGCGGAAAGCTTACAGCACAAGCTGAACAAGGCCAGCCACTGGCCAACATTAACAACTAAACATTCGATTAGCTTCATGTCTTTGCATGAGGCTCACGGTATTTTTGCTCTTTCAACGTTGATCTGGACTATGAAGATACCCGGGGTCGGCGTTTAGGGTTATTTACGCAGGAATAAAACTGGGAATTGGATTGGGTTTTCTTTGTCTATGGATTCTCTCAACAGGAGATTGACTAACCACAAGTTTCATGTTCATCCTTTGTTTATCAAGCGAAGCTGGAGATGGGATATTTAGAACACAGCATTCCTCCCCTCCAAGAGACACATATTGAGTAGCTGTCTCCACGACGGAACCAGACCATTAGAATTTAACGCTACTTTGTTTAATATTGATAATACATCTTCAATAGACTTGTTTCACCAAAGCGTGGCACATCTTGCTAGGCAGCTCGGCTGGGAAATGTACCCAGTACCCCCTCTCCTCTCGTCTACGGACAGGGCTTTTGGTAATTGTGAATATGTGGCGGCCGTGGCTTCAGCCATCAAGTCGGTCTGACGTTGCAACTGCAAAGCACATCCCATCCATCCATGCTGACCGCATTGCGCTTCAGGCGCTGCCCAATATTAGGCCACACCGACATGACTGTGTCCTCCGTGAAACGGTGCTACTGCGCGCCGGGGGGGGCACTCTATGCGCCCAGCAGCCATTGATAAGCAAGCCATTAGTCGCCTCGATGTGTCGACGCCGGGATCTCCAGCCTCTCAGGCGGTGACACCTGATGAGTCAAGGATAGATAGAGTCACGATTGCAGACGGCGCGCGGGGGAGGGAGGGGGGTGTACAGGGGGGGGGGGCAACGCACAAAAACCCGAGCAACAAGGCTCGGGGGAAGCTTTTTTTTCGTGTTTGTTTTCGCACTTCCAGAGGGTAAATGTGACATGTTCCCGCCGCGAAGGCGCTTCCGGGTGTGAGATGTGACGGCGTGCTGCTTACATGTATTCGGAGACGGGGCGCGATGCGATAGGAAGGGAGGGGGCATACCGTCATCCGCCACTCACTCGTCGTAGCAGGGGGACAAAGGGCAGCTTCATCTTCCATCGTAGGGAGAGAAAATGGCAAGGCCCAATATGCAGTTCATCGGAGTCCAAGAAGAAAGGCAAAATCTAAGCCCACTCACACATCGTGGGAAATGGGATTTCGTGCACCCACACTGCTTCACCGAAGGTCCGTTTCGGTATTGTTTGTTATATGTATATCACCTAACTTAGCATTAAAAAGAAGAGAAAAGAAAAGGATGATACTACTATATCCCTCCCATACCCGACCGGGCGGGATCCCGATTCGCTCGAGCAGGTCAGAGGAAGTGCCCAGCTGATCTCGGGACACGGGTACGACCAGCAACTCGAGCTGACACCCACCACCCTGATTTGCGGCTGAGGATCGGACAGTTGGCAAGGACGCAGCACAAGCATTAAGATAATTTCCCATAAGGTGGCCAGTGTGGTGTGGCCGGCCTCGCCCCGGGACTTGCTACGCGCCGTCACCCAGAGCGGCCACACTCACGGCCTGAGCGCTGAGTACCCAGTACCTTGGCCCGTCCTCATGCTCTGGAGGTACACCCCTCCCCCCTTCTCTCCTCCCCCAGGCGTCCATCTGAGTTACACAGGGCTGGGAATCCCGATCCCCTGGACGCGGGTGAGTGGCCGCCAGCCCGATCGGTATGTGGTGTTGGGCCTGTAGATGCACATGTGTCCAAGTACCACCAGATGGCTGCCCATATTACTTAGTACATGCTCGCGCAGCATGCAATATAGAGGCATGCCCGGCGAAACAAGCCCGTCCTGGAGTCGCCGGCATTGGCTACATGATGTAGCTTGAAATCGCTTCCAGTACATTGCAAGAGGTACTCTACTTTGCCTCTTAGATGGTGCCGTGGGCTGTATCTGGATAGGTCACTGGTCCGGGGAAGTCCGTCAACATTCCCTCACTCGCTCTCATGATAAAATGTACCGTATAATGCCATCTATGCTGAATACTCGGCTGGCATTCACTCTGTCCCATAGGTATTGGCGAGGATTCTGCGAACTCGGGGTATGATTAGGTAGACTGAATTATAAGACTACTGCAGTACAGATACAGAGAAACGTCGAGCTCGAAACAGAAATCATGCATCAACCTTTGCAAAGTGCAATGAAGTCCTCAACCACCAAACAGCGGAAGCCTCAAACGGGCGCAAGTTCCTCCATTGGCCCGCTCACGTCTTCAACTCCCCCAAATTCATTTAAAGCAATTCCAACTCTTGCTATGCTTCTTAGTTGCCCATTGACATGATGGTGTGGGCTTCTCGGTTGTGCTATTTACCGCCCGGGGAGGTCGTGCTGGCTTTTTTGGTCTGGTGGCTTCTGTGCTCTTTCGTGCTGCCATGGCTCGTTTTTCTGACGCGAATGTGTCCATGCTCCTCCGAGCATCCATTGCGACACTCTCGATGCTCCGCCGAGGAGGGTGTCTCTTCGAGTCATCTGCCGAGCATGACGCTCTTGATCCATGATGGGCCACTTTGTGTCTTTTTATCCTGTTCTGATACTCTATGGAGGCACGCTTTGCCCGTTCCACTTTCATCGTATCAGTAGAAGCACGGCGAGAGTGGTATGGGTGGCTAGATGGCAGTTGAGGATATTTCAATCCTGATGACATGCTTGGACGGGATGGGACTGCTGAAGATGCTGATGTGCGTCTAGATCCTTGCCTAGATATCTTTCTGCTAGATAAACCTCCAGCTTTTGGAGGGTACCGTTTAGGTGGCCGGGGCGAGGGCCGTGGTCGGGCAGTATATCTCTGGTCCAGGCCCCTCTGGTCCAGGCCCCTAAACTGGAAATTACCAATGTAGTCAACCATCCTGGTTTTCTATGTTGCTTTGGCGTTCTGTTTCGTTTGACCACGGCGGGTGTAAATAAGGGCGATCCAGCAGGCTTTCAACTAGTCCGTTCTTGAAGCAGTTGCCGAAACCGCATGAAAGATATGTTCCAATTAGTTATACTGCGAGGGAAAGTAATGATTTGATTATTGCGGGTAGAGGTGTTTGGTTTGTCAAGACAGATATATGATACCAGATCTGAATTTCAAGACTGAAGTTAGTGGCAGAAGGGAGATAGGTAGGCGGGATGAAGTGTCGAGTCAGAGTTCATGAGATTCAAAACAAGGAAGAAGCTTCGCCAGTGGTGTCATCACACAATATCAACCGCTCCTTCCAGATCTTTCTGTTTCATAGGCATCGGATAAATGTAGAAGGAGCTCACCAGGATCTACCTCCCATACTAGGTAAGGTACCTTATAGTAAGGACGATAGGCAGTACGGAAGGTACAGCTCAATCTCGCTAGACCTGCTTCTTGCCAATTTTATCAATATCGCTCTTTTCTTCTCACTGGTTTCCGCAAAGATCATGGAAAACATTCGTCATTCATTAATTCATCAGCTAGAAACTTAGATGCCAACTTGTATCTCTCAGCTGGCCGTGTCCTCATTCCGGCATCGCATTAGGCGTGATCCATACCCATAAATATCTTTTGTCTCTGACCTGGATGAGATTTTAAAAACCATTATAAACAAAAGAAATAGAGAGAAAAAAGAAAAATTAAGGTCAAACGCCCTTTACGGCTTCGATTGTATGACATTCCCAGATGGTTCCGAATTCAAGGCATTCGGTAACGCAGGCAGAGTCTTCCCACCAGGATTTCCCTTCGTTGAGAAATGGCCCCCATATCTGTCTCCAGAGCTCACGGCCTAGGTAGCTCCTAATCTCTGCTTTGACCATCTTCTTAGATTCTGAAAACTCCTGCAGGGTCTTCGGGTCCATTGTCTCAGTGCTCTGGTGAGTGACACTTGCTGGAACAGCGAAAAACTTGGTCACCGTTCGGGTGCTGCCTCTACCGCGTAAACCTGCATCACCCAGCCATTCTGGAAATAATTTGCAAGGGCTTGTGCATCTAAAGCTCCTTTCTAAATTGGAAAGTAGATGCTCTCTAAGCCAAGCCCTCATGTGCGGGCCAACAGTGCCTGCCCTTGGCATTGGGTTGACCAATATTAGGCGGAGAGCAGCGCCTGGCTTGAGACTTTTACTTATTCCACTCAGAAGATCGGGAATTCCAGCTGCAGGACACATTGCAGGTATAGTAAAGGAAAATGCAGCGTCATAGTTGCACTCTCCACGGAACTTGAGAGGGGTGGGTGTGCTTATGTGGATTGATCGCACATTTGGCGCGAGCTCAGTCGACAACGGCATTGGAGACACATGGTAGAACTTCTTTGTCGGGTATACAGCAGAGAGGAACATTGTTGTTTCTGTTGTAAGTAGTGTCAGTTTGAGAAGCAATCTATTAAATTCGATGTCGCTCACCTTGTGAGTCGTAGAGCTCCAGACAATTTGAAGCACCACTCATAGGGATAACCACTGGAGACTGAGAAGTGTTTGGAACAGTTGGTGCTTGGTCAAGATGATCAAGTGACCACAACATCCAACGACTGATTGGTGGGCCTAGAGCCTCATTGCCTTCCGCATCAGGGAAAGACTTTCCGGGAGACTGAAGTCTGAGCAGGATGCTATCAAGCGGCTGCGCGGACATCCATTTTAGTTCTTCTGTGCACTCATCCAGGCTGGGAAGGTTCTCGGCCTCCTTGATTAAAGGGATAGCGACTGCCGCACTATTTTGTGTAACTTTCAACGATGGAGTTACATTCTGAGCTCCGATTACGTTCCAATTGCCGGGATCATGAATTTTGAGCTTGGGAGATGTCTTCGACGGAACCAGTGGATCAGGGATGAGCGTCGCATCATGGGTTGGATGACCATTTCGAGTGTGTGCGTGTCTAGATTTGTGAGCATCAAGTTGGGCCAGATTCATGACCGACTTACAATTCCAATGATGATTTGGCGGATTGTGAATTCCCATAAACTCCCCGGCTATAGTTAACTGAATGTGAAGCTCTCCTTGGCTGACCCGGCGGGACTTGTGCCTGGCCAGAAGCCACTGCATGGCTTGAAGACTTCCGGCGAGGGAAAATAGTGATTTTGCTTCGCTCGTATTCCTTCGATGAACAATCGCGCACAGATTCAGAAGTTCCCTGGTCACTCTCTGGATACTTGGAGAATATGGAGTCTATTCAAGGTTGTGGTTAGCGCGATTCTCTGACTGGATTTCAAAGTATTATACCATGCTGAGAACTTCTGGGCGAAGCCAAGTCATCACCTCTTCCGAACGAACGAAGTTCGCCAGGATGAGAAGATGTTGACGGTCGCTCCACAGAGGTAGATGGTCGACCGGCGGCGAAACTAGGACGGCTTGGGATATCAAAAGTGGGAGACAGCGGCGATTGAGTAGATGAGAAAGTGGGCGATGCCAACCACGAGGACGAGATCGATGGTGCTGCTGATCCAGTTTCCGACGTATTCACTCGCTTAAGGTTCTGTGGCCGAAGAAAGGAGAAGGGAGAGTCGGCTGAGGAAAAAGAGCTACTTTTCGTAGATACAGACCTCCGTTTATCCAACTTTTCCTGCTTCTTCTTCCTCTCCTTTCTTGCTCGATGCTCTCCAACAAGCTCCCGGTTTGGGTCGGTCCAAAATACGTCCCACATGGCGGAATTCGCTGCTGCTTCTATTGCAGGGTCGATGATTGAGCTTCAAAGTAGAGTTGAAAGGAAAAACAGTAGTCGTCTCGAGTCCAGGCCTGTCAGTGATGGCCTTCTCGGGGGAGGGGTGGATGGAAGCTTTGGTGGACAATGTGTTCAAGAAAAAGAAAAGAAAAGGAAAAGTTTTCGCGGTGGTTGGTAGAGAAAGAAAAGCGAAATGAGCGAAGGAAACTACGAGAGGAAGAGAAAAAGTAATGTAGAATAAGTGGCAATTGGGGAGGGATCCCACTACAGAAGAAGAAGAAAAGAAGAAGTGAGAACAGAGTGAGGCACGCCGGGAGGGCAATGGCTGGCGCAAGCTGATAAAAGAAACGAGAATGCAGGTGGCAGAGAATGACTATGCGCATAAACCAGGTCGCGGGGAGAGTTGACCAGCGACGAGATGGACCCTCCGAGAAGAAGGAAATGCAAATGCAGAATGCACAAGTCAAGTGCGGTGGCCGTACCTGCCACTCAGGTGATATTGGTAGGCGAGATCAAGCAAGTGCAACCGTGAATCGGCTTCCTTCCATTGTCCCAGGTCACGCAGAGAGGCAGGACTATATGGGCGAGAAAGAACCTGGAGAATACTTCACCATACCTGGAACGACTATGCCCAGAGACGGGACCGATCTGCTGGCTGCGGCTCGCACACATCGTCACCCTGGCCTCACCTGGCTCCAGGTCACCAGCACCCGACCCCAAGACCGAGCTCGCGGATCAGCGCCGCCTGCCCCATCGCACTGCATCCCGTCCATGTGCTCGCTCGCTGCCATGTCACCACCCGGGAAGGCAAGCGGGTGGGAAGCTGGCGAAGCACATAAACTGTCAATGGGGCCATCCCCACGGCCTACGTATCTTGGAAGTACGTATAGGTACGGTGCGGCGGACGGTCGAGCACATCGCCGACTCGACTTGCCGACACTAAGGCAGTGTGGCGCTGGATTGGTCTTGGCCAGACTCGACTCCAGGCCCCCCTTCACCTTCGAGATGATCTACCCGCCCCGACGGATTTCATGGGTACAGCCGATGGCTAAGAAGCTTCTCCAGCGCCTCCGCGGTTCTGAAACACCCCAACCGAGGCGCTAAATAACCCTAGCGCACAGTCTGCTGAAGACATCGCCTCCTTTGCATTGATGGGCCGCCTGCTGGCCACAGCCGTCAATGCCCCATGCATGCAGGAAGTACAACCTAATACTATGTCCTTACCGATGGAGACGAGTCCAGTTCCCACATGCCCTGGAATACGGATTCGAACCCGTGCCGCGAAGACGCCATCAGAATCCCGTTGCTGAAACATGATATATGATTCACCACCAGGGTTCAGAGCAACATGGTCCTAAACAATGTTCCGACGCAGCTCCTGTTCAGGCAACAAAGTCTAGAAGGGTTTTTGGTCTTTAGCCCCTCGCCTGGTTGCAACGGTTATTATGGAGAAGACAGCGAGGCCAATAGCATCAACTCAGATGGAGTATAGAGAGGCTGCATTAGTCAAACCTAAGCGCCGTCACTTAGGCCCTCGTTGCCGAATGACAAACAAGTTGATCCCGTTTTGCTTCAGTCTAGCTCCAGGACCTACGAGCTCTTGGGGAGGCTCACAAGTTGCACCAATCAGGATACACAAGCACATGGGGTTGGCCGTACTACGTACTCCAGGAATCCAACACCAAAAGTGACAGGTGACAAAATTCAGAATGCTTTTTCAGTCTAGAATCAAATACTCTTTACACCTCGTGGCCCAGAGCAGCCAATAGACCCATCTGACCAGGCCTGTGGCCCGCCTCTGACTTTGCCTCGACCGTCACGCGAAGCTCAACACACCCAATCCATTGGCTGGGAGACCAATTTCGATCTCTCTTGACTCAGCGCCACGTTGTCGGCTAGTCTTTCCCACAATATCAATAGAAAACAAGGACTCCTACGAGATAGATGCAATATGATGCGAGCTAAAATTCGGAACAGTTTGGTCGTCGGAACCCTTTGGTTCTCAACTTGACACCATCCCTCACGGGAACAGAAAATGGTACAAATGATCTATATCACAGAGGTGGCGTAAAATTGAAAGACATTTTCTCTTGAAGAAATCCCAGCACTGTCTCTCTCGGCGCCGTCACACTAGCTGGATTCTTTACCGTCGTCATCGACGAGCCAAGGCTGCATGCTGTGATTGCCTACATGCAAGAAGTCAATAAATCCAACTGAACCAAGCAAATGCTGGTCCTAATAATTTAAACCGCTCCTATCCACAATGATGCAGAATTCAGGAGGTGGCTAACTGTGGATTGAAGAAAAGATATGGTCATCTCACGCTACCAAAATTATTTGTGGCTACTTGAAGCTATTCGTCTCCCAATTTTCCAAGTCTACCAGCCATTCATAGTCGAGCATGTCTAATACGTTCTATTTATATTATCAATAGATAGCACAAGATATGCTACAACGACTACCAAAAGGCAATGGGCCCAAGGGGCCTCGAACAAGAAGCAGTTCAGTCACAACAGCATGTCTCATAAATATAGTTTTCAGCCATGGCCACCTGTAACCCGCACGACTTGTATCATTTCTCAATGTCTTGGGCAGTCAGTTGATATCAGTTACACAAGTACCCGTCAGTTTGCCATGCCAAACCGGTGGCCAATGAAGAACCCTAGCTCACAAGATGTAACTGAAAGCTAGTGAGGATCATGAACAAGAACCGGGCCTTCCTTTCTTCCTTTTCATGATTTCCACCTTTCATAATGGGATTTTGTCTGGCAGGTGCCGCCACCATCGATTTTCCCACCAAGACTCACAAGTACACTCATCAGGGTTGTATTTGCTATCCCGAAGAAGCCAGATCAGGCGAACTGAACGAACCACTTCAACTTCGCCGGACCGAATGAGACAGGTTTCTCGAATCCCGGCCCTCTATTGGGCCCAGTAGCACCAACCTGTTCCCATGTTCTGAGAAAAGGGTGCGCCAGGGTGGCGGTAGTCACACGAATGAAGCTGGCCAAAGACCCTTCGGAGATGACAGAGAGACGGAGATATTTCCTATTCTTGTGGGGACGTCAAACTGCACCATTGGCCTCGAATGGGACTTGTACTTGTGGTTAGCTTCCATCTTGTCCCATCGTGAGACTCGCTTGCGATCTCTGTTGCGGCTTGTATCAAGTCGCACCGCTGAACAGCACATGGTGCTCACGGGAATTGACGGGCTCCATGGATCTTTGAAGAGAGTGCCGGGCTTTGGTTCATCTTATGGTTACTAGCGGGAAGGAAAACATGTCGAAAAGGGCCGGCGGTTACGCACTTCCAGACAGCGGGGAGCCTGCGGACTCGAGTTGATACAGTGCACCCTTTAGGCCATCTCTCTGGACCAAGCTTCCCCAGCAGGAGGTTGGGCCTAAAGTTGTCTGATCTTCAGCAGACTAGTTGGCTCTACCCATTGTGCCTAGTACCTAAGCTTCCCCGCGTGACTGGCAGTGTTTTGGCTTGCCAGTCGGCACCAGCTGTGAGCTGCAGACAGTCTCCGTTCTCACACTCTTCTCACTTTCTTCTCAACAGATTTCGAACTCACCCACACTGGCGTGTTTTCGTATCGTAAAATTCTTTCGTTTACCCTCCCCTTCTTCTTTCTATCATCCCTCCTCCTCTCTATCCTCTACTCCGTACTTCGACCTGGAATCATCACGGCAGTGGTTGCTCTACGACAGGTCAATTGCTCCTTATCAATCGCCCTACTTTTTTAATGTTTTCAATTGGCCAGCTCGCCAGAACTCAGTCAATGGGTAGCAGTCGCCGGGCCTCACGGGCCTCACGGGCCTCTTCCACCCCGAGCCGGGATGTGGCAAGGGGGCGGTCCAGATATTTTGGCTTCAGAGACTTCCTCGATTATGCGGATTATTGGCTCACCAACTCACGGCTCGGAAGGCTATTTAAGCTCGAGGGAACGGGCAAGGTAAAAGAAAACAACTTACCCTCCGCATTTTCTTACATTTCAGCGGCCGTTAACCAAAGCGTTTCTTAGAACCCCGAGAAATCACGCTCTACCTTCTTCAGAGAGATTAGGGCCGGTCTGACCACGTTCGCGACGATGGCTTATATCATTGCCGTCAACGTAAGCTCCGGTCTCGAGTCGCCTCTTTATCTACTGAGTTCTGAATCTGATGATTCTTAGGCGTCCTTGCTGTCTCAAACCGGCGGCACATGTGAATGTGCTCTCGAAAACAAGCTCAACTGCGATACAATTCCCAAATACGTCTCCTGCAAGGAAGGCAAGCATAATTCCCCAAGCCCAAGAAACGATGAAGCACCTTACTAACAAAGACTCAGAGGTCCGTAGGGACCTCGTCACTGCAACAGCCGCTATTGCCGGCATGGCAACAATCACCTTCGGGATCGTCGCGAACCTGCCCGTCGCCATTGCGTACGTGGGCTCTTCCCAAATTCGATCTTCCCCGAGAGGAATTCTATTCTCATAGGGGTATCATCCAAGCTGACTCTCTTCATTAGCCCCGGAATGGGCCTCAACGCATACTTCACATTCCAGGTCGTCGGTGCAAACGGCAGTGGCATTGTTCCCTATCGCACTGCCTTGACTGCCATATTCATGGAGGGAATCATCTTCATCATCCTTGCACTTACCGGAATGCGGCAATGGCTCGTGAAGCTCATCCCATCGACCCTCAAGACTGCGACTGGCGTCGGTATTGGTTTGTTCTTGACAGAGATTGGCCTATCGTACTCAGCAGGAATCGGAGCCATCACAGGCGGTTGGATCTCGACTCCGCTTACACTTGGCGGATGCCCTATGGAGCTCATCAACTACAAGACGGGCATGTGTGAAAGCGGCAAGATGTCCAATCCAACGGTGAGTCGAAAATCCAATCTTCCTTCTTCACATTTTGCTTCTTCGGCGGCTAACATCGGAGCAGCTTTGGGTGGGAATCTTCTGTGGAGGCATGGTCGCGGCCGTCCTGATGGCATTCCGCATCAACTACAGCCTCATCATCGGAATGTCTCTCGTCTCTATTCTCTCATGGCCGTATGTCCAACTTCCAGACCACATTGATGACCACTTACTCACCCGTCCACCTCAGGCGTAACACATCCATCACATACTTCCCTGACAATGACGACGGCAACTCTCGCTTCGAGTTCTTCAAACAAGTCGTCGTGTGGCAGCCGATGACCAGGACTCTCAACCAGCTCGATTGGACCTTTGAGGGAGTTAACACCTCCCAATTCATCCTCGCCCTATTCACGTTTCTCTACGTCGACATCATTGATGCCACCGCCACTCTATACTCCATGGTCCGCTTCTGCGGCGTCGTTGACGAGAAGACGGACGATTTCCCAAGGTCAACTCTGGCCTATTGCACCGACGCCGCCTTCATCTCCATCGGCTCACTACTGGGCTCTTCGCCCAGCACAGTGTTCATGGAGAGCAGCTCCGGCATCTCAGAGGGAGGACGCACCGGTCTAGCAGCCATCGTCACTGGGTTATGCTTCATCATATCCATCTTCTTCGCCCCCATCTTCGCATCCGTTCCCCCTTGGGCCACGGGTTGCACGCTCATCTTGGTAAGCTTCCCATCCCCCCTCCCACATTCTCCCCCATGCGATATCTCAACTAACCCACCCAGGTTGGATGCATGATGTGTCGACAAATCGTAGCTATAAATTGGCGCTATATCGGCGACATCGTTCCATCCTTCGTTGTCCTGACCTTCATCCCGTTCAGTTACAGTGTTGCCTACGGCCTCATCGCGTAAGTCCACCCCACCCCCTACAGTAACTCCACGATTTCAGAGTGCTAACCACCATCCAACAGCGGCATCTTCGTCTACACAGTCCTCAACAGCATCATATTCCTCATCGTGTACGTTTCAGGACACGAGCTCAAGCCTCGCGAGCACGACATGAAGGAATACTGGTCCTGGAAGACCACCGGCAAGGCCCCATGGTTCCTGCGCATCTACCGCCGCGCCCGCTACGGCGCAGATTACAGCGAGGAGCAGGAGGCGGACGAAGAGCCCGTCGTCGGCCCCATCTCCATGCTCGAGTCCGTGGGTGAATCCTCGTCCAAGGATGACGGTAGCCATCATCATGGGGTCGCGCAGCCTCCCCAGGTCCATTCTTCGCCCCCCATCGGTGGCAGAGAGATGTTTTGAAAAGCACTCAGAATCTTTGCGGTGATTGTGATGATGCTTTGAAGTGTAAGGGTGGTAGATGAGAGGAGGTGTATGGTCGGAATCTACAATGCTATGGCAACCTGAAGAAAAGTAACACGACATGATGTATCCCGAAGAAAGGAACTCAAGGTACGGAGACCTCCAGAGGTTGTCAATCCCAAGACAAGAAAGAGTATTCCTCTAGGGGATTGAAGGCACGGTTTAATACCTAAGTAGTTAGTACTGGGTAGTTTGTTAGTATAGTAATGAAATCAAAGTAACGAGTTGACATTGCTCATGAGCCCCGTTTCGAATGGAAGCTCTGGCCAAAATCATGCGCCCTGGCTTTCCAGAATCTATTCCCATTTATCACATCAATTTCCGAAAGCCAACGCCTCTTCTCCCAATAAGAAACTTGGGTAGATTCTCTCTTCATTTGCTTTCATATCTGAGCTTCCTATCCCCCCATTTCCACATCTCCATCGCCGGCTCTCCTTGCCTTCTCGGCAGCTTTGCGCCTCTCCAAGCCCTCCCTCACCCACTTGTCATATCCTTCCTCACCACCCTCTTTCAGCTTCTCCTCCACAACGGCCTTGACCACCTCACCAGCAAACCCGACAAAGTTGTGCCGACGCAGCGCGTTCTCAAACAGCCAGTCCTTCCGCTTGCGCTCCTCCCTTGCCAACAACTCGTCATCGCCAAACTCCCTCGCCCGAGCCCGCAGATCCCGGCACATGGCGAGCAGGTTGAACCGAATCTCAGTCGCATCGTAGCGCGCGATACGGCGCTGCAGGACATCCACCACGCGGGTCGGGAACTCCTCGGGCGTGCAGGCCCCGTGGGAGATGGGCGCGGGCTGCAGGCCGTCGAGCTCGTAGAGCACGCCGTTGACGGGGGTGTACGCGATGAAGTGGAACACGTCCTCGGCCTCGGCGGAGCGCTGCTGCTGCGTCTCGTCGGCGAAGGGGGTGCTGCGGGCGAAGCTGTTGTGCACCTCGCGGATGAGGTCCGAGTTGCTGAGGGCCTCGCCGCGGAACTCGGGGGGGAGCTCGATGGTGAACTCGCGGAAGTCGCCGAGGTGGGAGCCGATGTCGACGTCCTGCTGCTTGTTCATCAGGACGCTGAGGAGGGCCTGGGTGGCGCATGCGTTCTGGATGGTCTGGGCGGCGAAGAAGATTGACTGGGAGGCATCGTGGTCGAAGGTACCGTCCTGCGGCCCTGAGGCGGAGGAATACGGCTGGTCGGTTGGGTATTTGAAGAGGAAGATGACGCCGTAGAGGGGTTGTAACGTGGCCAGCTCGGAAGGGTCGAGGGTCAGGAGCTCTTCGAACTGGACATCCTTGACGCCCAGGTTCTCGATCAGTGAGGTGAAGACACCCTAACCGGTGTTTGTCAGCCGAACCACATTCTACCTAAACGAAAATTCTTAAGAGAGAGCATCCTACTGCATCGGATTCGACTGTTATGGGGGGAACAATGATTCAATGGTCAGCACTTGGTCGAGAGAAACTTGCGATGGCGGGTAGCTCACTGGTGTTCCAGCCACCACTCATGACGATAGGCAGATTTGTCCGACTATTACGATAAACTCAGGTGAAAACAGATAAAAAAATATGAAATGCGACGTGTTTTTCTATGCGGCGAGATTTTCTTTGCGCCCCGGCAAGCTAAGAAAGAATGATGCGGCCGTTCGGATATTTCTGGAGTGCGTATGCTGCTGGTAGATGATGTCGAGGTGGGTATCTATCTGGCCGCATATCCAAAAGTGGAAGCTTCGACCTGGAGCTTGTGAACTGTGACGGAACTGTGGCGGAACTGTGGCTCGCGTGCGTGGCGTTCGTGCCTAGCCCCGCTCTTTCTTTTTCCTTAAGATGAACCACGTCCTGAAGTGTGAAAATCACATTTGCATTGCTGGCTGCATAACAATTCTAATGAATCGCTTCATGTGTGAGGTGACTATCTGGTTTCTCTATGAACAAGCCAATCAATGCCATCTCTATAAGCTCGAATAAGAAAACAATCACAACTATTTAATGGGATGTTCCATGCAACAATGAGAGCCTTTGCGAAATCAAACGCCTTCAAACTCCGTACAACACTGATACACATGCTCTAAAGCCCTTTTTTAATCCTCCCTGTCCCGCTCCCCCGCTCCAGGCATTATTCATACCCACTCATGAGTTCATCACTACGCCCAATTCGCTAGATTGCAACAAGCTCAGGCAGGCCGCCTGGATTCCCACCCTGGTTTGCTCGTAGATCCTCGACTCCATGGTTATCTTGTGCAGGCTGGTTCCCTTGTGCTTCCGGGTTGTTCTCATTGCTGCCCTCTGCGTTAGCCGCGGCTGCCTGTGCTTCTCTAGCTGCTTCGGCAGCTGCCTCAGCGGCTGCAGCTTCTGCTTCCCTTCGTTGCCGCTCGGCCCGCGCCTCGGCTTCGAGATTTGCAATGTGTCTTTCAGCTACCCCAGGAGCAATACTGGCCAAGAACAAGAGACTTGCTCGTTCAATCCGGCGTATTTGGCTTTGAAGCCATGTTTCCCGTTCCCGTTGTTGAGCCACCAAACGAGCAGCCAATTGTGCCGGGTTGTGATCTGCGTTCTGCCCTCCGTCCGCTGCAACACCATTTTGACCGAGAGCTCCCCCTCGAACGTCGACCTGGGGATCGAGTCGGGGTAACATATTCTCGAGCTGCTGGGCAAGTGGTCTCCACAGAAGTTCGGCGATATTGTTCAACGCGCCAACGCTGAGAATAAATATCAAGACTGCAATCCCGATGACTGAGAACCATCTAGACCAGCTTGCAGTAGGTGACGTAAAGAACCAAACAAATACAGCCAAACGGAAGGCCAGCCAGATATGCGGCCAGGCTTGTACGAGAAGTGGGGGCAGCCCTCCTACTTGCGCATTATTGGCTTGCGCATTGGCATTTCCATCGGCAGGAGGCTGATCTTGATTTTGGGCCGGAATAGGTGGCTGTTGGTCTCTGACGGCATTCTGATGTTGCGTCTCGGCATTTGGGGGAAGAGAGCTTTCTGTCGCGCCGACCTCAGGATGTACCAGATTTCTTAGTCGGTGATAACTGTTTTGTGTGGGTAAACGGGGAGAATAATATGTTTCTGAATTACTGTTGTTAACAAGAAGGGCTCGGGGCCCTTCTGGGGAGGATAAGACGTAAACATCATATCCTCCTCGGGAAGGAGTTGCGGCTGATCCTGAGCCAACAAGTGGTTGGCCTCCGCTAACGGATCTCGCAGTTGGCTCTGGTGTAGCCCTGCCGCTACCAGCTCTCGAATCCGGGTGAGGGTAGCCAGAGTTAGTGGCCATCGGTTGCATGAACCGGCTGTGCAGCGAGACATTTGACGCACTCCTCTGCATTGCGTTGGTCATGGTAGCCGTAGCTTGGTTAATGTCGCCCTGGCGCAAGAGATTCTGTACGTCGGCAGGTGACAAGGCTCCATTCTGTCCATTTCCAGCCCCATGCGAGCCCCGGATGATAGTCTCGACTTGGAACGTCTGTCCATTTGGACCGATGTGTTCTCGATAGTAGTGTCCCAGCGCGGGACTGGCCCTGCCGCTGTTCGTGTCATGGCCATGATGAACCCCATCTCCAATCCCGCGCATTCCTACATTGGCCCTATTCCTTTGGTTCTGATTGATGAGGGCTCTAGTGAGAGCTTCCCGCTGCACCTGACCAATCCATGTCGACAGGTTTTGGTGCTGGTTATGGTGTTGCTGATGAGGAAACGGCATGCTCGGGTCAATGGGTTGAGGTATAGGGAGATTTGGGAGATTTGGTCCAAGGGTTGGGGCTGGAGAATGTAATGTAAACTGGCCTGGGGTTGGCTGTGCTGGGTTTCTTCGTGGGAACCCAGGTGGTGGCTGTGGCCCGAAAGGGACACCGTGGGTGTGTCGTTGAGGGTTGGCAGGTGCGGGTGAGGAAGTGTTTGGGCTCGGGCCGCCGGTAGGAGTTGGGGTCGATGAAGAATGGGCGTTCGGGGCGTCTCTAACGACCAAGTGCATGGTCTGTTGTTCTAGTGACCGAATCTGTCAAGATTATACGAGGTTAGAACAGATATGTCGGACATGACGGCGTTTAATCCATTCAACTTACAGCATCTTCCCCAAGCACATCGGACAGAGTGTCAGTCTCGCGAACAAGAGCTCGCCCACGGTGAATAAGACGTTGGTGGTCGTCAGGGGGGCGAAGTGGCAGTGATGATCGGATCCGTTCCTTTAACTCTTTAATAGTGGTCGACGCCGCAAGCTCCGGAAAGTGCAACGGGCGTCCAACGCTGAGAGATGGCGACACGATCTGGAGGTTGACGGTGAGCTTTTCTTCGTCGTCGGTCGCGAGGTTGCCATTCGAAGGCAGGAGGTGAGAGTTTTCGGAAGTCATTTTCACAATGAAAGTTGGAGAACTGTCAGACAGCTCGACGACGTGAGAATCCAATCGAGGCGGAAGTAGATATCGATGAGATCAAAGCACGAGCATCAGGATCTCTGGAGCGAGCGTCCAAGTGGCACGAAGTCAAGCATAGGGCCCCAAGACCACGAGGCAGGCCAAGGATGCCGGGATTGGGAGAAGAGCAGTAGACTGAATCGCGATTCACGGAGAGCAGTAAAGTTGACAGAGCCAGGCTCAGCGCATGACAGGCGACTGCTCTTGGTCTGCGTAGGTCCAGTTGATCGCAAGAGGCGCAAGGCAAGGGTTGTCGAAGAGATGCAGCAGAATGATATGTCAGGTCGGGATCGTAGACGAGAAACACGCATGCGACAGTGCTCGTTGGTGGCACTTAACAAGTTGCACACACGCACGCACGGGGACAGTCGACACAAGTTACTAAAGTGTTAGGTGTGCCTCCCTAAGCTGGGGGAGATGACAGCAAGTTCCACGGTGGCATCCACGGCCGTGGTACGTACCTGCATTAAGCTGCCTCAATCTGGCAAGGCGGAAGCTCCAGAGTCGTTGATTCGTTTATGCTCTACACATACAGCCTACCCTACAATGCATGGGTGCATAGATTCTGCGGCATGAAATCATCAAATCTCGGGACCGTCTGGGGCATAAGGCAGTGTTGATTGTACTGGAGAATGCCCCTTCCCGTTCTCGAAGCTTACTTATCTAACCTCGTTCATTTCGTATTGCCACGCTCATCAGGTGTTCATTGGAGAGTGTGCCTCGGCCACAGTTCCTAGCAGATTAGATAGTGGTGTGACCGCCTTTCCGAATAACGACTAATTCAGGGCTCATCTAATGGCAAAGTAAATAAACCATCTGATCGGGACAACCGATTGCCAGTGCCCCATTGGAGTCTCCTTCTTACGACCGAGTTCAGCGTATACTAGACATCTCGAGGAACCTCCAGAGTATAAACACAGGCCATACTGTCTATCGAGGCTCATGATCAAGGCGAGCGACATCCCTACAGGCAGGTGAACCCGGGATCAAAAGGGGGTGAACGGGTAGACAATCGGTCCCACCGAAAGACCCGAATGCGCCTGTTACTATTCCTCTCAGAAGAAATGGGCTGTCAATGCACCATAATTTGTCCTTTCTAATAGCGAGCGAGACCTCCCGTTGAAAGAGAGGCCAAGCCGTATCATGATTGATCGGGGTTGGTAGAATCCAATCCCCCAATTAAACTCGAATACCCTGGAGACCGTTGGAGAAGCTGCCGGAGGACCTCCTCAGCATGGAAATTTTAGCTTCGCAACCGATCGGATCGGCTTTGCGTCATCGACGTTCCAACGGCTCCCAATCCTGTCACACGAGCAAATCCGACACTCCATCCAACACACTGTCACCAACCAGCCCGACCAGCCAGCCCTCAGGCTGTCCTGATCGCACAATGGCGACTCTCGGGGGCTTCGGCCTGTTCGCGAGAGCAAACCACACGGCAGGTCTACGCGCCGGACACGCAAGCCATCCTCTTTTTCATATGCAGCTCGTCGCGCGAGCCCTCCCGAAGCCAAATGCGCAGCGTCTTCATGTGCCCCAGCGGCGGCTTTTCTCATCCAACAGTGGGAAACGGCCTAGGAGCAGCAGGGTCACATGGTTTCATATTCCAGTCAGCCTTGGAATTGGATTCCTTGGCCTCATCCAATTCTACAAGGTCACCTCGAGGGAGAAGCAGAAAGAATTGGAAGGGGGTGACGCCCCTCCAAAGAAACGGCCGAGAGTCCGGCTTGAAGGTCCTTGGTAAGTTCGCCGCGAACTCCCACCGCTACCCCAGTGAGCTCCAGGATCATGCGGTTGACACCGAATTCTTATAGGCAAGTTCAAATCATGTCGACCCTTCCGCTCAAGGCGATGTCGCGACTCTGGGGTCGCTTCAACGAGCTCACCATACCCTATTATCTTCGTGTTCCCGGATTCAAGCTCTACAGCTACATCTTTGGCGTCAAGTAAGCCATTGCCCATACTGGACTCTCATTGTGAAGAATTGCTCAAGTCTAACATGAGAAACAGCCTGGACGAAGTTGCCGAACCTGACTTGCATACCTACCCGAATCTTGCTGCCTTCTTCTACCGAAAACTGAAACCCGGCTCCCGACCCCTCCACCCAGATCATCACATGCTCCTGTCCCCATCAGACGGTAAAGTCCTTCAATTCGGGCAGATCGAGGGAGGAGATATCGAACAGGTTAAGGGTATGACGTATAGCATCGATGCATTGCTGGGTAAGAACACTCCCGTTTCAAGCATTGCGAGCGGATCTTCTGGAAATGCGACTGGACAGCCTAGAGAGACCTCAAAGGACGAGGAGGTTGTCCGACGAGACGAGGAATTCGCCAAGGTCAATGGTATCTCATATACACTGCCCGACTTGTTTTCTGGATCCGGAAAGAAAGAAAACGTATCAGACGAGTCAACATCCGTCTCCCAGAGCACCGTCTCCGAGGTCCGTGCAGAGCTGGCACTCGGCGAGAAGCCCTGGTACGATATCCTGTCCCCAGATAAGACTACTTCCCTCTACTACGCCGTTATCTACCTCGCCCCCGGAGACTACCACCGCTTCCACTCCCCTACCAACTGGGTGGTTGAGCGCCGCCGCCACTTCGCCGGCGAGCTCTACAGCGTGTCGCCCTACCTTCAACGTACACTCCCCGGCCTCTTCACCCTGAATGAGCGTGTCGTATTACTCGGTCGCTGGCGCTGGGGTTTCTTCAGCTACATCCCTGTGGGTGCCACCAACGTGGGCTCCATCAAGGTCAACTTTGACAGAGAACTGCGCACCAACAGCCTCCTCACCGACACGGCCGCGGACCGTGCCGCCCAAGAAGCCCACGAGCGCGGCGAGCCGTACCTGGGATTCGCTGAGGCGACATACCAGAGCGCCAGCCCCGTCCTGGGCGGCCACGCCCTGAGAAGGGGTGACGAGATGGGCGGATTCCAGCTGGGAAGCACCATCGTCCTTGTATTCGAAGCCCCCTCAGAGAAGACGCTTCCCGACGGCAAGACATCCGGCTGGGAGTGGAAGGTTGAGAAGGGGCAGACTGTGCGCATGGGCCAAGCCCTCGGCCGTGTCATTGACCAAGATTAAAAGACATATATATCACTTAACTTGGGACAATTTGAATACAGAGCAAAGCTAAATAACAGGACATAGTAAAAGAAAAAGAAAAGCACAGAAAATGCCACGAGCGGGTATAAAAATAAGTAATTTTTACTGTATTTAATTTATTCTTGTAGTTCTAACGACCACGACCTTTGTTGCAAGGCGCAACGCAAGCGCAATTCTAGTCTTTCGCTCTACTCTAAAGAAAACCCAATGAACTCCGCCCAAATGCTTTCGCTCTCTCTCTCTCCTTCCCATAAGCTAGTCTAGATCCTAGCAGCGAGTCAAGCGCCGAAGACCTTGACGCGCTCCTCGAGGGGCTTGAACTCCTTGGGTCCGGCCTCGCCCTCCTTGCCGCCAAAGACGAGCTGGGCGTTGAGCTTCCAGGTGACGGGGAGGCTCCACTGGGCGGCGACCTTGTCGTCGATGATGGGGTTGTAGTGCTGGAGGTTGGCGCCGAGCCCCTCGTTCTCGAGGGCGGCCCAGAGCGCGAGCTGCTGCATGCCGAGGGACTGGGCGGCCCAGCCGGGGAAGCGGTCGGCGTAGAGGGCGAAGGCCTTCTGCTGGCCCTGGACGGTCTCCTCGTCCTCGAAGAAGAGGACGGTGCCCGCCGCGCCCTTGAAGCCGGCGAGGCGGTCGGCGGTGGGCTGCCACTTGTCCTCGGGGACGATGGCCTTGAGGCTGTCCGAGGTGATGTCCCAGAGCTTGTCGTGCTCGGCGCCGAAGAGGACGACGAGGCGGTTGGACTGGGCGTTGAAGGAGGAGGGGGTGTGGAGGGTGGTCTGGTTGACGAGCTCCTGGACGCGGGCGGGGGTGACGGAGCCCAGGTTCTTGCTCAGGGCGTAGTAGGTGCGGCGGTTCTGGAGAACCTGGAGGAAGGACTCGGTAGCGACCTTGGCAGCCATTGTGATGGAGTTGAGGGGGGGTTGTTTGGGTTTTGGAAGTGTGTAGAAGAGAGTAGTAGAGTTGAAGATGTAGAGCTGGATAGATGGAAGGGCAGTGGTAGAGGAGGGAAGGGGCAGGAGGGACGATTATATACCTAGCCGCAACGCCCGCAATGTATTGAGCTCAATTGCGTGTTACCACCAACTTCTAAGACCTACATACCCACCTGATGGAGCTGTCGCCATCACCCACTCTGGAGGAGGGGGAGGGGCATGGATCACGGCAACGAGTCAAGGCGATTATGCCATCACGCTGCTGGAGTGCAGTAAGCAAGGCTAGCCCATTTTCGTATTTCCCAATTTGTCAACCTCACGGCAGGGATTTCCGCGCGGGCGCTGGTCCCAAAAGGTCGCAAAAAGTTGTCGATATGATACAATCGTTCGGCCAAGAGGTTCTTCGCTTTGTGACACGCGCGCGGTTGCCCTGACTTTTGCTGCTGACTACTGATGATAAATCCACCAAAGCCTCGTGCCGCTAGCGCACTGGCTCCACCGTGAGAGCCGATTCTTCGGCGTCGGGCTGCTCTTGGTCCCTTGACGCCTATTTAGCGGGCCGTGGGTGACACCGCTTACAGTTTCGAGAGTGTCGTATCATATGCATGCGTCTACGATGTTTCTAAAAGAAGGCAATGAACAGATAGGGAGGTCGAGCATCTCGCATTCTGCATCTACAAAAGACATTCTCGGCACATCCCTTTGGAGTAATGAGCCATTAGTGGGAGGAGGTCAGCACTTTAAGTGCCGGAACCCACCCATGTTCCGGCTCTGTCTTGGTGTGGTGGGATGGTGGGCGGTCACGAAGATTGAAGAATGAGGAATTCATCTCATCGACACGGTTAGAGCTTCAGTGGTGGAGTGCTAGATCATAGCATGGGTCAATCCTGGCCTGTCATCCCGCCATGTTCGATGGATATAATAAATTACACACAAGCTGCCTCTGTAAGCAGTGCTTGAGAGGCCTAGGAAACAAACGACTTACATTCCGAGTCGCCTTTGTCACACCCGCGCGGGATGCCGCACTGATTAGAAATGGCGTGGAGAGCTTTTTTCACTCGCAGGCCAATCGTATTCGGAATTCGGAGCCGTATATCCGTGGTTCCGTGCCTTGGCCCCACCATCGGCCAACCTCGATTGATGTCGACCTGCGTTATCGTGAGGGGTTACCAAGTGAACGGCTATTCCCAGTAGGAGAAAGACGGTCAAGAATGCTCTCATCTGAGAGGGAGGGGAGTGCTAGGGACTTTGGACCTCGTCCATCTGGTTCCGAGTCAGAGCCCTCATTAGGGGAGGGAAACATCTCGTATTTGGGTATTGCGGGACATCTGGATATTCGTGATTTTGTACAATTATTGATCTCTAGACCATCACAGAGGCTAAGAAGTCCTTCATACAAGCTCGTATATATCCCCTCAAAGGAGGAAGAGCTTTAACAGTTCGAAACGAAGGGAAATGATTGCACTATTCATGTTCCCTTTCAACCAAGATACCCCATCGCCAAGCCAAGTTTCAAAGACTTCGCTAACATCTAAACATGCCTTTTTTCCCTTTTCCCAAAACACAATGCCATTCAGGAACCAAAAACGCCGTAACTCGTGTGAACCGATAATAACTTGGTGGCACTGCCTACCAAGTCAATGCCATCATCGTGCTCGCGCTGCCCGGACCATCTAGAATGCTTCAAGTCGTGAAATGCATAGTCCAGATCCAGATGCAGAAGATATATATGTGTGCAACCTGATAGCTGTGAAAATAAAACAAGTCGATTGCAAATGCTGGTCAAGCACGCTAGGTCGACACACCCATTTCAAGGTGTGTGTCGCATGCTTCATGCAAGGGTACGACAGGGGTGCTAAGAGTTGGAGATTACCACGTCTCAGCAATGTACTGCCCCGCGTCCTTCTTCAAATCCCAGAACTTGCGAGCCTCCTCACGCTCCAGGTTGCCCTTGGCAATTGAGACATCAATCAGTGCTTCCTCGACGCCTTCGCCCATGCCTTTGCTACTGCCACAGACAAAGACGCGGCCGTCAACCGAATTGATGATGGACCAGACAAGGTCAGCCTGGTTGCGCACCTCCTCCTGGACGTAGCGGCCTTCACCTCGTCGGCTCTGCACGACCCGCTTGACCTCTTCTTCATGGACACCCCACTCGCCACTGTAGATTTCGTCGACCAATGAGTCGCGGATACCCTGTAGCACCCAGACTTTGTTGGCGCAGTTCGCCTGCTTGAGCCGGCGCTGGACGAAGCCTCGGAACGGGGCAATGCCGACACCGGCACCGATCAGAAGCATGGGGCCGTCAGCCTTGAACTCCTTGGCCAATGGGTTCGCCATCAGGCCCTTGAACATGGGCACATAAATTTCGGGGCTCTTGACTCCGGCCTTCTTTGCCTCGATGAATTTACGGGCTTGCCTCTCGAAAAACCCGGACCCAACTCCGGTTCGGCTTCCGTCGCGCCAGTCAGTTGTCTCATGAACAGTGACTGCAATCTCGACGAGCCGGTGTTGCTTGTTGTCGCGCATCTGGTAGGCCTCATGAGGGTCGTTGGAAAGCGAGTAGAATCGGGGCATCAGTTGGCGAAGAACGGAAAGCAAGTCATCTAATGGAGGGTGCGAGCTAGGAAATGCGTGCAGGAGCTGAGAAATGCTGATGTGTGGGCCTGTACGCATGTCACAGAAAACTCCTTGGCCTTCAGCAGAGCAGAGGTACGTCAGGATTTGCTTCTCGCTGGGTTCTGTGGCATGTTCGGCCAGCATGCGGATAATGTCCTTGGTTGGGGGATAGGATTGAAGATCGACACACCAAGTTAAAAGGTCGCGACGGGTAGTCACGAGCTCTCTTGGCGTGTCATCTCCCCACACGGTAGGCCAGCGACCGTTGGTGGTCTTCATCAAGACGGGCTTATCTCGCAAAAAGCGTGGGACCATGAGCGCATCAAGAATATCCTCAACCACGGCTTCCGAGTTGGGGGCCATGATGCCAATGGCACCACCGACCTTGAAGTCGGTACCCTCCTCATCAGGGTAGTCACTGATATCAAGATCGAAGTGGTAGGTACGCTTCTCAGCCCCAGACTTTGTCAGTTCGCGAGTATCGCATATTCTGACAGGGTGGACGTGATAGGGTGGGTGGGGCTGAACAAATCGTGGGGGTTCGATGGAAGTGTCTGTGATTGCAGCCTCGGCAATAGTGCCGGCGACAGCCGAAGTCTCGACTGGCTCGCCAAGAGAAATGGCTGAGTCGGTGATGGAGGTAGATTGAGGCTTGGGCACGGGGGAGAAAGACACGGTCTTCTTGGGAAGTGGTGCAGTCTTGGTCAAGACCGCAGGGCACTCGCTGATTTTGATGTTGAGAGACCGAAAGGCATCGTTGTCAGGGCACTTGACGTCTACATATTCAACATCCGCACGACGGCCGCCCATCAAGCAGCAGCCGCCGCCGCAGCATCGCTGGACGAACTCGGCGGTTGATTCGCCAGTAATTCTTCGGATGTCGCGAGCATTCTGAGCGATCAGCCGCGTAGAAGCGCGACGCTGCCTGTTCTGCGAGGCTGGCACTTGCGGCAGCTCATCTTGATCGTCCGAATCGTCAGAGTAGGTGAGCGATGGGGCAATGGAAGGTGTCGAAGTTTCGGCGCGGAGGAGGTTGTGGACAGGGGTGATGATGTCCTGGAACGAAGTTGCCTCCACCATTGTGGGCGTATATAGTGGACGTGCAACACCAGCCGGAGTGAATTGAGTTGATGTATTGGTGGAATGGGATCGGTTTGGACGTGGTGAGTTGTCGTCGTCAGTGTGGGGGGATGGATATTCAGCAGTGCCTCGGTATACGGTCAAATCCGCGTTGACGAAGGGCTTGAAGGGAAAACCCGAGTCGTGGGACAGGTAGAAGGGCGATTGGTGTTTGTTAAAGAGGATGAGGCAGGAATGCAGGTGGCGAAGAGAGAGCGGGAGGCTATGAGGTAAAATAAGGGCTAGGAATTTTAGACTTGTGGTGAGTTTAGTAGTCGTTATCGAGGCCAGAGCCGGGAGTCATGAACAAGAGACCCGACCCATGCTTGTACCGACCGGGAAAGTGGTGACGAGCCCAGTGCCAACGCCAGCCCCAGCGCCAAGGGGGCAAGGGGAATTTTTCGGGCAGAGGAGCTCCGGCAGCGGTGCAATGGAGGGGCATACAAAGTTGCTAGCCATTGCTGGTGGGAGGCAAAGGGCAGGAGGGGCCGGTTGGGCTGTGGTACACAGTGTCTGAAACTGTGCGGCTGGGGGGCGTGTGCTTAAGGGCCTGCTCAGACGATGGACTCGGGTCTGAGATGAGGTTTGATGTGGGCAGTTGGCTCGCTCGCTCTGGGCCGCGGCGAAAACAGGCCACTTCTCCCAGTTTCCAATTTCCTCGAGGCCCGCTTGAATTTCATTCCACGATGCCGGACTGGTTACGCGTGGTCTGCTCCTCCTTTTCCTACCAGCTAGCGGGCTGGAGCCGGATACGCACTACTCTACCGCCATACCGGAAGATGAGATGGTCGATTTGGTGGAGGTTCCGATGTGGTGGGAGTCGCCCAATAGAAGTTTCGTGGTTACCCGGCCGTGACAAAGGGGGGATCGCCATCAAGTCCCCAGTATGACGCGCGAGGGCCGGATTCAGATGGTATGTAATTGCTTGCGTATTTTCGCTCAGCCCTTGTACTTGTTTATGTATAGTAGTATGTACAATACCTAATTATTACCACCCATTGACTCAGCATACCGCCATTGGGGTCCTTGTCGCCAATGGCCAACAACCGGCTGCCTCCTCCCGAGGTCTGAGTCTAGCTCGTCTTGCTTTTTCGAATTGTCTCGCCTCTCTCTTATCAATCTGATTTGGTTTTGTGGCTTGCGGTGGAACCGAGCTAACTCGAGCACAGTGCGGCGGCGGTTTTTGCTCGACCGAATCGAAACCCCAATCTTGCCCCAATCTTTGGTGCATTGGGGCTCTCCCACACGGGAGCAGCTGACCAAGATGCAGGTCTGGGGAAACAATAATAGGAGGGAAACAAAAAGCAGCAAGAGGAAAAAGAAGAAAGCGACAGATTGTGGTTTCTTTCCTTTTCTTTGCCTCGCATTGCACCCCCTCTCTCTGAACAGTTGAAAATTCAGTTTGTCAGGGAGACTAATGTGCGACTCCACCCGAGGATGCCACGTGCCTCGTCCTCTGCTGTGTTTCTCCATCGCAACTCTCCCTGCTAACGCGGTGGCCTGGACGAGTAGGGGGTATAATAGCTCATCAGAATGCTTCTAGAGTCTGTTTTCGAGAAAGCGGTCGGACTCCTTTTGGCCGTAATTCCCTGTAATTATCATTGCCGGATTGAGATTACCCTTGATTCATGGAATGAAACAATCAGCTAATTGTCCTCCTCCCGTCGGGATCCATCGCAATGCGTCCTCCATAGGTCACCTGGTTCCCCACGGCTTGGCCCAACGTTAATTCCCTGGTAATGTGTCTGCCTGGCACTTGATAACAGACATTGGTATTGTTGGGAACGCCCCATGGCATGCCCCAGTGGGTGACACGAACACGAAGCAGGATTTACTGGGCCATTGGGACTTCACCCAAGGATGGAGCATCTCGGAGCCGGTTAATACTCATGGCCTGATAAAAATTCCAAAACGTTTATCCCAAGGAGCGCGTCGAGATTTGATCCTGGATCGCCATGGCCAATCGGATAGTGCATCGCCGGCCGTGGTGCTGCGTGTCTGACTGTCGAGGCTCAGCACACAGTGTACACAATCCAATGGATGATGACAGAAATTATCTGATCATCTTATCGATCCATCATTCACAAGCACTCAGGGAGCTCCTTCCACCAATGCGTTATACTGTTTGTGGGTACTGTGCGTTTGTCGGGCGGCGGTACGTACCCTTTCTCTAGAGCCACCCCTGGTCTCATTCCCGCCTTTCTCCTAGTTTCCACCCTCCTTGGCACTATCTTGATTCATTGATTCTCCAGCGTCCAACCAGCACGACTGGCAGCCCAATGCCGATCTCGGTGCCAGCCATGAATCGAATATCCGTACTCCATGGTGGAATACTCTGTGCCTATTGCGCCAGCACATCCTGTTCTGGTTATCATGATGAGAGTCGCCCCCTCATTATACGTTGTTTGGTGTCCTGTGACCAAGGGCAAGCAACGAGGTCGGTTCGGTTTGACGTTCCGACTTCTGTCACGGTAGCGTCTCGGGTATTACCGAAACGAGAACTGGCATCCTAACACTTCCTGTTTGGCGGCCTCAATTCATGCAGGGAAACCAACAGTTATCCTCGGTTCGGCTGCCTTCATGGCTGAGGGCGTACAGGGATTTGCTTGTCAGATGGAAATGTCAGCGAAACAAGGCAAGCAGGGAAAACTAGGCCTGGCGGACGTGTCCCGGCCTCCCCGTCCATCCTATGCCGGATCAGATAAGATTCGGCGGGCGAGACACCAGCGATAAAATACTCAATTTCGGAAGAAATGATGCAACTTAACTTTGGGCCCTTGACGCTGTTCTACCCCCTACCTTGACCGGTGTGGGGAAGGGCCAGGTACCGGCACCACGGTCGTCAGATCTGATAAGCATTACTTTAGGCATGCAGGTCCAGTATAGCCTCCCTAGCCTTCTGATGGCCAACGCCGTCTTGACAGCAGACAGGGTGACGCTTCGAGGCTTTGCCCCGTTGCCTCCATCCATGGAACACGGTTGCTACGCACATTGGACGGAGGACGCCCGGCGCATGAGCCCCAACCAGCCCCCTTACCGACCTTTTCAGCTCTTACACGCGCCCCCAACAGTCATTCGTCCATTTGTTCTCCTTGCTATAATTATCCACCTTTGCTTTTGTCGGTGTAGACTACCAAGCCCTCGTGTTGAGCCAATTTGTTGGTCGGATAATCAATGAAATGAACTGGCTCCAGCCGTGTCTTCATCCAGGCCTCGACTGAAAGAATCGCCCTTGAAGACCTTGTATTTACCCCTACACACCGACTTCTTCCCAAGGCCGTGGAATGTGATTTGGAATCACTCTTCTACTACAACCTCGGCTGGAATAAACAGAGAGTGACATGCCAAGGCTCTGTGTAATCAAAGTTCTTTGGCTTCATTAATCGCTCTTAGCTGCAGCACCCCCTGACCCTGGATCGCCCTTTTATGCGATTGATTAGAAAAGAATTTTCTTTCGGCCGACCGTGCTTGTGTCCGAGCCCTGCATACTCGGAGCTGAAAAGCTCCCATGGGTGCCTGAGGTCGATCAGTGGGTATTTCGTAGCTGTGGTTGTGTCTCTGACTGCCAGTACCACCTCGCAATCATACGACAGGATCTCACATCTCCCGAGCTGATTGTAAGGCCTGATGAAGGTAAGGGGAAGAAAAAGCTTGGCCGAACCCGAAAATTCAAATCCATCATCCTCCCCTGAAGTCCCACAAAAGGAGGCATCAACGATCCATCTGTCCCAACGGAATAATAGCCCCCAGAGAGGGAAAGGGGGGGTGTATAGATGGATATCACATACAGGCACCACTAGGATTGATATGTCTCTGGAGATGAAACGGGCCGGTCTGTTGTGAAATGGTTCCGGACTGACGCTGGGCTCGTTGAGCGGTCTTGGTGAAACTATTCTCATTGAGTCCGCGTAACCGCCCTGAGAACATCGCGATGAAAATTTTGCCTATCGCATATTGAAACTCACAAATTGTGGAATCTTCTTATATTAACTGTCAGGAGTACTGATTGGTGATTTCAGACTACTTCTGTTTCATGGGGCCTCAAGGATCCTGATGTCAGAGTCTGGATCCGACAGGATGGCGCCGACAACTGCTACGTAACTCCGAGAAAGACACTACCCTACAGTATGACTCTGCCTCCCTAGGCCAGTTCAGGTAGGTAGGTGGTATTACATAGGTCGTAGGTGACAGGTAGGGAGCAAGCAGTCTGTAGGAAATACTAAGCCTCATGTGTGATGCTACCCAGCCAGCCACTTCATCATCTCGGAATCACGAACGTCTTCACCTCATCCTCACATACAATTGCGTTGATTTTAGGAGTATCCGGGTAGCATCCATGTTGTGCAAAGGGCTAAAGCATCTCAGCATGGTTCTTCTAGGGGTCCGTCTCCTTTTTGCGTCATGATATGCATCACGATCTCCGGAACGACTACCCCTTAACCAGCAAAGCACGACAGCTTACGACTTCCCGGCTTCATCATAACAAAGATAGTATCTACGATAACAATTGCCACCTTCTCGTCGACTGGACGTGTGAAAAGCGACATACGCAGCACGCAGCACCCTTTGCAGAACTGAGGACAAACGCACCGATGAGTTAATTTCGTTCAACAACTTCAACTTCCTCGCCTTTGCTACAGGAGACGGGGACGCATCTACACAATGAGCGGCCTCGAGACGGTAAAGACTATCGTAAACGAAAATGGCACGGTTGATATTCCCCGCGAGACGAGGTTCCTTTGCCCTTGGGAAGTTGGACAAGACGGAGTTCACGCGACAGAGCTTAATCGGACACGAGACCACGCATCGACGCATCCGAAAGCCAACGACAACGGCCTTGAATCCCAGTAACATCGTAGTATGGCGTCGGAATCCCCTTTCCTTGAGCTTGAGACGGTCGTCGCCTGATCGATCTGTCATGGCGGCGCCACCCCTGAGTTTCCTGACCATCAAACCCCTCACGAAGTCCGAATAAGCTCCCTTAAGGAACACGAGAAAAACGAATAGGCGAACAAACGGATTTTACCAACGAGGTCGACACAAGCGACATCAACAAAGCATAGGTTTTCTTTCCTGGATAGATCTCATGGGACGGGATAGACGATTTACCCATGAAATCCGAGAGAGAAGGAACATCCCCCAGGACACTCAATATATTAAGACTCAGGAGCAGAGAAAAGCCCACTGAGACCTAACGGTTAGTTATTTATTGTGTCGATGACGAGGCTGATTGATATCTGCCCTATGAGATCAGGGCAAGTTAGGGGGTTCAACCAAGCTTTCCGTCAACAGAAAGTAACCCAGTCCCTAGCTCTGTTCATGGTCAGCACTGGCCAGTCAGGTAAACTACACACACAACTACCAACCGCCCTTGGACACGATAAACTATCTTTCATCGAAGTCGTAGAACTCTCACTAAAGCCAGTTCACGAGTTACCCTCCCCCTTGTTAGGATTCAGTAGTTGAATGGCTCGCTGTATGGATCAATTACCATCGGATGTAGGCCTTGCATGTCAAGTGCTGAATTATTGCAGATTAGTACCCCAAGTTGTACTGCTGTGTTGTTTTGTTCAAACTCGTGTAATGGCCTACACATGAATACCTTTTAGTGCCAAAGTTTGTAGTAAAAAGCCCCTCAGGAGGTGTCATGTTTCGCCATGTGCAACGTCTTGAAAGTTATATTCATCGTCAGCAGGATGTTACACTACAAATTTAAGGCATTGCGATGCTGCTTCGTAATGTCAAACAAGTCCTACGCCTAGATAATCGGTTTCAGGTGGTGAGGATGGCATACTGTGAAGAAGACGGACAGTACCAAATTGACATCCTGGGTGTTGGGTTATCAAACTCTACGCCATAGTCACTATCATATTAAGAGTGGTTGGATTTTAGTGTAACCTCTTGATATTTTTGGCCACTACGCCGAATAAATCAATAGGTATGTTAATTATAATTCAAGCCAGTCCTAACCAAAACGCCTGCCGCGCCTGTAATCGTCGAACCCATACCATGATGCCACAAGCTTTAACATGCACAAATCTAACGTTGAGACAGCGTATAGACCGTAAACAGCGAAGAAATCAAACAACCGCAAGCACGTGTAGTCTTGCCCCAATAACTTTTGGTATCATGCTTAAGCGGCGGTCTTGTTGGTGCGGTTGAAGATACCGGCGACCAAGCAATGGTCACGCTCGAAGGGTTCTGAGAAAGAGATGAAGTTAGCAATTGTGCAAGGTATAATGCGGAGGTATAGGTTAGTGTCAAAAACTTACCCAGAGTAAGCTGGTACTTGGGCTTGATGCCATCAGCACGCATCTTCTGGACCTCGCTGGCGAAGACCTCAGCGGCAGGGGCGGTACTGTCGATACAGTTGGCCTTGATGGAGATAAGGACACCACCGCCGGCCTTCAGGAACCAATTGGCGTTCAGGGCGACGATACGGGCCTGGTCGGGCTGGGCAACATCGGCAAAGATAACGTCAACCATGGGAACGACCATGCGGTAACGGGCGGGCTGACGGGCATCCTCGACAATGGGGACGACGTTGGTGCGCTTGGAGGCCATGGTGACGAGATCACGGCCGGAGCGGGAAGAGAACTCAACGGCGTAGACGTATCCAGTAGGGCCAACAAGGTCAGCAACGTGGGAGACGGAGGTACCAGAGGCACCACCGAGGTAGAGAACACGAGAGCCAGGCTTCATGTAGATATCGTCGGCACCACCGGCGATGGCGGCGCAAAGCTTGCTTCGGAAAGGGTTCCAGGTACGGTACTCAATCTTGGTGGTAGTGGTAGTACCATCCTCGTTCTTCTGGACCTCATCGACGGAGACACGCTTCTCGCCGTAGACGGACTCGCCAGGGGTGATGTTGCGGGTAGCAAGACCATCTTCCTTGCCGCCACGAATGACGAAGACACCAGGGTGACGGTGAGGCTCCTGTTTGGCAGTAATGTTAGCGGTCAAAGATTTGAGATTAATGGATTGACGGCACAGCAACATACAATGATGACCTTGGCACCGCCCCTCTGGCCAGGCGCGCCGCCGCCGCGACCGCCGCGAGGGCCACCACGTCCACCGCGAGCACCACCGCGAGGGCCACCACGAGGAGCACCTAGTCATTGAAAGTCAGCCTTTGATGCCATCACCAACCACCCTCAAAACTTTGAGGCGACGATAAGAGAAACGTACCTCGACCGCCACCGCGACCACCTCCACGACCGCCGAAGCCTCCACGGTCACCAAATCCTCCGCGACCGCCTCGACCACCACCGCGACCGCCGCCGCCACGAGGAGCACCTCGTCCGAAAGGTGCCATCTCTTCTGATTAGAGTTTGGGGTTGTGAAGAGATTCGGAGGAATTGAACGCAAGGTTCAATCAATGGAATAAAGATTGAGGTGGAAGCAGATAAAAGACAGCTTCGCGAAAGCAGAGAACGGGTTTGAGTCCGTTTCTAGGTGTTGCTTCTAACTTTCAAACTCAGTGGTTGAGACTGCTTAGTCTTGAAGTCGAAGAAAATTCTTGAAGCTTTTTTTTTTCCTAGTAAGTTCTGGCGGCTGGGCCCCACACGTCGCATGGGCTTGTCCAACTTTTTCTGGCCCGGAGTTCTGCCGTTATCAGGACCAGAGCTGCTTCCGATAAGGTGACTTGAGGTGTCACGTGACAAGGCACAAATTGATTTATGTGTTCTGTACAATTTTGAAGCTCTTTTCAATCTAAGAACGAAGAGAGCACTCATTTGAGAAGATTTATTTTAAGTTTTCTTGTCATCGTAATATTTTTCCACCCTCATACACCGTCTTTGCTGCAGAATACCATACCATACCTCAAGGTGGTGGCATTAGCTTGTGGTTGCTGACTACGCATTCTTCCACAGGGCAGTCAAACCCTAGAAATTCCCAAAGTGGGTAAGCGACTCTTGTTGGTGTCAAGCAGTTGCTTTAGGGCAAAAGTTCAGAAATTCTCAACTACAGCCAGCCCCGAACCCACGTCGTCGAATCGAATCCCCGTCACCACAACACCAAGCCGTCGAGATGGTGAGTGTTGCCCTGCGTCCCATTGAGAAGAATCGAATTGTTTGAGGGGAGTGTTGAGCTGGAGATTTGGCAGCCGAGATGTGGCAATCTGCGGCCGCAGTTCTGCCCTTCTCGTCCCTCCGATAATACTCTCTCTCTCTTCCCCACGCAATTCGACACAATGCGGACTGGTTTTTCAATGAAAGAAATTATGAGTCTAACATTGGGAATTTTTCCAGGTGCGATACGCTGCGACTGAGATCGAACCCGCCAAGTCGGCCCGCGCCCGCGGTGCCTACCTCCGTGTCTCCTTCAAGAACACCCGCGAGACCGCCCAGGCCATCAACGGCTGGAAGCTGCAGCGTGCTGTTACCTTCCTTGAGAACGTCAAGGAGCACAAGGAGGCCGTCCCCATGCGCCGATATGCCGGCAGCACTGGCCGCACTGCTCAAGGTACGCTCAGCTCGAGAAATCCCACGCAGCCCTCGAAAGTGTGAAGAGAATTGGCTTTGGACGAACTTCACACGGGCTGCGGAGAGGCTCAAAAATTCAATTTGTGTGAGAGGGACATATTTGCTGATTGGGTCCGCCACGTACAGGAAAGCAGTTCGGTGTCTCAAAGGCCCGCTGGCCCATCAAGTCGGCCGAGTTCCTCCTCGGTCTCCTCAAGAACGCTGAGGCCAACGCTGATGCCAAGGGCCTCGACACCGGTGCCCTCATCGTAAAGCACATCCAGGTCAACCAGGCCCCCAAGCAGCGCCGCCGAACGTACCGTGCCCACGGTCGTGTATGTTTGAACCCTCTTCCAGTCCAATTGGCCGATTTTCCGAATTCTAACGCAAGACCTCCTAGATCAACCCATACATGTCAAACCCTTGCCACATCGAGCTCATCCTCACCGAGGCTGAGGAGGTTGTCCAGAAGTCCGAGGAAGTTGCTGGCCGTGAGGACCTCCGCCTGAACTCGAGACAGCGTGGTGCCCGCGTCCGCCAGGCCATCACCGCCGCATAAAGGTACCCTCTAACCAAGGGGGCTTGTAGTGCGGTTGTGGAGTGACTTTTGTACCGACGGCGAGCGGCGCAAGAGAGAGGGGGCTAGCAGAATGGGCTTTTCGAGTTGTTGGGTTTTCGGAGGGTCCCGGTTCGTGGCTTTTCATCTCATGGTGTATGGCAAGGCTGCGAGGAGCATGGCATCTTACAGGGAAAAACGCATGCAACGTCTTTCGCAAGGCTTTTTCTTGACGAAATATACAAAATTTCGAATGAATTAAAAAATGGACCATACAAAACTTGCACCCTTCTTCCTCTCCCCGCCCGGTTCTCTCCCTATATAATACAACGGCAGGCGATGCCTTTTACAGATGTGTAGATATCGATGAATCAAAGTTTGACTTGGGCCGTTCGCCCCCTGTACCTTCACGAATTCGGGTGTGGGATAGACTACAACTCTTGCCACTGGGTATATTCCACGTAAGATATTCGTACGGTGTCTGCTGAACATAGCCCGGGAAGAGACATGTGACCACGATCATCAGGTCATAACCGTAAACTCATAATTGTTTGACATTTAGGGTAAAAACCAGGCTTCGTAAGCAAAGTACACAAAGTGTACATGACCTAGGCTACATACTTTTCCTCTTTTCCGTAATCTTGTATCGCTGCAGCTCTTTCTTGAATATCGTCTGAACATAAACTCTTATCATAAGAATAAGAAGCACCGCTCGGCCTGCTTCTGTTCACCCTTCGTGGCATGTAGGAAAACGAACTACATAATGCCAGCACCAGGGTGCCGGGAATAAATGAAAAGATAAGAGAAAAAAAAACGACCAAACTCCGATAACCGTATATCCCTTCCCCTTCACCTCTACCGAGGGTTAGAAGAATATTTTTCGCCCGTGCTGTGCCACCTAATACCAAGTAGAAGTTAAGTACTGTCTTTGTCTGCTTGGTTGACATTGCCATCAAAAATAAAAGATAAAAAATTAAACACATTAGTCGAGAGAAATAAGGAAAGCCCACGTGGGCTTGAAGAAGCGAAGAGAGAGAGAGTACGAAACTCCCACGTGATATACTTCACTTCACTCTCCATCCATATGTGTTTGCGGAGTGTGCCACTCCAGCGACTCCAAGACAGACTCAAGGTCGTCCCCCTCATGGCCATTATCCGACATGCTTGCAGGAGGTAGACTGACTGTTATATTATTGCGTTCGGGTGGTATGAATTCGTTCCATGGGCGAGGAACAGGGGACGTGTCAACCATTCCGGAAAAGCGCCCGGTGCCGGGGAAGTCCACACCATCAGCCGCGGCATCGTGAATCGTTCTTTGGCTATAGACACGTTCCCAGCCCATGGCCATACCGAAAGCGTGTGTGAGATTGAACGCTTCTTGTGGCCCAATGTAGGGCAATATCTGGGCAAGCTCCCTGTCTTTGCAACGCTGCATGATACGCTGAGGCGTGCTCGGACTGTGGCTTGGAGGGACAACGCCATGGGCTCCAGGGGGCAAGAGAGCACGAGTATTGAGGTTAGCGGCGTCGACGGCAACATAGCCACAAGATTTGAAAGATAGGCACTTGATTGTGTATCGCCTCTCCTCAGCGAAAAGACGATCGCATTGTGGAATCACATCTGCGGCCGTTTGGAGAAGAGGTGGCCACCGGCTGTCTTCCCAATCAACGCCATCTTCGATAACACGGCGAATGGAGTCACCAGGAGTGAAATGCTCGATAAATCCTGCCCACGTCAAAAGTTCTGGAAAGACGAGTGTCTCAGGACGCGCGGCCATATCTGGTAGGATTGCTGCATGTGCATTGATGTGATGTTGCCCGGCCCCGATGATGTGATGTTGTGCGGGCCCGATGATGTGATGTTGTGCGGCCGGGATGATGTGATGTTGTGCGGCCGGGATGACGGGTTGTCCGTCCGGGAAGAGGGGATTTTGTCCGCCTCCGAAAATAGCTGGTTGGTTGAAGAGATGATGTGGGTTGAAGATTTGTGGAAGTCCAGGTGGTGGGCCAGGGAGTAGATGCGCATGTTGGGCGAAGCCAACAAAGCCGTTGTGCATCATCATCATTTGATTAAAATGAGCAGCAGCTTGGCCGTTGTGCAAGCCCAAAGGGAATTGAGGATTCCTGGTAGGCTGGCCCGAAAGGGAGACCGACTCCAGCTCTAGTTTTTCCAAAGACGCAAGTCCCATCTCTCGAACAGTCTGGATAAGGACGTGTGGCGATGCCCAGCAGTTCTTGAGAGAGAGATGTTTAAGATGCGGCAAACTCAGGAGTTTGTCTTCTTGAAAAACGTCCAAATTCGCTGACGCCATATCCCTTGGGTTCTTGAAGAATGGTGCAGGAAGGATGTATTGATTCCGTTGGTACGAGCTTGGAGCGAATTCACCACCGCATATCCACTCGAAATGCAAGCTTTCGATTCCGGGCTGCTTGCCGATGTAGTCCTGAAGAAGTCTGAAAACCAAACCAACAGCGGTCACTGGCGATACTTCGTTGTCCTCGATGCACCCTGGAGTGGGTTTTGTGATTTTTCTCCAGTCCGCAATGACACCCAATGACACGTTGGAAAGATTGGGGAAGCTATCCCAGAAAGAATCTCGATAGAAAATATGAACATGACAACTGGGTATTTTGGCAATGGACAACGTGGTGAGTTGCGAGTAGCAACCGATGGCTGCATTGTCGACCATGGCAATCACGTAGGATTGAATCATGGCTCGGTGAGCCCACTCCAACTCAAGAAGGAGCTCCTTTTGAGCCCGAGAGAGGAAAGCAGGGACAAGAGGAAACCTGCGAGAGTCGGGCCGTTCGAGGGTTTCTGCGCTTCCGTCTATTGCTAACATGGCAAGCACCTGTTGCTCGTGGACATCAGAGCTGCTCCTATCAAGAGCATTCATGTTCGAGGCAGCTCTTTCGTCCACATCGATAGAGGGCAAGCTGGCGTTTTCTGTGTCAAGGAGCAGACCGATAGCCTCGTTGATTGCCGGGCCTTCATAGCCTGCATCAACGACCATCTTCTCAAGAACTTGTCGCTGAAGGGAAAGATTGTCAGAAGCAGAAGCTTGTGATTTCTGGGGTCCAGGCCCATTCAAGTTGGCGATTGTGACACATTGATCGTCCTCTTCTTCCACTATCTGGCCGGGGTGGTGCTCTCGGCGCCAGTTCTTTGTGGCAAAGACAGGTCGACGGGTTGATGCGCGGCGCACGCAGACATCTGGTCTTGTGAGAAATCCAAGACCAGGATCGCAAGACAGGCCCATATTGGTAACTTTAGTCAAGCATTTCAAAGCATCCTTCATCTTTTGCGTTTCATCTGCCGTCTGTTCAATTCCTTGGAGGTCAGAGTACCTGGTGTAAGTCTGGGGCGGCCATCGATATATCCCCCAGAATGAGGTCACAGCCTCTTGGGCTGGCTTAATCGGAGGGTTCGCAAGGTCATCCTCATCCAACTCAAGAGAGAGGGCGAAACGAAGGATATGAGGGCCAAAGGACTCGAATATACGTGAGCCAGTGGAGAAGAGGGCCGAGGATGGGTGCAGTCGGGGCTCGGACGACTCTCTATCAAAATCGCCATATAACTCGGGTCGAAATGGGACGACAACGTTCTTGAAGTACTTTGCAGAAACCTTGATTTCAAACTCCTTATTCACCCTGCGAAGAGTTCTAACCTCAGCTCGGGAAAGAAACGACGTAATGAGCTCGAAGATCTCAACGGGGATTATTGAGCTAGGCCATGGTATTTCCCAAGTCGCAGGATCGGACAGGTCGCTCGTAGCATCAGCTGGCTCTCCAGCCTCAGCGCCTTCGGGGGGTGCAGGGCAATCAGGACTTGTTAGGTCGATCTCCATGTCATAATTGGCCTCTGAGCTCGCGGGGCTCGAGAAATCGTCTTGGGCGATGGGATAGTCGAAGTGGGCAGGGTGCACAAAGAAGAGATCCATGATGGAAATCTTTTGCCATTGAAATTCGAGGCGTTTGTCAGCGATGGCACATTGATCAAATAACCAGCGACATATCGTGCTGCCAGTCTGCTGGTGTAGAAGGGAAACCATGGCAGGCGGAATGCCTGGCGGAGGCCCAGCTAAAGGTGCTGACCGAGCCTCAAGTGCACTGTCCTAAGGTATCAGAAAGAGTGGGCTGCTCAAGCGAGGGCGGGGCAATTCGAAGCCTAATTCGTCCGCTGTGACACAGAGTGAATAGGTGGCGTAGAGTGCCGCCGAGGTCACAGCAGTCCCGTTAGGTACCCTGGGGCAGGAATGCCTGCGGAGTCCGTGGGGAAGGTACCAGCGAGTACCTGAGTGAGGTACCTGGAGCAAGTGCCTGAGACAGTGCCAATGTACGCGCCTTCCTTGCAGCCCTGTGGCCGTCCGCTCCTGCCTGTAGCAAGCTTGGGTACCAATTGCCAGCTCGACGCGGGTGAGAACGCAGGCGGCGGCTGGAGGCAGGCGGGAGATAACGGATCGCCAATGGGAGTTTTTCTCTCATCCGAATGTTGCACGTAATCGCCTTTATGCTGGATGGTAGGTATCTTCGCTGGGTGGTGTCACTAGCTCGGCGGGCAACCGGATCGATTTGGCACACGATCAGCAGTGGCGGATGATGGACAGGTTTCCCCAGGGCGATGTGATTGGCATCGATATGAGGAAGCATGGGATGTCCTCTGAATTATACAAGTTCGCTGAGCGCATGTCTACGACAATCTTCGGCAACGAGGACCCGTCTTTTTATCAAAGAATTTAAGCTGTCTAACCATCAGCGACAACCCCCAGCTTTGCTCGATGCACCGCGAATCTCCCCCACATGCACCATGGATGATGGGTGATGGGCAGCACGGCATGGACCCTGAGCGTCAGCACCGGTTCCAAGGACCCAGTTTGCAATGCCTTCTGACCTCTGTAGCCCTTGGAGCTCGCCCTGTTTGCCGGGAACAGATCCAGCTTGAGCTTCTGATTACCCGAACATGGATCCTTCCTCATTGTCAGTCTAGAAAAGATGTACTCTCCGGAAAGCATTCTGCTGCTGAACATCTTTCGCCTTTCGCCTTTCGCCTTGGTCCGCTCACGGCTCTGGGGAGGGCGGGCATTGAGATCGGTTTGAATTCCTAAAGCGAACTGGCTTTCTACCCACCCCGTAGATGGGCAAGCAAGTACGCAACCCCTTTTCTTTTTTCCACAGGGAGGAGGCAACATCTGGAACCTGTTCCACTTGAGGATGTTTCGTTGTCACAATCAGACGGCCTACGAAGGTACTAGGTGTGTACTTTGCATGGATGTTGTTGCCATGGAAGTAACAGTGTCATGCATGACCGAACAACCCCACCAAGACGGAAGGATGCGCAGCCAGCCTCACTCGAGACCAGCTGGATCAGCTCAGCACAGTGCCCTCTCCGGCGCCAAATTGAGCTCACTGGCGATAGGCCGTGTGCACAATGAAGGTATATCGGGCCTAATGACGGGACGGGACGGAACTTATGGCGATGACAAAGGGACCTCAAAAGGTGTTCACTTGCCGGAGATCATATGTCTGTGAGCTGACGGGGCATAATGCCTGGCTTATGCCCCAAGAGACCCCACAGCGGGATGATGGAAGAAGCATTGGTCCGCACATCAACCAATTCTGACATGCCTGCCCAAGGCATTTCCATGAGGAACGGCAAATCGCTGCTTTACGTCAAGTGAGGGAATTCTGCCTGGGAGGCAAGCGACTGACATTAAAACGGCATACCCGGAATCTCCAGTTGGCTTTCGACACAATATCACAGCAATCAGCCTGGTAGTAAACATAATATCCAGCTCAATATTGTAGAATAATTCACCTATGTATTTTATTGTGTTCAGTATTATTCATAAGAAAATCAGGCCCTTACCATGTATTAAAAGGGCTCTAGTGTGCCATGTTTTATTTCAGTCTTTGGCATTGCAACCAATAAGCCGTCCACATCCTTAAATATGAGACGGGATCTCTGAGCACATGATTAGAGACACGAGCAAAATTCCTGTGCGATGGCGAAACTCAGGCCGGAATGCTAAGGGGGATCTCCATACCACATTCCCACAACTCGTCGGCAATCCAACGGCTCACCTCCGATCTAGTGTATGAAATACATGTGACGCTTCTTGGTACATATCTCGCAGCTGAACTCTTCACCACGGTGCCTGCAACTGCGCCTCTTGGGTGCGGATCGGATGCCTGCTCATGCCCTTGCCCATGTCGCTGCTACCAACAGTGCCCTGCTCCAAAATCGACTTTCACCATGTCGTCACAGCTATCATGAAAATCTATAATTGTGAATGACTCAGGAACGATTCCGGCGATGCCATTGAGCGAAGGCGCCCATGCCTAATCGTAGCTGCAGCCACAACTCAAGAGTTCCTGTTACTAATTCCTCAACATCAGGAGCAAGTACCCCATTTCATTTTCATGATGACGATATGTACATAACAACCAGGCACTTAATCTACAAGCTTTGGAAGCTCTGCACCCATGCACTACAGGGAGTGACAAGGGCCTACACGCCTGCTAGGGCCATCTAACCACCAGGGCCTAGCCCACTAAATAACCTTAGCTTCACTCCAGTCCGAAAGGCCCCTGCTGAGCTCTCGTCCCGCACCGTCGGTAGTTGATCCTACTCTTGGCAAGGACCTAAGTAGCTGACTTGCCCAGACCCCCTGACCGCTATTATAATGAACAGAACAAGCTTACTCCGTTCTGAGGAGTGAGCCCCGATGTTAGTGGCTCAAAGCTGGCTGTCGCTTGGTTACGCTATCATCGAGGCCCTCATTGAGAACAGCAGTCGTGGCAAGGATAATACGAGCTCGCTTGAATACAAACTTGGGATGCTAACCTAGGTAACGGAAAGCTTAGAGCCTAGCTTTTCCAATCTATTTCTCTTGCTCGCATCTACCGCCGCTTCTCTTGGGACCCGGGGTTATCCTGTGGTTGCAGCTGCGCAACTTGTCTGAAGGCGGTCAACAGAGCGTTGTTGCCCCTTTTGCTCGAGTCCGCGGTCAACCCTTTGCCGGTCAACTGCGTACCTAGAACGAGGAGACTTAAATTAACAGTGAAGGATGATACCCTTTGCCAGATCTCAGCACCACGGAAGTGGCATTATTCCATTTAATGGAGCTGGCTGTAGTTGTAGCCTCCCGTGCTAATGGCTCTGGGAACCAGTCGGGTGGCTCCCATGATGGCTTTGGGAAGTTGATATTGGGAGCTTGCTGAGTGGTCTGAACCTCTGCCAAGCTTTCCTTAAAACCCTGGGAGGATTTGGGGCTAGTTTTAGCGTCCCGAACGTTTAGATCGAGGGTTGCACTCCCCAGCCAGTTTGACCCAAGCGCCAATGCCAGCTTGTGATGTGTGGATCTTATTCTCCCAAGCCCAACCTGGAGACTCCAGCAGTTGTCTCTTCGTGATGAAAGTTCAGGATCGTTGTTCTTAGCTCTGTGACAGCTCCGAAGACGTATAATGAACAACACTACTGCAGGACAACCGCCAATGTTGCAATCACAGAGTTAAAATACGACATGTTTGGTGTCATCCAGCCCATTGATATTTCGCTGAGCCAACTGGTCCCCAGGGATCCATGTATTATTTACAAGCTAACCCTGATCCCAACAATAAGAGTAAACAACTAGGTATGGATCTAATACGCCTAACGAATAAGAAAATATATGCTTTACACTGCACAACAAGGTGCCTTCGTGCTTTCATACAACCCAGTATTTCCAACCCCTATCCCTTGTGCTCCTGGAATCCATCCGGCTTCCATTCTCCGTGACCTGCGGGTGCATTCTGTGAATTGCCCTTCGATCCCGCTCCTGCAGCAACAACCGTCGTGCCTAGCTGGCTGGCGTGTTTCTCAAAGTCAGATGTGCCCAGCCAGTAGAGGGACAGGAAAATGAGAAGGTGGAGAGCCAGGCAGTATGCTGCGAAGAGGTTCCTGCTCGTCCGAGAGGCGAGAACCATTCTTGTGATGCTGTAGACTATCCTCTCCGGAAGACTCATGCGTTGGTAGGCCCTCGCCGACTCGCGGCCGCGGAACGCAGCGAAGGGCGAGATGTTTGACTCGTAGGCTTTGCGGTATCGGTCCAACTCGATGCCCGGGTTCCCTGTTCCCCCAATCGCTACCGTGGAGGGGTTCGGGTTTGAGGTGAAGGCTGACGTTGCCGTGGAAGCACCTCCCCGGTTGTATGTCGACACGTACCGCGTCTTCTCGTACAGGTTGAGGTTGTCCTTTTGTAGTGCCGCTACCTCCTGTCTAAGCTGTGACACAGTCCGGTGGGTGTCAGAGAGCTCCTGCTCGAGTTCGGCATTCTTCTTCTTGAAGCGGTCGCGCTGTGCGGCGACCATGGGGAGAATGCCAGAGCCACCACCCATGGGCTCACGCTCAGACATACCCGACCTAGGATCCAATCCACTGATAATGGAGGATGTCGGGGATACTCGGCCACCACGTCGAGTGGGTGGCGGGCCTCTTGTGACGTAGGTTCCCGCAACAGAAGCGCCAGAGGGGAAGGCGTTGACCCCTTCTGACTGAAGAGTCTCGAGGTCGTTTTCCAGTTTCTGGTTGAGATTCTGAGACTTCTCCAACTCCGCATTGGTTCTCGAGAGTTCCTCCTGGATCTCTTCCAGTTGCGCCTGGAGGCCTTGGCTTGAGACCCGTAGAAGAGTCAGCTCGTCACTAAGCTTTTTGTTCCTGCCCAAGAGAAGCCTCTCAAGCGACTCATTATTAGAAGCGTCACCATCCTGGACCTGCTCGCGCACGTCATCGTCGTCTCCCGTAGCAAACTCGATGCTCTTGAGGATTTCAAGTTCTTGTTTCAGTTCGTCATAATCCGTCCATTTTTCAACCTTGGCCTTCAAGCTTTCCTTTTCCTCTTTCAGCAAGGTAACCTCCCTTTCGATGGACCGTACCTTGGCATCAAGGTCTCGCTTCAGCGCCTCCTTCTCAACCCTCGCGGCATCAAGTTTTCTGATAAACGATGAATTCTCGGCCCTCATTCGCATGTAGCTAGGATCTTCCTCCAAAGATGTCTCATTCTGGGTCGAGACGGATGATTTCGCTTGGGCCAACTCAATTCTCATTTGCTCATTTCGTGCCTCGACTTCAGCCAAGCGCGTACTTGTTCGCTCGAGGTCGGAGTGGAGCATTTCCACTTCAGCGCTTGAGACATGATTGAACTGTGCGTCTTGGTCGCCTCCGGTCTTTCCCAGTCGCTGGTTGACCTCGTAGCTGGCTCGGATCTCGCTCAGCAGTCGTTCTTGGCTTTCCACCTTCTCCTCCAAGCTCTTCTCCTTTGCTTCCCAGTTGTCCTTCTTCTCGTCCATGACAGCAGCCCATGATGATTCGACCTCCTTGACTCGATCTTCGAGCTTCTCCTCCAGCTCGTTGCGCGCTGTCCTCTCGCTCTGTAACTTGGTCTCTGTCTCTTCCAATTGCGATGTGACCTTGGACAGATTGGTCTGCAGATGCTGGTTCTCCTCCTGGAGTTTTGGTAGGGTATCTTCAGATAATAGCATAGAGTCGACAGAGGCTTCGAGAAGTGGGTACGGATCGGGCGCTTCAGACAACGACGTGTAGGTCTGTAGGAACGACGAGTTGACCGACTTGGAGTGGTTTGTCAAGACATCGATGAAGGCTTGGTAGGCTACAAGACATGCGACGTCAGCCAATCTTTGTACATAAGGCATTCTAGAGTAACAGCATACCTTTGAGCAGCCCTTTGATCTCCGTCAGCTTTGATGCATCGTCGAGCTTCCTGAAGTCCTTGGTCTTTTGCGCCAAGTCTTTTCGCTGGACGGTGGTGTCTCGTTGGTAGGCAACAATCTCGGATGCTGTAGAATCAAGCTTGTTTGTGAGGCTCGTGAGATCGAGGTCTAAAATATAGGTCCAGCAATCAGTTTGATGCTCTCGAATACCGGGGGGTGGGGGAAGCCATACTCCTCCAAACAGATATAGCATGCTGGAACTTGTTCTCTCCTTCGAAGGTCGGGCCTACCGGTGACTCTGCCACCGCCTCCTGGGCCTTCAATGCCTCTTCCACGGCGGCGTCGGCCATTTTGAAGCCGGGAGTGTACTCTGTTCAAGGTTTCGCAATGTCGAATCAGGCGCGCCCTGATGGTAGGACTGGTCTGCCAGTATGAGGTGAGCGGGTTCGCTGCGCACGCTTTAATCCAGCTCAAATTGGTAAATCGATTGGCTGTTTGTGTCCATGGAAAAGAACGTAGATGATAAAGTGGAATTGGACAGTTCTTGAGTGCTGCTATTCTCCCTGAACATGCGCTCTCGGTAGCTTTCCCCTGTCTGCTACGTAGCGCTGAAACAGGCCAGCTCGGCCAACTCGTGGCAGGGCGCGTGGTGTTAAAGAGCTGCGCCCCACCACTCCGTCATACCACCTGTGATTATGTGGCTGGTATTAGATTGCGCCGCACCTGGCCAAGCTTTATCTACCTACCACTCGACGGTTGATCAACCCGCGACCTCACAGCTCCCCGATCAGCAATTCGACGGTTACCCCGGCCGGACCTCTCGCTTTTGCTCCCGCGACCGCAATGACACAGCATCGATGAGGCTGCCGAGTGATTTGCCGCTATGACATCGACAGGCCCAGGTGATGGGCAAGGGTCTAACGGAAGACCAGAGGAAGGGCCCTTTATCCTTAGACCGTTACTAGACAATGTGCCGCTGGTTACGGATGAGACGGAGGGCGAGGTGAAGATAAACTGTGTTGAATACTATGGTAGGCCGCATCGCATGCAACCGCTACATGAACCCAAGCTCATTGATTCGCCCAAACAGATCGCAACCTATATGTCGGCACCAGCGCGTCCGAGCTACTCCATTTCGTACAGATACCTCCCGACCCAAAAGATCCCGGCAGCCCGCCAGTATATATTCTAGCGTCTAGGTTGTTCCCCAACTATGTGGAAGTCGCCGGGCCGCTACCCGGCGTGCAGCAGATCCTGCTACTCCCTCACGCGGGAAAGGCGTGCATTCGCTGTAATTGGACCGTGACCCTATACTCCTTGCCGGAGTTGAGTCCAGCATTCGATTCAAGCAAAGTCAGGGGCTGCAATTGGATCGGAGGTGTCGACTTGAATAAATCTTTGGTCAGCGACGACAATGGTCAAGGTCCAGTACCTGTCAATGTTCTTCTCGCATCGAACCGGCGGATTCAGGCTCTTGAAATCGGCAGCTCGAAACCTAGGATCATACAGGTGATTACCAACATATGAATGTCTTTTATAGGTTGCCTTGGCTAACTTCGTCGCGTCAGAGGATTGATTTACCCGGAATCAGCCTAGCCGTTCGTAGAGATTCTATAGCCTGCGTCGCCGACTCGAAGTCATACTCACTCCTTGATGTTGAAAGACAACTCAGGATTCCGCTAATGAGCATATCCTCTTTGGATGAATCTACTCCGCCTGAAGATGTCGGGCATGCGCAGAGCCTCCATACTAGTACAGGCGTTGGGGTGGGGAGAAGTTCGTCTCTTATTCAAGGACGATCCCCTGTTGATTTCCATAGTCATACCAGAAGCTCAAGTCTAGGGGGTTCTATACTAGGAAGTATGCGAAGAGGCGATGACGAAGGGCGACAGCTACAATTACCATCAGAAGTATCATCATTAGATGCATTATCAAGCCCGCAACCCCTAAGAAGCCCGCAACCCACCATCGATGGCATTGCGACACCACCTTCCATCGACAAGCCCTTGCCGCAAGCCCCGGGAGAGGCTGATGCTGCTGCACAGCCTTCCCAAGCTCGGGAAGAGCCGAGGCAAGTGTTCTTACAGCCTCATATTGCATCGCCTGGACCCGAGGAGTTTTTGGTTATCCGAGGCACAAGCCCGGTTGAACCTTGTATTGGCATGTTCGTGAATCTGGATGGTGATCCCACGAGGGCGCCTGTCAACTTCGAGAGATATCCTAAGGAGCTGGTGGTCGACACCGGTTTCCATGATTTAGCCGATGCCCAGCCAACCATGACAGAGGGTGACGATGGTTTTGTTCTCGTGTCGTTGACCAAAGAATTCAAAGATGGCTTGCGACATGGCATCGAAATCCAGTCATTAAACTCTGACAACGACGGAGAGGCTCAAAGATATTGGCTAGAAGCTGATGGGGTCGATAAGGAAACAGAATATGGCATTAGACCGTTGACTGGAAGAGAGGAGTTCAAATACGAAGAGATCGTGGAGAAGCTCTGCCAGAAGAAATTCCGTCCGTTTTCTACCAGCACAGAAACGCCTACAGTTTCACTCAGGCGCTCAGACTCGAGGACAGCATTGTCCATTGAGCAACTATCCAAGGAAAAAGAGCTATTCGACCAAAACTTTGACTCTCAAGAGGAGGACGCTCTCCCTGACGGCTGGGAGGCATCGCGGAGTGCGGAGTCGAAAGAATTTGCCAGGCGCCTTGCCAAGGCATATGCTGGCCTTGTTGTCTGGGCTGGAGATCGGCTATGGTGGGCAGTAAGAAACCCGCTGATCTTAAAACTGGATTCCACACTCGAGGCTGCCATATCCAAGGACCATCAAGTCGACAGGCGTGCTCTAGTCTCTGTCCTAGGCTCTGTACGTCAGCGAGATGCTCAATCCGAGCTGGAGTTCCTCACATTTGGCTATCTGCGGCAAAAGATTGGACTTCTTCTTCTTTCGGGACTCTTAAAATCCGCCTCTAGCCAGGGCTTCTCCGAGGCTGAAGTGAAAGCAGTTGAAGAAGTTTTGGTCGAAAGCAGTCTGGATCCTCGAGTCGTGCTAGCACTCATCCCCGGCGTTCGAAACGAAATCGTTGAAGGCCAGCGGGGAATCTGGATATATGGAGGCGTGAAAGGGGTGGCCGACTCCTTCATTCAAGGCAGTGAATTTGAGAAGATCGCAAATGGCCGCATCGAAAGCGTTGGGCCAAATATCCTTCAATTCCTGCGCAGGTTTCTCACATCTTGGAGAGGCATGAAGGGTCTGCCTAGCGTCTCGGAGGAAAGCGAAGTATTCCGGACGGTAGATGCGGCACTGCTCCTTGTCCTCTTAGAACTGGACAAAAACTCACCAAAGGGTATGGGCAAGGGCGGCTCGGTTCGAGCAGAACTTAACGAGCTAGTGGATAAGGGTGTGGACTGCTTCGAACGAGCAGTCAACCTTCTTGAATCTTACCACCGACTCTTCATTCTAAGTCGGCTATACCAAAGCCGCAAAATGGCAGGTGACGTCCTGAACACCTGGAAGCGAATTATTGAAGGTGAACGGGACGAGGGGCAGGAGTTCCGCGACGGCGAAATGCGTGTCAGAGAATACCTCTCCAAGATTCGCAGTCAGTCACTGGTGCAAGAGTACGGTGTCTGGCTGGCGAACAGGAACCCAAAGTTGGGTGTCCAGGTGTTTGCTGAAGACAAGGGTCGAGCTCCCAAATTCAAACCTGCCCAAGTTGTTGAGTTACTCAAAGAGGAGGCGCCGGTCGCAGTCAAATACTATCTGGAACATCTGGTATTTGACAAAGGATACACGGTATATGTCAACGACCTCATTACTTATTACCTTGACGTGGTGGTGGGCGAGCTACAGTCGTCGGCTGAGAGTCGAGATGCCGTAATGGCGACCTACGAGGCCTACAAGGCTCTCCGAGCACCCAAACCCACCTACCGCCACTTCCTTTCAGATAATGCGCCTCAAGACGACGAAGTTTGGCACAGCCGCCTACGGCTCCTTCAGCTTCTGAGTGGCGCACACGACTACGACACGACTTCTATCAAGGAGCGAATTGCCAGCTTGCCCGACGACCTGCTGGTCCCCGAGACAATCGTCCTCTCAGGCAGGGAGCGAAACCATGAGGTTGCTCTCCGTCTTCTAGTGCATAAGCTCGGCGATTATGACGCAGCTGTGTCGTATTGTCTCCGTGGGGGAACAAGCATCGACAGCTTCACCACATCAGATGGTCTCAGCCGGAAGGACTCGCTTCCCAGCGTCGATACGCAGCGACGCCTCTTTAACGCCGTCCTACACGAGTTTCTAGCCATTTCAGACATCAGTGACCGTATTGAACAGACGGGCGCACTGCTGGAGCGATTCGGCGGGTGGTTCGAGGTCGATGACGTGCTCAAGCTGATTCCCGACAGCTGGTCGGTCGACATTGTAGCAGGCTTCCTGGTCGGTGCGCTGCGGCGGCTGGTCAAGCAGAAGCACGAGAGTGTGGTGACGAGGGCGCTGAGCGGCGCGGAAAACCTCAGAATCAGCTACGATCTAGTCGCCAGGGTGGATGAAAAAGGTCCCAGTGTCGAAGCTCCAAACTAAGCAAGCCGAGAATGCATTGGGGGCTTAGTTCATTGTTGGTCATCGAGCAGACGTCACTTGACTCGCTTGGGCATGGCAAAGTTTTCAGCTGAAGCTCTAGGCCATGCACCTATTCACACGATATACATCTAAGCCTGTTCACTGGCACATAGCACACCGCATAATGATCCTTTTCGATATTTTATATACTTGGGCATCCAGATAGATGAAAACGACCTTTTTTGTATTTCTTTCCACGTGCCCCAGGGCATCGCTCCTGTTCCGTGCTGGGTGAGGGTGACATGTAATAATCTGCAGCCGATCGGTGAGAAGTGAGGCTGAAACTCGCCCAGAGCTCAGCTCACAACAGTCCCTCGCATGGCAGAAATGTGGGATTATGCATTCAAGGTCCCACGCGGGCTGATCCTGGCCTCTGTGCTCGCCAATCACGGCGGGCGAGCCGTCCGCAGCTGAACAAACAAGCGGCCACACTCATCCAAGACAAACCCGACTTTTGGTGCCCCCCAAAGGCCAAGGGCCGATGGCGGGCAGCACCAAACGAGCAGTGCGGGCGTGCACTTGTCTGCATGGGGACAGTACTGCGACATCGTGCTCCTCGTATGTGGGGAGGAGAGGTGCTTGCGAAGACGACGGCCAACCACCTCGCCTCCGGCTGCCTGCATGCTTGTGTGTGTAATATGTATATATCCATGATGCCAACCAACCAACCATCCCACACGGTCGGTCTACACTGCAGGTAGTATTCTCCACGCCAGGAACATTCTTTCCGCCTGGTTGGGTTTTTTCTTTTTCTTCTTCTTTTCCTTTCCTCTGCTTCACTTGTTATCTCTCTCTCTGCACCCTCTTCAACACCGCAACAACCAGCCACCGCTTTCTCGTCCCTGGATCCTCCTCTGCTTGGTCCTTCACCCATTTCCTCTGCTTCCCATCGCAGTCCTGCTCCCATATCTTCTCAATCTCGCACCCGGCCTCCTCCTTCAATGCCTCCTCGTCAAAGAACCCGGCCATCTTCGCCCGGCCCGTGTGGAACCCAGCGACGACCCAGCACCTAGCCTCCGTCGTCTGCTTGAGGAGGAAGTCGACGGACCGCTGGAGGTTCCCGTGCTGCCATGGCATCCACAGACAGTCGCAGATGAGCACGCGGTCGAAAGCGTGCCTCTTCCCGGTCACCCCGTCTCCCTCGGGGAACGTTCCCCATTCGTGGCCCAGGACCCTCACGTCGAGAGACACCCTGCCTAGGGGGGACATCTCAACCTTCACGTTCTTCTTGACGTTCGTCCTGAGCGCCTCTATCAGCGGCGGAGCAGGGTAATCCGTCACGAGAACCTCCTCGGCGTCCAGCAGCCCGCCCATGATGCTCGGCAGCGCCGTGCCCGCGCCCAGCTCTACAGTCCTCCGCCCCCTCACGTCGAAGAGGCCTACCGACTTGGCCTCATCCCCTTCCACGGTAGCGCCCTCCTCGCTTATTAGATACGAGTCCCGCTCTATCAGCTCGGCGAGCAGCAGCGACGAGTTCCACAGGAAGTGGCTGAACAGCCCCCTCTCCGTGTCGTCCCCCGGCTGGCACAGCCTCAGCTGCAAGGGTTTAGGCAGATGCGGCGACGTGTACACCAGCCACGAGTCCGGGTCCCCGTGCTGGTTCGTCACGTCGTCCGGGAAGACGACGCCCAGAGACTCGGAGAGAAAGTCCTCCGGGTCGGTGCCCTCCGAGCCCGCGAGGGCGATGCGGGATGTGAGCGACATTATACCTCCCGCCCGGTCTAGCCAGAAGCCCCGGCAAGGGAACAGCGTTTTATTTTCCTAAAACGTATATAAGCCTTTCCTGAGTGGTTGGGTTGCAGCCGTTGGACGAAAGCCAAAAGTCCTAGGCTCAAGTCTAAAAAATTCCTCAACGTCTCCGCCTTTTCTTTGATAGGAGACGGGTTCCTCTATCGCCAGGGGAGCCAGGATTGGGATATACCTGGTGCGACACAAAGCTCCAATCGGCTCACGACCCTTTCCTAAGCCTGGGAAGCCAAGGTAGTATATCGATATTTGGTCGTTACGTGGGATCTTGGTGGGAGGGAGCAGGCTGGGGCTATGGAACCGAAAATCCCACCATTTCGGGTCCCATCCTCCGATGAACCGGGGTCATCCTACTGACATCACAGATTCTCCTGGCCAGGGTCAAATAAACTTGTTTTTTTTTCTTTATCAATTGGAGTTACTTCATAATTCTGTTCTTACGCATGTCCCAGTCGGTTGTAAACGATCCGGCTTCATCCCTTCTCAACTCGATCGTCAACCCTCAAAACCTCAAAACAACAGCCATCATCTCATGTTCCACGAACAAGCGCCCACACACGACTTTTAAGACATCGGATGGAACGTCACATTTGCAGCTCGAACGAGTAATGATACAGATCGGTATTATTATTATCACTCAGCTGGTGTCAAAGACCAGCTCAAGGCAAGCAATGCAGATACTAACTAGAAAGCCCGTGAGAAATAGATGGTGGGAGAAGATCGCGTCTTCGCCATTTAACCATCGTCGTTATCATCCATCATTATATATATAACCCAAAAGGAAGGTCCCAAAGCCACCCGGATATAAAAAAAGAGAGAGGTAAAAAAAAAGAGGAAGAAAAAAGAGGACAATGTCCACAACCAAGCGGTCTGTTTCGATTTGCTCGCAAATCAGTGGGTATCATTTCACCGTCTTCCTTGAACCTCGGAAGACGTCTTTGTTCCTTGTCGTATTCCAACACATACAATCATGAGATAATTCCCCATGTTTCCCTGGTTTCCCAAAATAATTTCCTTTCCCATTGCCGTTAAAATCCCGCTTTGCGCCTTCTGCTATGCTTTTGAATAGTCCTTGCGGGGACGGACGCGTCCCTTCGCAAGCCAACCTTCAAGATTATGATGAGAACCCTCTTCCGTGTACCGGGGGACTTTATAACCAAGAAAATGAAACAATAGTGAAAACGACGCCTCGATCAATTCGAGGCCAGCATCGCTGCCTCGCTCATTTGTCGGAACTGAGCCTCAGTGGGGTCATCTGAGATCCAGATGCCCTTCTCCTCCTCAGTCGCGCCATGGAAACCCTCGGCGCGCTTCAGAGTCTGGATATCCAGATCGGTGGTGTACGCCTTGGGGTCGGAGAGCTTGAGGCGAACCTCGTGCGTGGTGGAGAGAGCCATGTCGTCCTTGGCGAGGCGACGAGCACCATCAAAGCAAGTCATGACGCGGTGCTTGAGGGTCATGTTCGCGGGATCGTATCCCCAGGAAGGGGGATATCGCTCACCACGGTTCTTGCGGTTCTTAGCCTTCATGGTCATTGGCACTCCTCCGCGAGAGTGTGTCATACCGCGAGACTTCTGGACACCGTTGGCTGGGTTTCCCTTCTTCTTGGTAACACCGTTGGCCACCTTGATGCTCGAGGAATCGTCGTCGTCATCATCAGCCATATCCGAATCGTTGCCATCACCACTGTCAGAAGTGACCTGAGTGGTGAGGGGGAGGTTGTTCTTCTCCAGAGTCTCCTGGACGTCCTTGTCGTTCTCCACCTCAGTGAGGCACTGGACATTGATAGCCTCGGAGGGATCCTCCTGCTGGACGATGCGCAGCACGCAGTCATCCAGATGCTCGTAGAAGTCTTGAGGGTTGGAGAAGGTCTGGGAGCAAGTACTGCACTTGCCAGTGGCGTCGGAGGCAAAGCCGGTGAGCTTCTTGGAGGGGATGGTCATGGAGCCCTTCTTGCGGCTGTTGGGAGGAGTCTGCTCCACACCATGAACGGCTGTCAAGTGCCTCTTGAAGACGTCCGCGCGGTTGAACGACTTCTCGCTGGCCGAGCCAGATCCAGGACAGAAGCCGCACACCATGGTGCCTTTATAGTGCGTCAGGGTGTGTCGGTTCTTGTCGTATTTGCGTGCGAAGCCCTTGGTGTGGTACTCGCAGGTCTGGATGGGGCACTTCTCGGGACGCTCGTTCTGGTGCGTGAGCATATGGGCCTTGAGGTCCTTGAAGACCTTGCCACAGTCGGGGTATGTGCATCGCTGCTTAATCTTGGTCTCGTCTCCGCTGTGGTACTCGCCCGAGGCCGGGGAGATAAAACTGCTCATGCTTGGTCGGCGGCCGGTTGTGTCGACGTAGGGGCTGGGAGCGTAGGCTCCTGGGTGCATCTGAGGGTTCGGGAAGTAGGCGGGCGAGGAGCTGTTGGTGCGGATCATCTTGAGCTGTGGTGAAGAGGCGACTGAGGGAGAGGTTGGGAAGTGCTGCTGAGGCTGTTGGTGATGCTGGTAGTGGTAATCGTAGTGGGGCGCAGGCATGGGCAGACCGCCCATTTCCTGATTGATCAGAGAGGGATCTAGAAGCGAGAATAGGCACCTGTCAGCACACGTCCCATTGCAGAAAAATTACCGTTGGGCCAACGAAGCGGACAGCCACATGATGGAGGACCAGATGGCGGTCTATCGCAGAAGAGAGAACAGCGCCGTCATGTCCAACCCAAATGTGTTCGGGTTCGCTTGAGCCCTGTCTCAGACACCCACCCAGAGAGGGAGAGCATGGCAAGACACGGACTCGGATCAAAGGCCAAAAGCAGGAGCGCGAGATCAATTGAGACTTACCAACATAGCCCTTTGTAGGTGGCGCAAAGTCGAAGTTCATCTCCTCCATATGCTGGGCGTGGAAGCCGAAGTCTGGGTGGTGGGCAACGAAGTCGTTGCTCACAATGGTCGGCTGGACGAGGCCGCTGGTCGCCCACTCGGGGGAAGGCACAGAGTGCTGCCCGGGATTGGACTGTGGCGAGGCAGCCGCGGAGGAGGCAGCTGAGGCGGCAGAGAGGCTCGAAGAGGGGATGCGCAGCTCACTGTCCTCGGGATACATGGTAGGTGAGTTGTTCCCGTGGCCCAGGACGTAGTGTGAGGTCTCGGTGTACATGGAGGGCTCAAACGCGACCGTTGAGGGGATCGTGTACATGGTGTTCATCTCCATGGGAGAGGTTGTGGCGGATTCGTAGCTAGAGGCAGAGTGGGGAGGGTGAGGATATCGACCATACTCTTCGCCTTCGTGATGTGACGCGAACATGCTGCGTGCTCGCTGGTTTGCGATTGGCGGCTTTGCTACTGGGTGGGAGCTTGTGAGTGGGATTGGCGTGCTTGCTGGAATGCTGGGAGTCCGAAGCAAGTCTTGCGCTTGCTAAAAGGCGATTGATTGGATTTGGGTCTGTCTCTCTGTTGTCACTCTTCTTCAAGTGCCGTTGGTGTCGGGACCGGTTCCTTGGAACGAGTCAACAATCCACGAGGCAGTAATAGTCTCTATCTGAAGTACGAATGTTCATTCCTGGGAGGGACAAACAAGATCGTGTACAATAGAGTGGGCGCGCTTGTTTGCTTGTGAAAGTCGGACCAGCAAACGAGCGATGACGGCAGAGAAGGATGAAAGAGAGAGAAGGGGCTTCTTCTTATGCTATGCAAGATGAATGTTGACAGAACGGAATGCGGATGAGAGCTGTTAGTCCCTGTGAATCAATGGTGAAGCGATCGTTGACAGATGTCTAAGTGGAGAGTTGGTGATGGGAACTCCGAGAAGATATAGAAACGAGGCCCTGACCCGAAGAGCTGTGATCGATTAGGAAAAGAAACACCACTAGCAGGCAATGTACCATAAGGCAGGGTACTTGGAGGGGATGGGGGAGTAGAGCATGGGACGGGATGTGAGAAGATGAATACCGACTAGGTATGTATAATGTATGTGTGTATGCATGTACCTATCATATCATAAAGACAAGCCCCAACTGGGACCAGGATGATTGGTATGCAGCCCCAGAGGCAGTGGGCAATGAAAGCTACACGCCTCTAACCATAGGCGTGAGCAAACAAGCGAGAAGATTGCCGCGCCCTCCATCCATACTCTCAGGCATGCAGTCGATATTCGGACAAGTGAGCAGGGGGTGGGCCTTGGGCTAGCAAATGGCGGAGAGCAGGCGCAAGGCAGACAGCCCAGGTACGGATGGATCAATCATGACCAGGGGGGGGAGGGGTGTGGCGGCAGTGACACTTGGCCTGGTGGATGGATGGTCCCTGATGATGGAGGGGGAGTCGGTTGAGGACGGCGATCTCTAGATGGAGAGGGAATAGCGTCCGCTCCACTTGGCCAGAGTGGTGGTTGTGAGGGTGCCTCAGTGTCTCTCATTTTCTGCTCCAGCGTCCGCTAGCCCTGTCCTAGGCGAGAAGTCCTGCGCTGTGTCCTGCGCTGGCCCTGTCGAGAGCCCAGAACCGAAGAGAGCAGATTCGATTGCCTCGAGGCAATGCGCTGGCATGGAGAGGGTGGTCGGGCAGGAGCATCACTACATTGCATTGGAATTGGCTTGGTTCTGGGTCTCTACCGGCCCAGGCGAGCACACACTGACGGCTGCTATCAGGCTGTATTAGATCGATGTAAGTGGTAATACGTACTAGCTCCAAGCAGACACACGGACGGACACAGGCACACCTCCAAGCCTCCCTGCTCCTTGCCCAGCACCCTATTACACATCTCTCCAGGCCACCCTGGCCATGTTGTAGGGCTGCGGAACTCGATTCTAGTCCTAAAATCATAAGGGTTGATCGCTATAACGCCCCTGCTACCTGCTCCTCCAGAACCCCTGGTCCCCGCAACGGCCGAGCAGAGACGAGCACCTCGATTCAGGACATTCTCAAACAGAGGCTCTCCACGCTGCGGCCTCTTGCCGCGCTGGTTAACGAGCGCGGAAAAAGGCT